GTGAAACTCGTAAAAATTGTTAGCGAAAAATGGATTCTTCTAAACAATTTCTATTGAAAAAAAAGAGAGTTTAATTAGCGAGAAATGAACTCACATAATCGTGATATGATTTTAACGAGAAGTGACTTTGATCATCGGTTACGCGAACGGGACGTAAGTCGCGATGATTAACGAGCGCGAACTATTTCGATGCCGAGCTACTTTATCAATTTCGGTCACCCACGCTTACTTCCTGGCCCCGACGAGACAGGAAGAGCGAACGGATGCGCGTGGGTCTCTTCGAAATCGCGATCGTAGATCGATAACGCGGATAGAATTATTGCTCGCTCGTATATAATGGCTTGCGAAATTTGTTAGGAGAAGAATACACGATGTCCTAATCGATAAATTATTGACATCCATCTGGAAGCATGGAAAATAGTACGGAAATATTTTTCTTAATCTAGATTTCATGAATTTCTATTTCATGAATCTAGATTTGATAAATTTTATTGACCATTTTTGACAATAAATTATTGAATGTTTATTAAGATTTCGATCTTTTCGAAATAATTTATTCTCGACTAATTAAGCTTAAGCTCTGTTTTGATTAAGGATGGAATTTATTATCGATTTATTATTCATGCAGAAAAACATCTCATTAACCTCATTGGTCGACATCGTGGTAAAAATCATTATATATGAAGTTCGAGAAAGTAAGATCGTGGTAAAAATAATCAGTATTGATTCTTTTGTCGTAAATATTAAAATGTGCTCTTCAACGCGATTATAATTTTGATTAAGATAATTTCAATACTTTCTCATTTCTCGCAAAAGGGTTGTGTACAAAAATGAACATTTTATATAGCAATTAAAAATATAATTTGTGTCTTGCTGCAATAAGCAATCGCAAGTATTTTTTTTATTCTGTTTTGCGAAAACTACCTGTTGAATATTATATAAAGTAAATCGCACAACTATTGCTAATGTTTTGCTTATACAAATATTCTGTGAATTTATTTTTTATTTCCCTATAAATATTTTTTTTTAATATTCTCCGAGTTAAAGCAATATATGATTCGAAAAATGTTGGCAAGTCAAATGATCCGATATATATAATATATATATATATATATAGAAAATTATTTTTAAATTACACAGAGAAAATTTTCTCTTAGAGTTTATCTTGAAAATCAATATGATATTGGAAGAATTTTATAAGAGTTTATCTGATTAATATTTCCACCACAATAAAAAATATTAATATCTATCACAATAAGATATTAAATATGTTCGATTAATTTTAATATGTACATATTAATATTTTTTATTACATTATTTTATTAAATTATTAATTATAATTATTTTTATCAAACCTTGTATTAAATTATCTTCATAAAAAATATCGCAATTTTTTAAATGCCTAAACAATTCGATATGTATAGCGTATTGAAAAATAATTTTGTTTTCTGCTATCTATTTCGGAGCAAAAGAATCGAATGAAAAAGAAAGTTGCGCGAGAAATAACGATGATATGTTATCGCGAAGCTTTCGTAAATGCAGAGAGTTGTGCTTTACGAGAGGATGGTACGAGCCCCATGTGTGAGCAGCATGTGTTGTTCGCGCTTTAAAAATAGCGGCGGTGTTTGCGTTCCCACGATCAAGGAACTCCGATGTGGTTGATGAGTTCTCCTCCCTCGCGTGTGGCGGATCGATGGTGAACGGATGGCCGGGGTCTTTGAGGAAAATCGATAATTAAAAACCGTCGTCGTCGTCGCTTCGATAGTCCAGGTATCGAAATTGGGACTTTGCGAACGATTTTATTGCTCTTTCGCGCGACACTTTACGAGCCGGTTCTCTCTCTCTCTTTCTTTAGTCGTTTTGCGATTCCTCGCTAACTATTCGCGATATACCAACCTATCGACGTTGGTTGTTAACGTGTATTAACCATGGTCTCAAATTAAACATCGAGCTCTTATTGCCGAGCGACGACGAATTATATTAGAAATCACCTAGTACACGCGACATGAAAGCAGGAAAAGTTAAATAGTCTGAAAGCCGGATATTATTTCTTTTTTAATATTGACGCAGCACTCACTCGCGACATAGCGGTTCTCGGAATTGTAGATTACAAATGATATGATTAAATGCAAAAATGTTGTACTTCGTTCCTCGTCGATGATTATATCAATATTCCGTCATATATCTTCTCGATCGTAAATATTCACGATTCGCGAAATACCTAGTAAAATGGTATTTATTGCAATGATTTGCAAAACATTTTATTGAATCGTCGAGACAAAGCTTTCGTCTCACTTAAACTGCACAATAAACATTAAATGACTCTTCGCAAAGTTGCATTCGCGCTTTATCTATATGACAGGTGCGTAAACATTTCAAGGAAATCGATATATGCACCCCGATAATACGATTCGATATACAACCGGCATAAAGAGGAGACATTTATTGCGCGCTTTTGTGTGCATTTTCCTTGAAAATCACGAGGAGGTAATGTTGCAAAGTAACAATCGCGCGCGTGATGTCGGTGGGATCTTGTGTAGTTTGCCAACATCGGCGATAATTTCAACTTTGAGAGATCGAAGCACGCCCAGTTATATAACGGTCGAATATTGCATGCCGTAAATTATTCTTACGGCACGAAAATACGGTGTTACAATGTTTTCTTTGCAAAGTGCTCTTAAAGTCCTGTTTCTCTCTCTTGGGGTTTCGTTTAAAAGCTGTTTGTCTTTTATTATAGCGGAGCATAACTTTCAGGGAAGTTGTATTTTACTTACGGTATTATTTTTTTAATCGAAATTTCTTCGGTCAATTTAAAGTCGATTTAGCTCAGACGGCTTCTCCTCTTCATCACCCTCTCAACATGTTACATGTTTTGCTGCAAGTCTCTAATTAAAATTCCGTTAGAGCATGGATTTTCAGATTTAAAATATCTTGAAATTTTCCACGGCGGAAAAAACGATCGGTCGAGAGAGGAATTCACCGATTGAAAGAAACAGCAGCAGGTAGAGGAACCGTACCGCATTCCTCCATAGAAGTCGTCAAAAATACCGTCGACAAAGAATTCGAGTCTATAGCGGCATTCCGCGAGGAATTGGCGCGTAAGATGATGCGACTGACTGCGATGGAGAAGGTCGGATGCTTCTTCAGTATCTTCGGGTCTCACAATCTTTCGATAGATCTCCTCTCGATTTCACTCGTCGTTGCTTAAACTCGGATCAGACCTCGGAGGAGGAAGAGCGATCGGTCCAAGGGGTTGCTCAATTCAAACCGCCCGGGTAATAATTAATGATCGCGTTACGACGACGCGAACTCGTCGCATTCCATAATGGGACGTCAACGAGGAAGAAGAAATGCGGGAGATAAGGAGAGAAAGTCGTCTTCGCAGTGTGCGCTATAAACTAGATCGTCGTTGATGCGGCCTGAGATAACGAGACTCGATCTAACGAGCTATGTTGCACTTAGAGCTCGACCCGAGCGAGATGAAACGAAACGAAACGAACCGGAGTAATGTGTGCTTGCAACGAGTGCTAATATTATATACAGTGGAAAAAATTATTAACTTGATTAAACCTTTCAACTAAATATTATTTTGATATTTGATATACTTCTTAGTTGTTTAAATATTATTTTGTTAATTGAACATGTAAGAATATTTAAATTAAATCTGTGTTAAATCTAACGAAGCGTATATTTGACTTAAATATATTAATATATGTTCAATTAACAAAATAGTAATTTTTTTCAATGTATGCTAATTAAAACTCTTCTTACTGATAAAAATTCTGAGATTTTTTTGACGATGCCATATGCGCACCGAGAGAATTTACCCTGAAAATCGTGCTGGAAGAATTTTGTAAGAGTTTCTTTTATTAATATTTTCACCAAAAATATTCATATCTATCACCGCATAAAATATGTTCGATTAATTCTACTATGCACATTAGTAAAATTTTTTATGTGTCATATTGATATTTTCTTATTGTGGTAAATATTTAATCACAGAGAAATTCTTATAAAATTCTTCCAATACCATATATTGTCTCAGGATTACCATGATTTTTAGAATAAATTCTAAGAAAAATTTTCTCCATGTATATTAATCGTATTGCACATGTTATATCATTCACTCATTAATATGTTATGTGCGTAATTTACAGAATTTTTTATCAGATAATAATCCTTAAGATTCGCCAGTAATAATTAATAAAAATCTTTTTTCAATGGTAAAAGTCGACCAAAACTGGCAATTATTTATTATAGATAATTAGTTAAAATACAACGTTTCGGCAGTCATTGCAGCCATTTTCAAGTAAATCTATAATAAGTTGCATAAAATTGTATTAAGAATTTTTTTATATTACGTCATCTATAGTTCTGAATAAGGAATATGTCCTTAAACGTACGATATGTGTTCTTTCGAGGAATTAAAATTAAAAGAATTGAGAGTAGAAATAAACTTGACAATAGCACATAAAGTTTTCCCTCTAATGATTGAGAACCTAAATAATTATATATCGCAAAATTGTACTGATTATTTTTTAATCTATTTTTCAAGAGTATCGTAAAGTCATGCTTGTATAACTAGTGCTAATATTTAAAGATATGTTAATTTATTCCTCTTACTAGTAAAACTTCTAATATTTATTCATGTTTAACGTAATACTTATATATATGTTAATCATTGCATATCATACTTTCATTAATATTTTTTGTGTCTAATATAAAGAATTTTATATTACGTAATTTTCTTATATACATATAATATATCTGAATAAAAGATACCTTTAAATGTCCAATTATATGTATATCTTTCAAAGAATGAAAATTTGAAAGATCGAGAATCTGAAGATTTAGATTTATAATTTTATAAAACTTTTTAATAATTATTTTTAATGGAACTATTTTTTAAGAGTATTGCAAAGACATCTACCAAGTACATTTGATTATGTTGTAACACGATTACTTCTGTTGTAATCAAACATTTTCCATTCTCATTCCAGGTGCGATAGAGCCACGGATCATCGACCTCCAGGAGATCATGAGCACATCCTGATTGCCGTGGTCCGCGAAAGGATGGACGACATTGACAGGTCGACATCGGCGAGAATCGCGAATCCGGCACTGACAGCTTAACGTCAAAGTGAGGAAAAGAAACCGAATTAACATCCCCGTTATAAACATAAGGAAGGAAAAATTTCGATCCCGAGGAATAATTTCTTCTCTGAGAAAGAGAGCGACAAGAAAGAGAGAATCATTCCTTCCTTCCGGCTCTTCTCGCATCCCTTTTCACCGCGATCGGACCCAGAGGAGATGAGCATCATAGCTATCGCCCGCAGGAACTGGGCTCTGCGCCTGTCGGTGGTGCTCAACGTGTGTGTGCTGCTGTACGTGTGCGCTCACATCGGTTCGTCCGGACCCTGGATCGAGGAACCGCCGACCAATTGGGCGGCGGCCCCGGAGACCTATGATCTCTCGAACGGCACTCAGAAGGGTGCCCCCACATCCTTGTTGTCCCCGTTGGTCGCGATCGCCGTCAAGGATGTGGCGAACAACAACAACAATGGTGGCCGTACGCTTAGGCTCGTCACCACGACGCCACCTCCCAACGGGGCCAAGGCCGAGGCTCTCGATAAGTCGCGGGAGCACCCGCGTAATCAGACGGTACTATCTCGTCCTGCTCTTCTGCGTCTTTCTCTTCGATTCTCGTGCAAATAACTCTCCTGATCGATGCTTTAGATTAAAGTCGTTGGTCTGTCTATTTATCAGAGTGATGATTCTTCTTTTCAACGAGATATAAGGATTAAAAATTGGAATCATATTACAATTAATTTGAAAAATCCTCTCGGCTATAATACGTCTTTATATAAAGTTACATTTATTTACTGTGTGCGAGGAGTTAAAAATTGAGGAATCTAAATTATTTCTTGCTTCTTGAAGATTTGATTATTATAGAAACCTATATATAGACAAAAGTTTTGTAAATTTTTCCGATCTATTAAAAAATTAAATAATTAATTCTACTTACAAACAATTTTGTTTTATAAAAGATTCTTACTAAAATTATATCAATAAATAAATAATGATCCAAATTCTTGTAGAAAGGAGGGGATTCATTACTCTTTTAGATCCATTTTAGGGCATCGCGATAGAGGAATTCAAGTCTGGAGGCGATCGTTGTCGCGCTATTCGCGGCATTTCCGTCGCCGAAATGCAAATTTCCCTTTCAAACGGTAATTGATTCATACGCTTTCTATCCAGGCGAGGAACAGCACGGTGAACGTCGCGCGGGAGCCGATGAGCCTGAAGGAGGCTATAGCCTGCAATGAGAAGTCGACGGAGCCTAGGCGAGCGCAGCGCGGTGATTACTGGGTGCTGTACAATTACGTGCCGATGAGCATGGCAGTGAGATGCTGGGAGAGCGTGACATACACGACGCACGCCGACTACACCTTCCTGGATAATCTGGAGCCGCTGCTGGAGCGCTGGCGGGCGCCGATATCGATCGCCATGCACGCACCCGGCACCGACTTTCCGGCGACCCTCAACGCCATCAGGTACTCGAGAAACTGCGGCAGTCCGTTGGTCTCACAGCTGGTGACCTTTCACGTCTTCTTCAGTAGCAAGCACGTGCCAAAAATGGTAAATAGAGACAATGGTCTCCTCTTGAGATTATTTCTTGTACTTATCTCTGCTGAGCCCTTCTTCAATTCTAGATGAATCCCTACGAATCTGCAACAGTTTACAAATATTCTAAATCAGCATGATGAATGATGATTAACTGCAATATTTGTCCCTGGAAAATACTCTCAAGTTTTTCCTCAATTCTTTCCTGTTTTACGCAAAGCTACAACATGTTGCAGATATTTTAGAAATATGTCAGTAATGTTATCATTTTTCTTATTTTAGAATCTATGTGATGAAATCTATATTAGCATTTACGCGAGACAAAATTATACATTTATAAAGAACTAAAAGAATATTTATTTTGCATTAAATGCGCAATCTATATGTTTTTTATTAAATAAATCCATGAAATAACTTTCTTGAATTTTACTTGCAATTATCGATCACGTTTACATTTCATGTAAAATTTGACAAATTGCATGCTATCAATCTGTCAAATAACAGAGCAGATTAATCGTAGATTCAGGTAAACGTTTTGTTATGGCAAAGCACGTCCTCGGTAATTTGTTTCTCGAATGTAATGCGTGCGTCGATTTCTATCGTATGCATATGTCCGCGTTGTCACGCGAGGAATATTTAGATCGTGAATCCTCTTTGCGTTGAGTCCGTGTAAGTCTCGTTGGATTGATTTACGTCGTAAACGAGGATATCTCCTAGATCTAACGGATACGCATATCTGGTCATCATAAAATAATTTTGCGGTTTCTCCATATGCGGTTTCATTCGCGATGGATTCACGTTTTACAAACAGGCCTTTAACGATTGTTAACTGTGACTGCAATCGGAAACCGCGCGTTATCTTGCGGCGCACTAGTCCCGTATGCATGAATAATTGTCGTTCATAGCACATATTAGCTTTTCCTCTTAATCTTCGTAAACGTAATATTAATCTCCTTTTATGACGTGATACTAAGGAAATAAATACTAAGCTACAACAAAAATATATAAAAACCGTGTATATAAGAAAAGACATACGCGGAATACTGAAATCTTTTACATAACATTATCTGACATTTTATTGACGAATTTTTTTCTTATCAATGTCACATTATACTCGACTAAATGCATCTATCGTGTAGGTCCCACCGTCAGAGAAGATTATTTCCGACACGTATAACTGTTCGCTCGGACCGCCATGGGTGAACATCAGCCTCGCAAAGATGTACAAAAACGAGAAGAAGCTGCTGTACCCAGTGAACGTGGGTCGCAACATTGCCCGCGAGTCTTCGCCCACTTTCTACGTATTTCCCAGCGACATTGAGCTGTACCCCAGCCCGAATCTGCCCACCACGTTTCTAGAAATGATCCGCAGGAGGGATCAACCTGCCCTTCACAAGCCTAATCCTAAGGTCTTTGTGCTGTCGATCTTCGAGGTGGACGAGAAGAGTCAGCCACCCAACAACAAGACGCATCTGGTATGTCCTCTTGTTTTACGCGGACTTGCACGCGATTTGTTGCGCGGTTGTCCCTCGGCGACAATTAAGCACGTGCGAAAGAGAGCACGACGAGAGTATATCCGATTGTGCGTTAATAGCGTAGGCGAGGGTCGACGGCGAATCAATGGAGCTTCCTTTGACCGTGGACCTTGATACGTAGAATTAGCGTCGCTATTGTCCGGCCGCTGTGTATATTGTACGGCACAATGCACTTTTTGTCGCGTCGCAGTCTGAATTAGAGCGGCGTAACAGAGTACGATTGTAATCTTGAAGTGCGTTTGCACAATACAGGTTGCCGGTTATATCCCTTTTCTATTTTTTCCGCTACAGAAGCTGTCAAAAGTCGAAGCTAATCACGCGCGAATCTGATGTGTCTAATATGATTCGTTTCCCTATTATATTCAAATGACGAGAGATGGAAATCTAAATTATTTATATTATATTTATGAAAGTTTTTTTGGCGTAAAACCTGTTTTTGCGAGAATTTTATTTTTTCTGCGGAAATTTATAGGTACAGATGCTGAAAGCGGGCACCGCCATACCATTTCATAAGAAATTATGTTCCGGCTGCCATAATGTGCCCAAGAGTAAGGAGTGGCAGGAAGCACCAGAGACAGAGGATCTGCATGTCTTCCACGTAGGCAGAGAACTGGCAGCTTCGTTCACTGGGAGCCGATTTTTATCGGGACCAATAATGATCCTCTTTATGACGAAAGACTTAGTTGGGAGGGAAAGAGTGATAAGATGACGCAGGTATCTGTTTACATAAATTATTTAACATTAGAATCATTCAAATTAAAAAAAAATTATTAGAGGATGTCTAAGAACTTTTTCAAAATTATACCTATATATATAGTTTCATTCAAAATAATAATGAAGTTAATGTAATATTACTCTTTACAATATAATCAAAAAATACAATGTAAAAAATGCTTTATATATAGAATGAGATAAAACTCTCGATTTTGCATACCTTGATACATCAATGTTTCTCGTTTGCACAGGGCTACGCACTCTGCGTTCTCGATTACGATTTTCTTATCCTGGATAACGCTTTCTTGGTGCACCGGCCTGGCATCAAAATCTTTAAGAAGGATTCGCATCGCGACATGCTTACTGCGAAGACGAATGCGCTCATCAAGAAGATCATCATGCCGGAGCTGAAGGTGCTGTACGGTACGAGGAAGGGTTGCGCCGTGTAGCCCGTGGAGTTGCCGGCATGACGGCACGTGCTCTACGGGTGTTCGTCCGTACAACGAAACTTAAGAACTTCTCTGTCATTTGCATCGTCAAGCTTCGTCGCACGACGGATTCGCAACGATCCAATGCTGCGATTCGTTCACGGACCCCGGGAGCGTGTTCACGTGCGTTCTGTGCGGCCCCTTCGTAAGCGAGGCTCACTAAGGAGCATTCGCTGCGCAGGATAGAGGGTCTCTCTTTTTCCCGAATTATGCCAACTCTACGGTGCCGAACAAGCGAACGAATTATTACATAAATATTTGGTGAGTTTATAAAGCAACCAACGGGGCATGATATGTCGTGTCTCCGCGATAAACGTGTGTCACATCGCCATTATTGTTATCATCTTCGTCGTCAGTGTCGACATTAACGTCGCGATTTTCAACGGTAATTCTTCAGCTTTTGTAATAAAGGAACCTAGCATATAAAGGAATCGTATCACGTATTTTTCACTCGTCGAATAAACATATTCTCTTCCTAGCAAGTACGGTTGTATATAATGAAATGGTGCCTCTCGTATACATCTCAGTACGTCTACAAAGATAACTGCGCTTTCGGTGAAAGTTACGAGCGACGCTGTCAATTTCGACGCGACTTCGTGACTCGTGGCCGATCATTAGATTCGCAACGTTTCTTATTCAAGAATTTAGATATTATATCAAGGAATACTGCAATATGATATGTTGCACACATACTGTTGCAAATATTACATAAATATTATTTACACGATGCAAATATTATCAAAGTAAACTATCGTTTATTTATTTACAGAATATCAAATAGTAAAGCAATCTAAAAATATGCAATATAATTTTATAAAATTATGTACTATATATCTATCAAATATTTTTTTCTGTTGATTTTACATTATTTTTATTCTTTATTATAAAATATTTTATCAACTTTTATAAGTAGAAAATGATTATAAATATGGCCGATAATTTAGCTGGAAAATTTTATTTATAATGACTTCATCAATTATTGAAAATATTTAATTATACGTTAATTATATACTGTATAACTGACATATTGTTATATTGTGATTGATCGGTGCTTGTTCTTTTAGTGATGTCTTAATGGTCACTAATAACTAGCTTTATCAATTTTTTTAAAGTTCTTAACAACAAATAGATGTTATTAAATAAATTATAAAACTATATATATATATAATTGGATAATAATTAAATAATGATATTAATAAAATTATTAAGAAATTTTTATATACTTTAATCGAAAATAAAATATATTTTCTTTTAATATTTTATGATTATATATTTATGATAATGAAAATTCCACTTTGATGTTTACTAATATACAGCTGAATAATCAACGTATTAATATATACTTTATTAAATCTTTTCAATAATTTGATGTTTTTTTTACGGTACATGCATAAATATATCTTTCATTTAAGTCATTTAATTTGAGTCTATGCATTTTTGAGTTTTACATTTTAAATAAAAAATGCCTTTTTTATGTCATTTAACTTACGTTTTACTTATAATTTTTAAAATGCCGAGTCAGTCTGTAGTGACTGATAAACTTGGGTTGATTGAAATATATAATTGCATTCAGATAAGTTAAATGCATTAAAAGTTTGCAATCTAAACTATTCATCACAATCACATTAAACTCTTATATCGCATGTTACATTCATCGGCACGGAAAATATATTGTACGGTTCTCCTTCTGTCTATAGGCATTGAAACAAGAACTTAGTACGCGCGAAATTATTTATGACTAAAGGAATAAAAAATCGCCAAGACTGAGGAATATTTGATATAAATTTTCTAGGACTCCTTCGCGAGTGACTTGATCGATGAGTCATCAATAATTTATTAACTTTGCGTTAGCAGAGAACGTCACATTTTCAAACTCTATTCATTGGAATATTTCGGTTCGGTTGTGATAGATAACAACAAATGGAAAGGATAAAACGGTGGAACGATATCGGATTTACAAACGATTGGTTCGGATCAAATAATGCGATTCAAACAGTACATAGCTTGTATTAAGAAAGAACAACCGCGTCTGTAATCTGAAAAACAAGGAAAGTCTTATCTTATAATATACATACACAATTCATCTTATATACCAAAAATATTATCGTGTAGTCAATGACTTTCGGCGATTTCGCGCGAGAACATAGTATTTTCTAATCTTAAATATTCTCTAAGTACAGGATATTATATATATACATATATACTGTTACTAAAGACACTGTCTATTTACAGTATTACTCTTGCACAGGCGCCTGTTTAATGTAACATATAATTGTATTTAAGAATGATACATTCCGTGATTTTCTCATCTAACATAAGTCCTCGCTTATAAGTAAATAGTTTACTTTAAAAAAAGCTAATCTTCAAAAAATTATATCGCAAATTTTTCCGAGGATTGATAGACATTATCGGTGATCAATTAAGAATTATTAAATTTTTTTTTATCGTAATTTGTCAAATATATATAATATAATAACATCACACACATAATATAATTATATATTAAAATATAACAATTATATTATATATAATTTTAGTGCAAAAAATTATGCCATCATATAAAATATGATGTATAGAGTTACAGATATCGGTTCTTCAAGTGAAACCGTTTATTGTACATAATACAGTAAACGCATAATGTAAGCCATATACTTTTTTATCATCACCCCGAGTAATACGGTTAGAGCGAGATGTATATACGATCTTTCGTAATTATTAAGACTTAAACGTGAAAATAGTAGGTGAGTCAGTATATATATATATATATATAGTAATATCTCGAAAATGATTTTAATTAAACATTTTTAACCGGAACAAAATGCTGACTCATTTTTGTGATAATATTAGGGCACAAAGTAATTAATATTTCTGTAATCATGCTTTGTTCGCGCTGTAAAGGCATTTTTGAAATAAGAATTAAAAATCATGATTCCTCGCATATATAAATAGATAATGATTATTGTCGAGGATGTTGATTAAATTCTTTTGAGAAATACAGTTTACGCGTTATATAATTTATATATATGTAAATATATAAATATTAAAAATTTATTAATGTAATGTTATATTTTGTTTATATCACATTAGTTCTGTATAAAGCTGGAAGCTATCAAAGATTAATGTCCTCAGGATAATCACTTATATATATAAAACATAGTTCAGTTTACACGTCGCCGATAATGTTTCCCATATAAAGCTCAACTTACATCATATAAGTTCCTTTCACCTCCTCGTCTTCTTTCTTAATTTATCGGAGCTGTGCAATTGCTCGTATGTGTGTGTATGCATAAAATGTGTATTCTGTGCCTTATATGTATATTATATCTGTCTCCTCGCGTGCGTGCGTGTGCGTGTGCCAAAAATGTGCGTGTACGTTTACAGCGAGCTATATGAATGAACCGTAAGGAGACAAGCTAAAGAAAAAGCTGACTCAATTATACAATTGATACAAACCATAGAGATCGGTTTATATAAATAATTGTAGCGAGATTTTTATATCTATTCCCTAAAATATTGTAATAAAAGAAAGAGAGAGTGAAACGCGGTCTCTCTCGTCGTTTTCTCTTCCCTTTTTCTCTATCTTACAATTAATGTACAATTAATTCAATTTCAATGACAAAAAATATGCGTTACGCGCCGAAGTAATGTAACACCAATATCGTTGAGTTTGACTGAGCATTTTCACGTGCAACAAATAGAGACTGCGAATGAGTCATGATGAAATGAAATGCGCAGATATTGGTTTTTCTAAACAAATTATTATATGCGCGCGATGCGAGATATATCTTGTAATTAATGTAAATATATGTGACTGTGTAAATAAAAGTTGTCTCATCCCGCGACTATTTTCATTTCGGGAAAATATGTTGCTATGCATTTGTAAACTATTCAGCGAAGCATATGAGTTTGCCGGAATAAAAAAAACAATCACGTCACATTGTGTTCTCGTTTAATGTATATTTAAGAATGTAAATTATACAGATGTCATTACAGATGTGTAATTTTATAGATGTAATATTTTCGCTGCTTTATGTCTTATATAATTCAGGATTTATGTTACATCTCTAAATGCAACAAAAATGTGAAGATAATATCACAGAGAGGAAAAAAAACATTTTCGCTTTTTTAATTATAAAATTTCTATTTTGCAAATTATAATCTTAAATAATTATATTCAATAATTATATTAAAGAAATTACAGCGTTACATAAACGTATACAATATGATGGTGTACATACTTGTAAGAGAAATGAAAACGCATACAATCACCTGTTCCGATATATATATACATATATATATGTGTGTGTATATATATATATGTATATGTATGTATACAAATGAAATTGTGTATTTTTCCAAACAAAACGGAGTGAGCGAAGGATTAATTTAACATTTTCAAGAGAAAACCTATATTGTGAGGCTATTTGTAGCGAGTTAGTTTATTGCTTGAATCTGTTTAATTGAACTTATTCGGAGATATTTTCGAGAACAAGTATCGCGAAATCGTCTCTGTATAATTTTAATTTATGTATAAATTATGTACATTTAACTCCTGTAAAAAAACCATACATTTAATTTAAGAAACAAAATGATGAGAAGGAGATCAAACGGCTGTATTTATTTTAAACACGAAGATTATTATTAAGCTCTATAGGAACGCGGCGCGATATAGTCTAATTTGAATGAAATTATTTTAATTATTCTCCGACATTTTTGAATAATCACAGGTTTATGCATTTATAATTAGCGCATTTATGACTGCGATGATTGGTGCGTAATTGCATACCGTCATGTTCCAGTGTATCGTGCCTAGATAAATAAAATAATTTATCAGCTATAACAATGAATCATCAGCTATAATGTTTTTTCTCTGTTCCTCTTTTCTGTCTTCCTTTTTCTATATATATAATTGCGTGCGAAATATATTTCTTCTTTCCTTCTAAATTAAATATAATATAAAGACATATATATATTAGATTATAAAAGGTTGTATTTTAACAAAAAATCACTCTATTTGATATTATTTATATTATATTTATTATTTTATATGCGTTTATGTTATTTAATTATAATATTATTTATTAATTGTGTGCAATAAGATAAATATTATAATTATTAAATTAAAAAAAATATACATATATATAGTTCTCTTTTAATTTTTTTAAATCTGCAGCTAACTTTGCAGCTCTTGTCACGTGACTGATTTTAGTTCACTCATAATCCGAGCAGTGGCGCTGAAATTCGTTATTCTTGCGGCAAGTTCCGTCAACCCCTAACCTTAAAATTTTTTGCCAGATTATCAGGTATCAAAAAACCTTTTAATACACGTTGACGGCACGGAAAATACCAAATATATAAAAAAAATGTCAGATTATCAAAGCGCCGCGAACCGACACGATGCAAACGAGACCCTATCCTATATACCTATGATGCCGTCGAATACTATACTTGGCAATATTGTGGAGAGAAAGTTTAAGGAAAAATTCAAGTTCGACAGCAATCGCGTTTCTACCGTAGAACGTGAACTTGGATTTCCTAAGGTTTTTAAGTTGGATGACATCGAACTTACAAAAGTATGTTACATCTCGTATAACATTATATCTAAGATATGCTGTTTCTATTTTAAAACTATATTATTTCGTTTATTTGTAGAATACCAGTGGCAAGCAGAGTTTATTTCGACAACATGTTTCTACACTGAAATCTGTGAAAGATGATTCAACAAAGATTCAAAGGGATGAATCTTTGCATTGTGACAAAGAAGGAGCAAGTTTTATAGCAGAGGATCAATTGGCTATTAAGATTCATCAAGAAAATTTGGATAAGTTAGCTAAAATGAGTGAGGCAGAAATATTAAAAAAAAAAAGGCTGATTGAGGATGTTCTAGATTCTAAAATAATACAATTCTTAAAAAATAAGAAAAAATGCAGAGAAAGATCGATTGAAGAAAGTATGCAAGGTACTATGCCAGTTGCAAATAGAGCAATAATGAGTACAGAATTTAATGATAAGAAACTAAAACTTTCCTCAAATGATAATGATACAAAAATAGAAAATAATACATCGAGTGTTTCAATCACAAAAGAAACAGCAATGGATGTAGAAGTATCTAATGATAAAAAGATAGAAGCTAATACAAACATGGACTATGAGGATGATACAGTCAACATACCAAAGTCATCTAAAGAAATATTGGAAGCAAGCAAGCAGAAGGGATGGCTGCATATGAACACACCAGAACCAGAAAAACTGAAATGGATGGAAGATTTGACAGAAGAGAAAAAAGATGAACCTGTAATAAACGAAGAATACAATGCTAGATTTGATTTTAATGGTCAATATTAAATATATATATATAATAATATAATATTTTGATAATGTTCTGCTCATATGTACTTATTATTTATTGTAATTCTTTCAGGTCTCTTATTGCCATACAAAGATGAGAGCTTAACTGTAGACAAGGGACTTCATCATCATGGAGAGGAACCTGAACGTCCTGGGTATTCCCTTCAAGAATTATTACAGCTGAGTAGATCTTCTATTCAACAGCAACGATGTAAAGCCCTTACTACTCTAGCTAATATTATGGAGAAGACACACGAGGGCATATATGACAAAGCTCTGCATCCATCACCATTGATTGCATTGAGTCAAAAGAATATATTGTTGCTATTGAGATTCTCACTGGACGACTCGTCTGTAGCTGTGGTCACAGCATCCTTGCAGGCGTTAAGAGCTTTCTTGGTTAGTGAGGCAGACGAGATATGTCTGGATAGACTACATGGATTCAACAGATATACAGAACCAATCTTGATGCCCCAATTGGAAGAGAAGGATACGAGTAGCCTGAAAGATCATGAATTGGCACAGTTGGACGCAGTGGCTACACTATTGAGATCTGATTTCCTGTTACGAATCAGGTACTTTTCATTATTGTTTTTTTTAATTAAATATTTATCTATATTTTTTTATTTAAATGCGAAAAATATTATAAATCTAGTTGTTTTATAATTTTCTTTAAACACTTAAAATTGGAAAGCTAATTTAGAAATGTAACTTTGTAGATACATCCTAAGTGAAATGCATCCACCACCCATTGGAGTAACGTGTGCCTTAGAGATACTTATTCGCCTTGCAAGACACTCGCACATAACGGCGCTAAATATCTCATCCATGCCATACTTGTTAAATACTATTATCCAAAATTTTATACCACTGTCTATTGACCGATTAGGTATTATGACTTTAATTCTCTTCAATTTTCAAATAAATTTTATTCAAGATTTTATTTACGAATAATTTAAAACCTATATTTTGTTACAGCAATGCAAGACGCAATAAATAACGTTTACGGAATCCCTGTAGTTAAGGCGATTAAACTGTGTCGTATTCTTGTTACATATGGTAAGAAGCCCGTTGCGCAGAAATTGAATGACTTCAAAATTATCAACAGTATCTTAACATACGTTAATATAGAGATAGGGTAAGATCACTGGTTTTTTATATATATATATATATAATAACATACATACGCGCATTTATTTTTATTTATTAATAATGTACTTCATTAGGAAAGATGACTTGGATCTCAGCATCGAGAGTCTGCGACTTTGGCGTATATTGTTGCAATATGAAATAGGACTGGAGAGTGTCGCGGATACCCTTATATTGCAATTGCAGCTATTGTTGAGTAATCATGATATTCAAAGCACATCAAAAAACGAGTTGGCCCACGAACGCGCTGCGGCATTAATTAGCGTAGCGAGTCGTGAAAAAAGTTTGCAATCAAGCATATCCACATTGTTAAAGAAATGGAGTACTCAATTCTCATCAGTATCTAATGCAACGGTAAGTACAATTATTAATTATAATTATGTATATCATACAATGACATAATTTTATATTATATAATTATATAAAATGTAAAATTTATATAATTAATTGATAAACATAATATTCATGTTATTTTTAATTTAAGATTGTAAGTTTTTCATTTCAAAAATATCCTTTAATTTATAACTTGTAAAAAAAGTATTTAGCATTATTTAATTTAAAACAGGTTATATATTTCTCATATGAATCTTTTAATACTCGTAAAATCGTCTGAATTAACAGGAGAATATATTTTGCAAAGAGGTAATAGGTAGTGTAGTGCAGCAAAATAGTCTGAAAAATCATTTGAGGTAATAGGAGAATATGTTTTGCAAAGAGGTTGTTATCAGGAAAATACATTTGCGAAGAGGTTATAATAGAAGTGTTGGTAAATTACCATTGTCACCTATCTTACCGACGAGGTAATGCCGCCAATTACTGATTACCTCTTCGCAAATATATTTTCTTAATAACGACCTCTTTGCAAAATATATTCTCCTAATAACTCAAATGATTTTTCGAACTATTAAAAGACATTTATCGCTGCCACTACCTCTTCGCAAAATATATTTTCCTGTTAACTCAGACGACTTTTCAGACATTAAAAGACGTATTTTACTGCATTACTTTTTCACAAAATATATTGCCCTATTAATTCAGATGATTTTTCGAGCGTAATTAAGACACATATTATTACTTGTTTAACTGCTTCTCTTTACAAAATATAATCTTTTTACAAAATATAATCTCTTTATAAGATGTAATCTGCTGGACAACACAAGAGAAAGCGCTAATATAAATATTACAATATTATGAATAGTTAATCTAATGACTAGTAAAATAAATTTTTATAAATTTCAGTGGGGTGCTATGAAATTAATTGCAGAAACTTTATCCGCTGTTGACGAGATATCCGCAATCGAAACTGCATGGTTATCTAATAAATACATTTTCTCGAGACTTTGGTAAGTTTATTTCTTCTTTCTTATATTGAAAATGTTATATATACAAGAAATTAAAATGACATTTAACATATTCATCTTTTGCAGCTCTAGTTCGAATTTATTGAGCGACTGCAACCCGGCAACGGAACGAGAACCGTCTTGTCTACCAAACTTGGACGTTTATACGGAAAATGGAGAACCGCAGCCGATCGTGTCAATAAATTCTTGTGTACCGTTCTTTGTAACGGTATTGACAACATTTCATAATCACTCACGTATAGCGGAAATTCGCATGATACTCGAGCATCCGGACTTTTGCAAATACATACGAGACTTAGAAAAGTTCGATTGGAGTTTCGAAACATCATGGTACAGCCGAACGGAATTACACCTTTTGACAGAGATGGTAAAAACGGCATCACTCCTAGGGAACTCGATTAATAATCAGACAGCGCACATTATATGGAAGATCGCCATCAAACTTATGTCGGCTTTGCCCGCGGATTCTACGGATCAAGTGAGAGAGCTGCTCAAGATCGCGCTGTCCAGCGAGAAAATGAATTTGGAGATCATTGTCAATGAATTGGTCAAATTAGATTTGACTACGTCGACGGATCAAGTTAAGATAGATTTACGCTCGGATGCGGCATCGCTATATGAGAGATACATCGTTCCAAACGGCGACTGGAATCAGGCGGCGATGCCAAAGGACTGGCTCTTTTTACCCATCGTTCACATATACAATAAATGTAAAAGCAATGTCAAATTGCAGTCGGAGGATAAAGACAGCGTTGTGACGGTGCTGAGTCTAGCGTTGATCTTGCCCGATCTCACGAGAAGGCTGTCGCCCACTCTGCAATTCAGTAGACTCATCCTGGTGTACCTCTGCGACACGATATACCTGGACAAGGACGTGTCCGTGTTGCTGGCGAAAGTCCTGTCGAATCTGTTGACGAGACACCACGCGCGACTGGACTTCCAGGCAGAGCTGCAGGGGCTGAGCTCCTTCACCGATCTGTTTACGGCGTTGTGCGAGCAATTTTGCTCGAGTTCGTATGGTGACAATAATTTCGCAGCGACGTTGCTGGTGCCGCTAGCACAAAAACACGACGCACACTATCGAAAACTATTGTGGTCAGAACATGCGGCCGCGTTGCGATATCTGCGATTGCCACTGGAGAAATTGCTGTTGCCGCTGAAGGATTATCTCTATCCTGAAGAGGAGGACGCGTCGCTCATAGATTGTTACATCACGGCGCTGGTTCGCGGAACGATTAGAGAGACCTGGTGTCCGGTTCCATTCGTGATCGCGCTACATCATTCGGCGATGTACTTGAAGCGCACGAGCAAACTGGCGGTGCGAATGCGAACGCAAATGGAGAAGTTAAGGAACAGAGATGTCGCAGATAGGTTGTTACACTACGAACCACCGCGATTATAATGATATAAGAGAGACGCAAAAACTAAAACAATGTGATTTATGTGTATTATTTGCATATGAATATCTTTTTTAAATCTTTGGTATTTAAATACTTGAAGATCTCGATATCATTCTTATTCACATTTGTCTAATTTATAGTCTTTTTTTATTAATTTGAGACTTCCATTCAGTTATTTGTAACGAAAAAAATGAAAATATGTGAATTATTTATCTCTTTTTTTATAATTATAGTTCTGAATTTCTTTCATTAAATATAATACATTTGTTAAAATTTTCTACATTGATATTTTAAAATTAGATTCATGCGTAATACAATTTGTATTTCTTTATATAATTTATTTCAATCAAAGTTAGAAAGTACAGGTATCGTACGTTTATCATTAGTTGTATATATATACATTATACTGCGTGTAAATACAGTACGTAGATTTATACAACAATAATTTCAATAAAATCCACTGAACGAATAGTGAAAGAGAGATATAAATAATCTGCACAATATTACAATAAGCGTAGAGACGTTAATTGGTCACGTTGCTGATTGCCAAAAGTTTTCGAGTATTGTGGTGCGTCTATAATTAATTCATAAAGAGTCCTACATTTACCGCGTGTTTTAAATCCATCGAATTTCGGATTAAAGAGACAGATTTCTCGGCATAAAAATTCTCAATTTTCTGTAAAGTGCCAGAATATGAAAGAGGCGGAAATTAAATTGTAGATGAGAAAAGTAACACTCAAGCGAACGTATAGCATTAACGATGCATGCAAAAATGTATTTTGTTGCCAAGTTATAAAAGCTGACACCGCGCCGCTAATTTTTTCTTTCGATTAAAACATATTGTTCTTCTCTGTACATATCGCGACGTATTATTGCCTCGCGATTGATTCAATTAAATATTAATCAGCAATCAATGACGCGCGTTCGATACATAGTATGTATGTATATATACCCGATATATTTAAGTATTCAAGTTATCGATGCGTTTGCATTAGTTTTTTATTAACTTCTGCAACGGTGCTGTCTCGCTAAAGAGCTTAAAGTATCGATCAAAAACGCACAATTGCGTAATTACGCGATTAATTATTTCTTCCGACATTATGTTAAATATTTAATGATTTATTCGATATCATCATAAAATTAATGTTGTTATATACCACGGACTGATTGTAACGAAATTAATGCGCAAACAAATTTAGTAATATATATCATATATCTTAGAAGAAAAGAGCGCAGCGCGCAAAATTAGTTTAGATTCTTTGAATAACTTAATCTACATCATTAGTGATACAATGTTGTTTGCCAACTGGCAACGATCAATCTCAATTATCCGTCGATCATGATAACATTTCCGCGAAATTTCCACGCGATCTATATTCTACTGAATTAAAAATACATTATTTCAACGAAGTTTATTCCGTATAATCTATTAGCTTCATTAATAGACTTCGTCCATCCCAAAAGGGCTACGTTTGACGTATTAGAATCCTAGGTAAAAATTTGTAAGCGTCTTTTTTCCTATTACGAGATTAACAGAGAATTATAACAGTTTATCAAAACTTACACAGATGGAAAATACTATATTAGATTCTCGCTAACCTCGGGTACTATCGATTTTATCTATCTTTATTTTCATTTCGAATCCTCAGAATATCCTCGGAGGACAGGCGTAAAATATTATTCAGTGGATCGAGTGCGAAGCATCGATTGCGGCGCGGCGTCGGGTTTGCTCTTATCGCCCGTATAAACAAATGTAATAAGGATGACGACGACGTCATTCGTTCGTTAAGATTCTATGCCGAGCTTTCTGTAGGTCTCCCGGTCGACCGTGACGAGACGTCCTTCGACGCTGGAGCAATCGAGCTCGATGCAGTGTAATCTGGCACCCCATTCGCAGTGACTTTGATCCTCCAGCCGGTAGTACTTGATCTGCAGACACGTGGTCAGGTAGCCGGAGCCGAGGACTCGCATAGCGATCGGCAGATCCTCCCGGTGGCCGCGTGCACTCGCCGTGATATCCTTGGTGCTGTGATAAGCGCTGTAAGCGCACGCTGTGCTATCTCTCGCGCGTTCGATCGCCTCCACCGGTTTTCCACCAATACTCAGGGATCTGAAAAGAAGATTCTATTAGAAAATGTAGTGTCTATCATATAAAAAATTAAACTTACACAAATTGATTTAGTAATTATATTCATGCACTAGTGGATCCTGAAGTCGATAATGAGAAGGATTTCTACAAAATTATTTGGTTTAATAATGAACGTATTTTCGCAATTTGGATTACAATAATTTCTTTTAATTTGGAAGAGAGAGGGCTTTAATTACAACCGCTTCTCATCCTTCAGGATCCAGTGTATTCATATTATTTTTGAATTATTTCCTATTTCATAAGTATACATATAAATTAATTCTTATAAACTAAATTAAAATTATATTAAAATTACATTATAAATAAATATAAAATATATAATATATTCTTATGTTTCTTAATGTAATATTCTATTAAAATCTTAGTTTAAAATGACATATCAAGTTAAGAAATATGAAGGCAAAGAAAATCGATTGACTTTCCTACATTCGTTTTAAAGTGCACGCTAAATGTGCATGTCTTTATAATGACAAGAAAAGTTTACTTATTATATATCCTCACGCTAACATTGTACATGACCCATTTCTTTTCGACAAGCCTGCTTATTTATGTTTAAATTAAGAAATATCGCATCTGTTTAGTCGGCAGTCTATCTGTCTTGCGAGAAAGCTGATGGAAGTTCGAACGGATGTGACTGTACAGTGATGATTGAAATGAGTTGAGACGAGTTTCACGACGTAGTAAAACTTCTTCTTTTTTTAGAAGCGAAAATAGATGTTTTGCATAGCACACAATCGTTGCCACGTGTGTACATATACTTTGCTATAATATTTTTCCCATGCCTGGCGTAACATCAAGATAAACGTAATCGACAATTATTATGTATAGGTATACCAGGCACATTCTATTAGTGCTTATAGCATTTAAAAATAGCGATTCACAAGAGTAATTAAGAAATAACAAATCATAAGAAATTGAGATATCAAATCAAAACAAGAATGTTCAAAGAGTTCGCTCTTTTATTTAGTCCAAATAAAAATTGCTCTAAAATTTCAAGCGCTCTTAATTCATTATAGTGATTCAAAATGGTCAATCTTTGTAGAAAGACGCGTAAGTTTTATAAGTTATAATGAAAACAAATAATATAAATATAATCAAAAATGCTTGAAGCTACTGTTTATTGCACTATTTTCTCGAAACAGATTAGTTACTTTAATTGATTAAAAACACCTAAAATTTTGTTGACCAGGGCAATTTCGCATATTGTTACTGTGAGATAATCATAGATCAATCGAATAAATTCTAGTATTTCTGTATCTTTAAATCCCACTCATTTTTGAATTTTACAGATCAACAGATCTTTGATAGATCAACAAAATTTGCCAGATATTCTCGGATGCTTTGATCCTTATTAGATCGACAGGTCCATATATCTTTAGAACGTGCTAGTTTCTCATATGGACACGAGGCGTGCTCTTTGACTTTCGCCCTGATTGACTTTATTTTTAGAGTTTTCGACGAAAACGACGAGTGCGTGCAAATGATCTTCGTGCTTGTAGTCGTCGTATCAGTCGCGTGTATCGATTTGAAGATAAACAACAAAGTCGCGTGGCAGAAATCAACTGATTATCTACAAGCGGACGAGAATCTGTTAGAATCCTATAAAGTATATAAAAGAGGACATGAGATAATATAATGTACGGCGAGGAGGGAATCTGTACGTTTCTCACAGTATCTGTGAAGGAAACTCTCTCGAAAATCGCACGTTTCCAGAGCTTATTGCGGTAGCAACACGTAGATACATTTCACTTTCATAAATTTGTGTCTACGCTTCGATTTTCTATAAAATCGTTCAATTAACGCTAAACACATTGATTTCCCTCTTGAAAGAACAATTATAATTAATATTAAAAAATTAAGATGTAAATATAAATATAATTGTTCTCCCACGAGAACAATTCTTCCTATTTCGCAGAAAAATTGCAGTAAAAATGAAATATTTCGAGTGTCTAGACATGGTTTAAGCGATCATACGTTTTGTAAGATGGATTATCCAGTTTTAGACATTAAAAATGCACGTGCAGAAGCTGCACACCTAAAATAAGAGATGAGCCGGGACGAAACCGGGACGGATTTTGCCGGCAAAGGCGCAATACGGTCGACGGTAGGCATTATCGTTCGTAAAAAATGCAACACCCGCTGGCTCGTAACATCATAAGCTCGTCTATCTGTTCACATTTCGCGTCCTCCTGCCTTACTTCCGTCCGTGGGGAAATATTACACAGTGAGTAAACGAGGACGGCGAACTTTCCGGTGCTTACTGCGAAAGTTTAATTCGAGTTGGATGAAAAATAAATAGCGGTTCAATAGCTGGATGAATCCAGCCGGAACGAATACGACTATGTGTTCTATTAATTATTCGTCAAGCAGGAGAATAATATAATAATTAATTAATTAATATATAGAATGCGAATAATTACAATAATAAACTATACGGCGAATTAAATCAATCGTTGATAATCTATTTTCGATGGTTTGCGCCGAGGAACGGATCGTTACGATTATCGCGTTGTTACCGTAGAATTGAAAAGTGGGCGAGGATGCATCGCGTGATTCGGACTAATAATCCGGAGGTGGGCCGCTGCTTAAAATTCCACGAGATATTTCGACGATAAAGCCGAAGGGAAGAAAAGTCGAATTTTCCATCGGCGGGATTTTTCATTCTGCCCGAAAAATAAAAGCACATCGAAAGAGTTACTCTATTCCCACCAGCACGCAAACCTTCGTGACTTTTCTAAGATCACCTCGGACACTTCCGGTGGTAGGCATTCCGGAATTGCTGAAATATTTATGCGCATTTGTCTTTATCGCCAAATTCAATTTCGTGTTTAACGCGTATAAATCCTGTAATCGCGTAATCTATCAGTCGTAAATCATATCGTGAAATATTGAGGTGGCAGCCGAAGAAAAAAACGGAAAGACTCAAGCTCAATTATCAATCTTAATAAAATCTCTCTTACAATTTTATCTCGAAAACTCTACTGAATAGGTTTCATCTCTCTTTTGATGTATAATATATAAAGAGATGTCATATATAATAAAACGCTACTTCGTCTTAATCGAGGGAGATTACGGTACTTAAGATATCGTTTTCGGCGTCAGCTTCCTCCAAAGACCTTGATATTTTTCGGATCACATTTCCGCGTACAAACGATCGCATATCCCTCGCATGTAATTAGCATTTATTGCCGGTAACTACGCGGGACTACCGTAATTTATCAGGCGCTCTTATTAATCACAATACGATAATATCTCAAACTCATTTGATTGAATTTATTCCCGTGACACGTATCCATTACGTGAAACACGATTGCAGCAGCAGCAACGTACAAAAGGCGCATCCATCACGTTGTTTCGGGGCTTCCGCGATAAGACGATCCCTGCGAGTCGATCGGGGCGAGGGTACCAAAGTCGCTTATAAGCAGCACGAGCGACCATGTAGAATCACTCGATCGATTTTCCGAAGTTGATGCAAGTTTTGCAGTTCAAGGCGATAACACTAGTCTACTTTTCTCGCGTCCGCTCGAGGGATCGTTGCCGCAAACAGCTGGCGCACTCGCACGCATTTCAAGCTTGTGGGCCCTCTGCGATGCCTCGTCACCGATTCGAGGATCGCGTATATTTATCACAAACTACGCACGAGGATTGATTAACTCTACACACTGGAATCAATGCGGTTTCGTCCTATTGTACAAGCGATGTTTCTCGATAAAGATTGATATTTAATTAGCTGTGTGTGGGTGTGAGAATCTATTCGCTCGAGTATCTAGTTTCGCCGATTCAGTTGTAGTTTATTTGATTTTAACTGTGGGCACCAACTTTCCTCTACTCCCTCGAGTTCGACTTTGCGCAATTCCAGTTGCAACTTTGTTCGCACTACATGTACTTGCAATTTCGAGAGGAAACTTTTACGATACAATGCCATATACGTATAAATTGGGATAAATACACAGTTTTTGTCACAGTCAAAATTAAAATCCTGCGCGTTTAAATCTCACCTCTCATAAAGGTTTTATTATCAAGGATCTTTTACAGCGATAAATATCTGGATATATATTTGCTTGCTTAGACATTATTTTAAACCTTCCATTTGCGATAGTGTAATCGTTTCAAATTAAGAACCTCTAGGGTTTACTTGGATCAATGTTTGTAAAAAATTTATTATGAATTTCTTTAAAGTCCAAATTGCAGACTCTAACAATCTAACGTGCCATGCACAATTAAAATTTATTTTACAGAAGTTAAATAGCAAGAGAAATGTAATTAAACTACATTTAGTTTTGAAATAAAATATTAATTAAGAGTGTCCGAAAATCTTTCTGGAGAAACTAATAATGAAGTGTTAATGTGAGTTTATTCGTAACATTACTTGATAAATTACTTGGCGTGGAATGACAATATTTTCCTCCGTTAAGAATTCGCGAAAGAGCAAACGTGCGTTTACACATGCGTTCGGTAACCGAATTTATTTTCGGTATTACGACTAAGTTGGCATTATTAGTGATTCTATATCTGTGTGTGTGTGTAGCGAGAAGTCGTAATCCTCGTCCCTAGAGCATAGAACACGTCGAAATTTATCGCCAGCTCCTGCCCCATCTTCGCGCTCAAGATGATCGTATAAATTTCTAATAAACTGCTATTAGTCGAATGGGACTTTTTCACACGAGTTATAACCCCCCGTTGGAAGGCAGTTATGTAACAACTTCCTATCATTATTCAATAGATTTCTAATAAATAATTTCACATTACAATAGAATTATATTCCGACTCATTTAGCATTCTTCATTGCAATGAAAATTTAACTGTATTCATAAAACTCAATATTTCATGTATGATATATTAAGATTTTATTAATATAGTTAGATTTTTATTATCATAAAAAGTGATAAAACTGATCTATCGAAATCTAGTAACAAAAATGATATCACCAAAGATATATCCAGGTTTAAATTCAGTAAATCTTTTTACATACATCTATTTTTTCAATTGAAATCAATAATCCAATTCGAGTCTAAAATTACGAGAGGCGAGAATTAAGAATGGCCTAATATCTCGATCGCAATCACCCGATATACGCATATATGTATGTGTATATTATTAATTGCACATTCACTGTACCCACTGCAGCAGTTGCGGCGGTTTGAAGCTGATGTCGAGCCGGTAGGTCGTATCGCAGCTCAGCTTCACCGTCTTTAGTTGCCGGAATCTGGCGGATGTTTCCATCTTACAGTAGACCGGACCGGCGCCCGGTTCCCTCCTCAGGGACAAGGTCACGCGAAAATGTCCATCGGCCCCCATTTAGCCGCCGCTCAAATACCCCATAATAGTCGTCCGAAGACGCGCAAAGTCTGCGGGTATCCCACAGACAGGTAGACGAAGAGGGAGACGGAAAAAGACCGACTGGTTCGCGCATCGAACACGCGGTATCACGTCAACGTGTCCCGCATCGATACGTACTATCGGGTTGACCGCAAGAAGAGGAGACGGTGCAACCTGCGCCGCGGACGTCGCAACGCTCACTGATCCAACGGGCGACGGTTTGACGTTTGCGACGCCGACCCGGGACTCGGCGGCTTTCCTCCTTCTTCTCGCGTCGACGACCGGCGCGAATCTTCCTCATAAGATCGACCAGCATTAAGCTCCCCGCAGCGATGGGCAGAGGTTTCAGGATAAATTCGAAAGGAATTCTGCGTGCGTGAGAGGATGATGTTAGTATTAAAATTTGTAAGCGAGAGAAGGTGGACTTAAATTAACAATTTTAAATTTTGCAAGAAAAATAAATCTGAAAGAAATTTGCGAAAAAGTAAATTTATATCAGTGTGCTGCAATTCTTGGATGATGCTTGATATCGATATGCAGTTAATTTTTTCTGAGTTAGAATATTAATACAAAATTAAGGATGTGTAAGTGAACAGTTTCAACTTGCCTTCTAATATTCGTGGTCGTCGATTACGTTTTTATGTTTCTTGGGAACTACGTTGTGCAAATTAAAGTCATGCTCTTCTAATTGATATTGTCTACGTGATACATAATGCATGGGTGGACAGGAGGAGCCTCACAGCTTTCTAAACAAGGATTATTACATGGATTAATTAAAACAATAATGACATGGATATTGGAGCATTTATAAGCAGTTGATAAGAAAAGTTTTATTACCATAATAGAATAAAAAAGCAGGATATAGGATGCTTCGAAGAACTTTGTCTGGATATAAGTTCATTATATTATATTCAAGAAAATATAATATTAAAATAAAGCTTATTATTTTATGCATTTCTTACATTATAAAATATATCTGCTTCTCTCTAAATATGATTATTCGTATTCTGATTTATTCTAATTTATAGAATGCAAAGTCATGTTTGCACGCGCACTTAACGTGCAAAGCACACAATAATGTTCTAATCTAATATATAAATCACTCTCCTAGAAATAACATTAATATTAACGATAGAGAGGATCGGTAAAAATACTCTCTTTTACGGCGTAAAAACGTTAGCTAGATTGACACTTCGTGCGCTCATAGACTTATGATATTCCTTTGTTACTTTCTAGTATAAAAAAAAGCAACTAAAGCTTTAATTGAGGAAAATGTTTCAATCTAATGGCCTTGGCCGGCCTCCTTAACTGCGAAAGATCGATTTGGCATGCAACTAAAACAGTTTACGATCCGACCTCTATTAGTAATGACGCACAAAGAGAGAGAAATATATATTTTCACGCGTCGAGTAATTCCGTACGATTTTCGATTGTAATCACATTATAATTACAACGCATTGCGTAATTAACATGTGCCTATGACACGTGAATATGCAATAGGTATAAATAATTGTGTCAAACCTATTATAAATCACGTCTTTCGCGTGATGTTTGCACAATTAAAATAACGAACAAGTGTAGTTTTGCATAAGATTTAAGTTGGGTATAATTTTAGATGAATCGTGTGAGATATAATTATTTCTCGCACACGAAGGTAGCTATGTGCAAAAGTAATTGCAAGATCGATACTTACTCCGAAAGAGGGTCCGAATAGATCTAGATCTTTCATTAAGGCATTCTTCTCTTTATTCCACCTACGACTTCGCGCGACAAAGGGCGCAGGCACGTATCTGATTTCTCCGTAGAATTAAAATCGGTTCCTACTTTAGCTTAATTTGCTTTATATATTTCAGACTTCCATATATCTCTCCAATTCTGAGCGACATCCATAATTAAGTGTCGCCGTTCGATCTGTTTTTCCTCGGACTTGTCGTTGGAATGCACGCTCAACGCCTGACCGACTTTAATGGTCTGGCCGATTTGCAGGGAGAATTGAAAGTCTCGCGGTGCCTCGAACAGAAGCACAATCGTGGATCCGAGTCTGAACTCACCGAACAGTTCACCTTTATCTATACGAGTGTATCCTAAATTCGTCTCCTTTGGATGCGCGAATTCTGGCCACTGCACCGTATTGGTCGTCAGGCTTTCATCACAGTAAACTCTCACGGAGCCCACGTTCGTCGCGCCGATTGCTGTATAGGCCATAAAACCGCCTGTCCATTCTCCGACATACACGACGCGTTCGTTCAGCGAGAACAGATTATGCATAAACTTCAGCACCTTTGGATTGACACTTAATAATTTTCCTAAAAAGAAAAAGAGTAGAGTTGTTTAGAAAAATAAAATACAGATTTTATAGCCTACAGTTTTAAAACATACCTGGAAAATGCCGTCGGAATTTTATATTCCAATCAGTGGGACTATGAAATCGATGATAATTACCAGGTGCCAAATAAATAGTTAATTGATACAATCTGTTGTCTGGATTCTTTAAGAGTGAATTAATATAATCGTCCGCGAGTTTTCTCGACGTGGAATCATTTAAGTCTCCTAAAAACTGTCTAAGATCGTACGTAACTCCTTTCACTTGTTCCACACGACAAGAAGTTACTGGTCCGAAATAAAGAACTTTGCCATCTGCGGGCGAAATCTGTGCACAATTTCCAGTCAACAATATATTAATTATTTTGTCACATTAGATTTGAAGACAAGATGTAATAATCTGCTTGTAATAAAACAGTCACCATGTTTGCATTCTCAGCAATTGGTCTCGCATTGTGCTTAAGCGCCCTTACAAAAAATTCCACTAGGTTTGGAAATGCAGACAGATCCAATTCTATCTCGTCCAGATCGGCGTGAAATATATTCGCGTAAAATTTGTAGAGCGTTGGTCTCAAACTCACTGGCAAGTCAATGCTCGTTAACCAACCCCATACTCTGCTGGTTGTTCGCAATGGCAGGCAGCAATAGCATGTAACCTGTAATAATAAAGCTTTACATTTCATTCAATAACTCAACAGAGATTTGCAGCAAGTCCATTTCATAACGACATTACCACAACATCATTTAACAATTCTGGCCTATCATGTATGTCGATGGAATATCCATGTTTGTGTAAATAATCCCATTGTGTCGCTGCGAGTAGCGATAACCCGATTCCAGGGATAATCACTTTCCAACGTCGACGAGTGTTCTTGACATATCTTATATTGGCACTTGAACAGCTTCTGACGTGATTTGTTAAACGTTGCGATGCTATTCGCAATAAAGAGCCGCAATGTTGACATCCTCTGAAAAAACGCAGAGGTTATATTAGTATACAAGCAGAGAGAAAATCATCAAGTAGTAAAATAAAATTTAATAAAACTTACCTGACAAGACGACCTAGTCTCCACATATTATTCGTAATCATCTTGCGATTGGTTTAATTTATTATCTAATCTGCAAATATACATGATATAAATTATTCCTTACATGCGTATTGCACGTGTGATCTTGAACCATGTGATATCTTGCGAAGAGGTAATCGGTAGTAGTGCAGCAATAAATGTCTGAAAAATATCATTTGAGGTAATAGGAGAATATGATTTGCAAAGAGGTCGCTATTAGGAAAATAGATTTACGAGGAGGTTACATGAAGTGTCGGTAAAATAAGTGTCGATAATATAGTGTTGTAGTAAGTTACCAACGATGGTAATTTACCGACAGAATCTTGTCGGTAATTACTGATGTTATCTAGCTCTTGTAAATGTTGCCCTAACGGCGACTTCTTTGCAAATTATATTCTCCTATTAACTCAGACGATTTTTCGTCCGTTTATAAGACACACGCGCCATTATCCAATCTCATGTATTTATTTTATTTAATTAAAATTAAGTAATTAATTAGTTAATTGACTTAATTAAAATTAATCAAATAATTAGTCAATTTATTTTATTAAAATTAATCAATTAATTAGTTAATTTATTAAATTAAAATTAATTTATTCGTTCATTTAATTAAAATTAACTAAATGATTAGTTAATATTTAATTAACGCATAATTCATCGTTTTCAAATTCGATCTGCAATGTTAATATGCTTCAAACTAATAGATAGAGTTATCATAAATATTTTAATTAATTAAGATTCTATATATAATTTTATTATTTTATATATTTATAATTTTTTATTCAAAAAAAGAAAAAAAATAAAAACATCGAACATTCAATACATACATACGTCAACCAAGTAAACGTCTTTGTAATAATAAACATACATGCGACGCGCGGCGTGAAGGGGTCAAAGAACGCAGACGCGTTCCTCGACTGTCACATCGCGTGCACGCGCGTCGCGCGGGCCGCCACTCACTGACAGTGCGAGGAGGCGCACACTAGGAGGCGGGGGCGCGATAACAGGTGGCTCCGCGTCGCGGCAGGTGAATCGGAGTGGCCTTTTTTTTTCATACGCCGCGCGATCATAACTGGTTCGCCCAGTCTTCGCTCTCGTCGGTCAGTTTCCCATTGTTTTCCGTCGCTGTCGTCTACTCTCGTCGGTCTCTCTTGATCTGTCACCCTCCCGGATTGCGACACCTCGCTGCGAGATATTATTACATATTTTGCGTCATCGGGGATCCGGATTCACCAGCCGTTCGCTCGACGAGCCCGTCTTCCCGAGGGGAGACATGACGCGACGCTGCTCTAGAACGGTATCTTGAAACGGGGGGCAACGACGTCGGCGCCGAGGAGAAGGTCCGAAAGGGATCCGTCGACGGAATAGTTGCAATCTGACGTATGAAAGGTCGGGGCTGCGGTAAGATCAAGAGTGAGACAATGCCGCCATCCTCGCACACCAACTGGACGAGGCCGTTGCTCAAGGACGGACAGACCATACAGATGCAGGTCGCCAAGCAGCAGCAGCAGCCGATGACGACGATGATGGTGACGATGGCGACGGCAGCGACGACAACGTCGTCGTCGACGGCTTTTGGTACCGGAGCGCAAAATCAAAGCGTGATGGAGCATCCTGCGACACCCCTTGACAAAAGAATCAAAGTAGTCCTGGTAGGAGATGGTGCTGTTGGCAAGACCAGCTTGGTAGTCTCGTACTCCACCAACGGCTTCCCTGGAGAATACGTGCCCACTGCGTTTGACAATTATAATGGTTTGTATTATGGTTTTGGGATGTTCGCTAATAATATAGCTAAGAGTCAAGGATACGCTGCAGGTGACTATGGAGCGACACATATACAGTTTATTTTGTAAAATGCAATTTATAAAAATGATAGGGTAATGTGCAAATTCTTAAAATTGTTTACTTTTCTCTTTCATAGTTCATTCTTCTTTTTGTTTTTATTTGAGAGCATAAGCAAAGCAAAATATAATTAAGTCGATCCAACAATACTAATATCTTTGTAATAATATTTATCTAGTAGTTGTAAATGTCGTACAAGATTCAAAAGATATACTACAGATGACTATGAAACGACACATATTCAGGTTGTTTTGTAAAATGCAATTTTGAAAATGATAGGATAATGTGCAAATTCTTAAAATGTTTACTTTTCTCTCTCATAGTTAGTTCTTCTTTTTGTTTTTATTTGGCACTTATGAGAGCATAAATAAATAAAAATATAATTAAGTTGATTCAACAATACTAATATCTTTGTAATATTTATCTAGTGGTTGTAAATGTTGATGGACAACCACTGAATGTTCAGCTATGTGATACAGCAGGCCAAGATGACTTCGATCCCTTGAGATCATTGTGCTATCCAGAGACAGATGTGTTCCTAGTTTGCTTCAGTGTTGTATGTCCTTCATCTTACCACAGCGTGGCTTCCAGATGGATCAATGAAGTCAGAAAATACTGCCCTGGTGCTCCAATCATTTTGGTATGATTTATAAATAGATTGTATATCTAATAATATTTGCTAGTAATATTATATTTATAATTATAATACATTAATAGAAATGTTGTAAATTTAACAATTGTATACATCATCATAATTATCCAGGTGGGAACGAAAAGCGATCTCAGATCGGATGTACGTTTGATGCTGCAACTGGCGAGATACGGTCAGGCACCGATCACGACAATCCAGGGTCATCAGTTGGCGCGGAGGCTGGGCGCCGTCAATTACGTGGAGACATCCGCGTTGACGCAACACGACCTCAAGGAGGCCTTCGATCAGGCGATAGTTAGTGCCCTCAATACACGACGCGGAGGCGCCAATTTACTCTACCGGCGTAGGAAGCCGCCCTCATTGTGGCGTAGATGGTTGTGCTGCTGGGAACGCCCGTCTTCGAACGAAACTTAAAAAGAAAACAATCATATTATGAGTGAGATAGACTCTATACTTCTTTAGAATCCCTCTGTGATCAGGCGGTCGCTCTCCCCTCTGTCAGGATCATCCTTCCCTACCTGGTATCTAGCTTGGTAGCTAAGTTTATTGAGGATTATCTCGATATACAAGAGAGGCAGCTAATACTTTGTTATTTAGATTTTAGATAGGGCAAGACTATTAATAGATACTTCCGCGCGCTAAAATAAATGTCGAGAGCAATCCTGTTACATGCGACGCTTTAACATAATTCGCTCGTTTGCGAGGATTGCCTAACTTTTTTTACATATGTTAAAAACGTTTTACGAACTAATAAACTGCCAGAATAACGCCAAGTAGAATATTAGCTAAAAAGCCATACAGTGCCGAAAATAATGACGCCTAACTTTGTTAGTGGATAATTTTGTACTTAAGGATTGCTCGTGACATTACGCAGGGATCCTAATACATTGAGAAACATTATTGGGAGCAAATTGTTAGTCGAATTATAATTCTGACAGACGGAACGAGCGAGTGCCGCCCTCGTAAAATTCCTGAAGTCGCACTTGAGTGTGGCATAATTTATTGTACAATATTAATCATTATATTTTTGTTATACTAGCATATATAGTAATTGGCTACTCGCTGGTTGTGATTTTCGTACATGTAATATCTTTGTTTTAATTGTTGCGGTAAAGATTCAGTTCTTTCCCACTTTTTTCTCCCATTTTTTCTCTCTTTATCGAGGATATTAGGTGGCCCTTTTTGCCACGTGTGGCGTATAACAATTGTATATTTTTTACTTGTTACGATATCGTATATATATACATTTATAAATATATATATATAAATATATATATATTTATTTTTAATATCTTTGATATATTGGTATTTTAGTAGAGTAATAGTAGCTTTAAAACGTCACATCACACACACACACACACACACATATATATATATATATATATGTGTGTGTGTATATAAAATTTATATAGCGTAAGCGATATTGATAACAATGATATTTGGTAAACGTTTTTTTTTTTATTTTTTTTTATTTTTTTTTAATAAACATATGTGATGTAATAGTATTTGTACGAGCGATATCAATAACGATAGAAGAACGTTAATACAATAATTAGCGCGAAAATACATCCATTTAACGATTTACTAAATGTATGTACTTCAAACTGTTAGAAAAGGTTGCTGTGATCTTACTTGAAACTTTCTTCCGGATATTCTATGGATGTGTTTTGCATTATGGAATTGTATGCGAATAAGACTGCAGATATTCAAATCGAGATATTCAAAATAATAAAATGCATAATATCATAGACTTATTTTACTGTATACTTCATTTTTCTATATCATGTGTAGCGCATCAAAAATAAATTGTATATAAATATTTATTCATCTCAAACAAGAATAGTCTCTTTATGTATGTCATACCTAAAATTAGCGATAACATGTGGGGAACTAGTTAGCTTAATAATAGTCGTCTGACAAAAGCAACATAAGATCTGCGTTAGATTTCTGATTCTGTTTAGATTGAAAAAAAATTATGGAAATATAAACTGTGTGATAAGAATAAGAATTAAACTTTCACTGTAAATGAAAATAACTTCCTTTAGTAAAGTATTGCAATCAAACATTAAAAAAAAAGATGAACAATATGTAATATTAGAATTTGTCATCAATCTAATTGTTTTTATATATTTACAACATCATATAAATTCAAGTAACTCAAATTTGTTTACAATATTTTTGTAGAATTTACAGTTACAGATAAACATTTTTTATAGTTTATTTACATATAAAATTTTAATTTGTAATTTTATTATCTATTTATTAAAATAATGAATCTTCTCTTTCATTTAATATTACAATTTTATTAGAATATTACGTTAAAATAAAATATAATTTGCAATTTTTATATAAATAGCTTTATTTTCTATTTTATCAATTACGAAAATAAGATCAGAATTAAAAGAGAGGGGATATAACATGTGCCATGTGTCTTTTGTAATCCTGGATAAATAATGGCGAGCAGAGTGATTGGCGGTTCAACGTTGAATACGCCTAAACAATTGTATAAATATTTGTTGCGTGAATGCGAAAAACTTCCCAAACACACACAGCAATTTTACAAGCATTCTGTCAAACAAGTAAATGCAAAATAATTTTACTCTAACAATAACTGATTTTGACATAACCAAACAACACATAGAAATATTTCAAATAAATTTAAAATATTAAATATAGAATAATTAAAGTAATTCAGAATATATTAAAAAGATATAGATTATATATATTTAATAGAAAAAAACCATATTGTATTCTTTCTGCCACAAAAAAATAATCTTAGAGAAATAGCAAATTTTCTTTTTACTGACAATGCTTGAATTAATGAAGATATATTTCTCTTCTAGAGTTTCAAGCAACATGCCTTAGAGTCTGATGAGGAACGTATACAACAAATTATGGAACGAGCATTGTTAGATGCCAAGTGGGTGATACAAAAGGTACTTTTGCGTTCGACATATAAATAAAGTTTGAATTAGAGATATTTGAGTCAGCAATTTATATTCTTTTTTTGTTTCAGTATAATCAACCAGGTAGCACGCCAACGTCAAAATCATAAATAATCTTAATATACGCATTTATTAGTATTAGATAGAAAAATGAACTTTGAACAGATTGCTAGCGAGAGCACTAACAGCAGTGTCTCAAAATTTTGGAAAACCATCGCAATCTGGATGAAAAATCCTCACGTTGTTAATCGTAGGATTCTAGGATCTCGAGAACTATTAACAATCCAAGTCAGTTACAATATTCTGGATATTTTGGAACGCATTGAGAAGCTCCATATCGAATCTAATGATTTCGAGTGTGATTTATCTTCAATAGATGTAAAATATTTATTAAATACGTTAAATATTACAGAATATTGTCAATTATTTGAGTGTAAGGATCTGTTTGAGGTATCAAACGATGATAAAGTATATTTATGTATAAGAAAACTTCTGCCTCGCAATACACAGATCTTCTCTCCTACACTGGAATTTGTATTCATTGACAAGAAATCTGCCAGCATTATTAGTCTCCACAAACGGATCGTTCTAGATAAACAGTCTCTGGGTCCGAGTACAGCTTACAGTGTACAGCATCACGAGTACGACTCTACCTGTATAAATGTACATAAATTGGACTGCGATAGTTATGATAAAAGTCGCGACTGGTTGAGATTCAAGTTATTCCCACGTCTGATAAAGTGGATGGAAAGTGAGAGCGATGTAACCAGTTCGAGAATCAGTTCTCTCAGTCTCGTCTCCATCGAGAGGTACACCTTGTTGTATAACAGTTTGAAAGAGAAGTACGGCGCGAAGATGGTGAAGATATGGCCGGAGAACACAGATCCAGCCAAGTTTGTTTACGAGGATATCGCCATCGCTACGTACCTGTTGTTACTGTGGGAAAAGGAAAGACTGGAAAAAGGTACCCAGGAGTTGCAGTCATTCGTCGATCTTGGTTGCGGTAACGGTCTTCTCGTCCACGTCTTGTCTAGCGAGGGTCACAGAGGAACAGGGATAGATTTGCGCAGCAGAAAGATCTGGAATCTGTTTCCAGAGAGCACACATTTGCAAGTATGTACACAATAATTGCTGTACAATTACAATTTACTCAAGTTAATTCCAGTTACATCAGTCTATAAATTCACATATTTTTTTATTTTACACACAAATTTATGGACTAATGTGATATTTTTAATAACATTTTCTACTACATTCTGTTATTAAATAATAAATGTCTTACTATATCTATTCTAGTATACTAATCATTTTGTAATCTCTCTTATACCAGGTCAGCACGATTGTTCCATCCTCGGAGACGGTCTTCCCTGGAGTGGACTGGATCATAGGGAATCATTCGGACGAGCTCACCCCGTGGATCCCAGTGATTGCGGCACGCAGTTCCTACGAGTGCCGATTCTTCCTGTTGCCGTGCTGCGCCTACGAATTCGATGGCACGAAATATCGACGATGCAACGCCGGCGAGAGTCAATATTCAGAGTACATGTCTTACGTTAAGAGTGTATGCGAAGGCTGCGGCTTTTTCACGCAAGTAGATAGACTGCGAATTCCGTCGACCAAGCGAACCTGTTTCGTCGGCTGGAAGAGGACTTATGCGAGAGAGGATTCTGTGACGCTGGACATCGACATTCAGAAAATCATCGATGCCAGGTCAACAGTTGTCACTCGACCTCGGGAAGAGATTGTAGGAAGCGAGGCAAAGGAAGATCTTTGGTCTTCGAACTTCAAACCCAGGAGTTCGACTGAACGAACTCGCAACTGTACGCAGCTGGATAGAAAATTGGTTCTCGACATAGTCAATGTAGTCGCGGAACATCTTTTGCGCGCTGGTCGCAAGATATCGCTGGAACAGAGACCTGGTGAAACGTGGAACGCCGGCGGGCAGATCGGCATCGGTGACGTGGCGAAGCTATTAACACCCGAGAAGCTGCGGCAACTACGAAACGAGTGCGGTGGCTTGCAAACTTTATTAAGGAATCATAATCATATATTCTGCGTCACCCAAGGACAAGTGCAATTTAGGATTCCTGGCATCATTGATAAGAGGAAGAAAGCTAGAAGGAATAGGAACAGCAAAGCACCATTAAGAAAAATTAAGCCTTGCTGGTTTCACAAGAACCATCCTGATGGATGTCCCGCTCTCGACATCGATTGTGACTTTCAGCATTGAATTTTTTTGTTATTGCGCGAAGTTGTGTTTTGTACTCTGAAATTCTATATACATTTATTTAAGTTTGAGGACAATAATTCATGTAACAATACGTTTTATTTTAAATAAAAGAAAATAAATGTCGATTGTTGCATATCAAAGTTGAAAAGAACACATACGCAACGATCCCATGATGTGGATTAGCATTACAAAACAATGTAACAATACAATGTAAACTACTTAAAGAGTATTATTACATCTTGAATATATACCTATTTTATTATAGCATTAGTGATATATATATCTCATTCATCACAGCTTTAATTATTTGTCTAATATTCGAAATCTCTCTCTTCGCGTTTACTTGATATTTTGAAGCGTAGTTATTTAATCGTTGATGACTCGTTTACGGCACATTTTTCAGTACGTTATATTATACATATAACTATTTACGTTTTATCGCAAGATTTTATCTTCTAAAAAGAAGCACCTCTCGAAAAGAGCTTCAAATGTTCATTTGAGAAAATCTACCACCAAGATATCGTCCAGATTCACCAGCTTGGTGTCCGTTCCTTGATTTTCCTGCAGTAACGCGCCCAACATCTGTTGGCCGCTCTTCAATTTCTTGACGTCGAGCATGACCAGCTGATGGACGCGCTTCAGGTGCGTCTGCAAATTGCACTTCTGCGTGAACGATTGCTTGCAGTGCGGACAGGGATACGGTCGGTCGCCGGTATGATGCTTCTGGTGCAGCTGCAACGTGAACTTCTGTGCGAACGATTTGTCGCATTGCTCGCACTTGTACGGTCGTTCGCCCGTGTGGATGCGCTTGTGACGCTCCATCTGATATGGCTTCGTGAACGTCTTACCGCATACGTCGCACTCTTTCCGCGACGACTGTGTCAAGGTTTTAGCTGTCCCCGTTGTCACCGCTTGACTATCACATGCTATCGTTGTTGACTGACTGCTTGTTTTTGCTCTGGATGCGTCGTCACCGAGATTCGTACCATGATTCTGCATCTGTACTATAGAAACAGGTGGCAAGCAATCGTTCATCTGAATAATCGCCGCGTCGTTCGCATTCGCGGTCGTCGTCTCACTTGGCACCTGGCTAGTTATCACTATCTGATGATTAGCGTTACCCAGATTGCAGGCTTCCTGGAAAGAATTCGTACCGACCAACTCGATCACGTTGGTCGACACTTCGGTGTTATTTGTTGCCGGCTGCGTCGTCAACAGGGTATCGTCTGTTTGGATAGTGACAAGACCGTTTGCTAGCAGGAATTGCAGATTCGCCACCAGTTCGTTGCTGTCATTTAAAGACAGCATGGAGTTGTTGTTGAGAATCGTCGTCGTCGTCGCGTCAGTATGATTGAACGCGATTTGACTCGATAGATGAATCGCATCGCTAAGGTTCATTTCGGGGTTCTCCAACGAGGAATAATCGAGATTCTGCGATGGTGTGATCTCACTGCCAGTCATCGTTGTTGTTGTCGTCATCGTCGTCGTCGTCGATGTGTGATCCAGAGAACTGTTGTCAATTTCTTCGAGGCTGGCTGTCGCTTCCGCCACTGCTGCGACCTTTTGGTGCTTAGGTTTGCGTTTATGTTCCCTCGCATGCTTCTGCATGTGCACCTTCTTATGACCCGAAGTGCGAAATCGCAGGTCGCACATGGGACATTTGTATGGCTTTGAACCTGAAAGAACATTTTAAAGTTTAATGCAAATTATTATCTAAATCAAATGTTTATGTTCATCACACACATATAATTTTATTATTTGAAAATTATAAATAGCTGATGAAATAAATTTCCTTATGTTACTATTATCTTTATTTTATTTTTAATTATTATATCTTAATTTATATAATTATCTTATTTTATTAAAGCTTATATATTTGTAAATACCTAAAAAATAAGCAACAAAATATAAATAAAAAAGGATTAAATACCAAAGGCTTTAATTTTAAGTTTTTCATTTATCTCTTTCAATTAGAGAACTACATAACATACTCTATATGTAAAGTAAAAATACTCACCAGTGTGCAGTCGCATGTGGACCTTCAAACTGCCCTTCGTGGCAAACATACTGTTACAGACATGACAACAGAACGTTTTCTTGCCCGTGTGAACCTTCATATGCGAATCCAAAGTGCACTTAACTGCAAAGCTCTTATTGCAGTAATCGCATTTGTATGGTCGTTCGCCCGTATGCGTACGAATGTGCCTAATCAGGTCGCTCGGCTTTCGGAAAGTTTTTGGACAGTACTTACATTTGTTCGTGTATTCTTTCGTCTCTTTCCTCTCCAAGTTTCCCTGAACGATCAAATTCATGACACAAGTTTAAAAATATTTTTGAAAATGATGAAAAAAAAAAAAAAAAAAAATATATATATATATATATATATATATACTCACGTTCACGCGGTCCATGCTTTTCCTCTCGGCAACTGTATCCATCAGTACCTTCTCAGATACCGATGAGTCCGAATTCACTGGGACATCTGACGTCGTTATCGATGGAAGACAGGAACTGGAGATCACTTCCTTCTCGTTCGATTCCACCTGCACAACTTTCCAATCTCCGCTATGCATTTTGTGATGATATTTCAATTGCAATTTATTGTCTAGCATCTTTTGCTCACAAGTCGCACATTTTAATAGCCTGTATGACGTACAAAGAAAGATTTTTAGATTTTCTACCAATGAGTTTGAGAGATAAAAATATATTTCTTCAATCAATTTGCTTACTCCGTGTGCAGTCTCTTCATGTGCCTGTTGAGACCGCCATTCGTGAAGAATCGCTGAGAACATTCCGGACACTCGTACATTTTGGCACCACCATGAGATTTCAAATGTTCCTGCGACGATTACATCGATTTTGTGGAATATCAAATCGGTTTTATTGCTTGATTTAGCAGAGTTATATTAGTATTAATATTAATCAATTGCAATGTAAAAAAGTTACCTTTAATCTTTCTGCTGTGAAACCATTACGATGACATATGTGACACTCCAACAGATTACTGTACATCGATATTTTGACCGAGTTATTCGTTTTAGAAGAAACGAACGTCTCCGGTTGTATTGTACTTTGAAAGTTCTTCCTGCAAATATATCGAATATGTATCAATTGCTCGCTAATAACACGATTTCACATATCATTTAATTATAAATTAGAAAAATATACATGAATAAAGAATTTCCCTCGCTGTCGCATGATATAATGTTACTCTTCTGTAGCGATTTTTCATGTTCAGTTGCACCTTGCATCTCGATCAATCCGTTTGCGGTGTCCGCTTTCGCGATAACCTTCGAATACTTCGATGGACACACTTGCGAAAATCTCACCAATTCCGAACAATTGTCCTTAGGATTTATTACTGTTAAATGAGTGTTCTTCGCAATTGCAGAAGTGTCTATATTATCGATTGTAGTAACTGGAACCGTTTGTTGTTCTTCTTGCTGTCTGTTGTCTCCTTCCACGGATCTGGGCAAAATACTGGACATGTTCGTCGTGTTGCTCGAATTCAAACCAATGTCCATCTCGCTATCCGTCTATACAATCAAGATTATTGAAATTTATATAAAGAAATATCAGTAAAATATTAAACATTTTAGTTCATTTTAGAATCACAGTTATTATTCTCTTACATAGAGAGCATATTCACCTGTAACGTAATCTGGCTCATATCAAATGAATCGAATTGCGGCGTGAATATGGTATTTCCGGACGAATCCAGATTTTTGTTATGTTCGTAAATTATATTGAGCACCGGCTGTTCCCTGGAATTGTCGAGGGAATTCGTATTCGTCTCGTCCATCTGCTTTGGTAAATTATTCGTCAGTCCGAGATTCATGCCAATATTAAAAAGCTGTTGATTCAACGTCTCCTCGATCTCTCGTATGCTTTCCTACAAAATTTTCTGTCAATATTATTCGTTTCTTTTATATCGTAATGCTTATACTCATTTATAATGATTAAAGTTATGTACCGCTGTGAGGGTTTGATCTCCAGAATAATGAGATAACGTGATGGTGCCAGTTTCATCAGCATGTAAAGTTTGCGAAGTTCCTAAATTACCTGTGTCAATGGATAAATTTCTAAAAAATATAACTACGTATATATAAATGTACATAAAATTCACTTCTTACAAGATCTAATATATATATTATATTTGAAAAACGTACGGTTTGCTACTGATGTTGCACTGTTCGTCAATAAGGACTTTTCTTTCTCTGCGCTAATATTTTGAAACTGATCGGAAAAGGCCTGCGTGAAATCTGGTGCCATTTGCGGTTGGAACGACACTTCCATATCTTCAGCAAGAGTGATGTTTGCTGGTAAAGGTGCCGAGCCAGCTTCTTTGTCCTCTCTTAAAGGCTGTTGTTCCTTCTGCTCTTGCGTCTTTTGTTCCTCCAATTGCTGTTCAGAATATGTATGAAATTAATACTTTAATTTTTAAGTGTTACATCTACAAACTTTCTATAATGATTAAATATATACCCGTTGCACTAGTTCATGTTTGTGTCTTTTTATGTGCTTCCGACAATTGACGTACGTCTTAAACGTTTTGTGACAATATGGACACATAAATGGCCTTTTATTGCTATGTGTAACCAAATGCCTCTTCATGCTGCTTTGCGTAGAGAACTTTGTGTTGCATACCGGACAACTATAGGGCCTCGCGTCATCGTGTGTGTGTAGGTGAGATTTCAGGACGCTGTTCGATGTAAACCTCCTATAAAAAGCGGTGTTGTAAATCGTACACTCCACAAATTAATTTATAATTAAATAAAAAATCTCGAACCTATCGCATTTGGAGCACTTGTAAGGACGTTCGCCCGTATGTCTACGATAATGTTGCTTCAGATGGCTGACTTTCCTGAATGCCGCGTGACAGACCCAACATACGTGTGGTCTGGTTTTTTCGGTATTTTCGTACAACTGTTTTTGTTTCGATTGCACTTGGGCAACGCTGATCTTGTTGCCGGCATCGCTGATAACAAGTGGCTCCTGCAGTATCACTTGTGGCACCAAACTCTCCGCTTCTGGCGATATCTTGGGCTTCTCCCGCGCGTGACACTTCATATGATTTTTAGAATGATACTAGAGTTGAATAACTTGCTGCATACATTGCATTTGTGTGGTTTCATGTGTAATCTGAAAAGAGAAATATATTTTTATTATTAAACATTTGAGCGTAAAGGATACACAATTAAATACATGGGCATCTTATGATGCTTATGCCAGAATCAAATACAATCAAAGTATGTGATAAACAAAGATTGCATGTAGAATAAAATTTTAACTATGCAAGTTTTAAATCTTAAAATAATTTATATTATATTATGTATGAAAGAAAGAAGCTTACCTTGTATGAGAGGTAAGGCTACTATGGCACGCGAAAGTTTTATTGCAGGAGGCGCAAGCATACTTTTTCACTCCGGTATGAGTCCGCTCGTGCGCTATCATTGTCGACTTTAGCGCGAAAGAACGCACGCAATACATACACTGAAAAACGTAGAATAATTTTATTATTTATTGTTTATTCGTTGCAATTATGACTTCTGAATGAACGAAAGTTCTAACTACCTTAAAGGGCTTTTCCTGAGTGTGCACACGCAAGTGACGTATCAAGTCCGACGGCTTTTTAAACTCTTTCGGGCAAAAGGAGCACACGTACCACCGTACGTTTCCTACGCAGCGTTGCTTTATGGCGTGATACTTGCTATATATACATATAAATACAGTTTCATTTATATCTTAAACTATAATAATATATCGGGAATTTTTATCACGTTTAATAGTCATCGTCCATATTTTTATATCATCAATCATCAATTTTTTAAGTTGCTGATTAACTTTTTGTTTCATTTTATATTTTCTCGCGCAGAATAAAGAGAGCATTACCTTGAAGAACTACCAGCAGTCTTATCCAACAATGTAACATACGTTGTTGGCGAAGAATCCGTTTTTTCGACTCTGCGATTTCTATTACAAACAAAAAAGCTATTAGGTATTATAATATTATAATAGCAAATTATTAAATGGCAAATATGAGAGACGATTACCTTTCAAAGAAACTTCGTTTTTGTTCGGCAAACCGCTATTTTTCAACGCCTGTTGCAATATATCGTTCTGCTCCGCATTCAACGTTACAGTCCCCGTAGAATCTGCAGTATTATTTACAACAGCTTCCAAAGACGCCAACTGCGATATAACGCTATCGACTGTTGCGCGCATGTCAGCTTCCGAGGAGATACTGGAATTAGCTGCCGAGGACTTCTCGGTGGATTCCTAAATAATAAACGTGATGTGTTTCTTGATTCGAATAATCCTAATGCAAAACAAGTGAATATCACGTTTATTACCTCCTCCGGATTAGAATGCACTCGCTTTATGTGACCGTTTAAGCTGCCCAGCTTCTTGAAGATGCAGGAGCAATAAGAACAGGCGTACGTCGGCTCACCTTCCGGTGCATTATGCACTCTGAGGATATGTGCTTTTAGATTTCCTGAAAAATTGAAAGATAGAGGAGTGACAGACTATCTTGATAAATCTAGAATCTTGATGTAGAATGGCTTTGCTTATTACACATAATTTTTAATGCATCACATGTAATATTAATAGCAAATTCTCGAACCTTTCTGACTAAACTTGGCGTTGCAGAGGCTGCAGGTATGCGGTCGGATACCATTGTGTTGCCACGCGTGGATTTGTAGCGAACTCTTTTGCGTGAATGCCCTGTTGCAAACGGTACACTGCACAAATAAATGCATATGTGTGAAACGATCATTTTCGTTTAAACTATTTATTTATATATGCAAGAGTGTTTACTTTAAAGGGTTTCTCTCCGGTGTGTACCCTGATATGCCGCATTAGCTGGCTCGGCTTTTGGAAATTCTTCAAGCATATGGTGCATTTGTACATTGTTTTATGTTTCGTTCCCTTCTTAGTTTGCTTTACTATTTTCGTTTGTAGCTGTGAATAAATAAACGCGATAAAACTCCTGGAGAGCAAAGCTATTTGCTAGAAGCATAAAGGTTTTTCTTGAGGAAAAAAATTACAAAGATGAAAAGAAAGTAGCTTTTACCGCAGTTTTATATTAAACACAAAAATAATAAAAGAGAAAACAGAGAATAATACATATAAAATACTTCCAGTGTTATTGATCTATTTATTGAATAACTTTTAGCACAATAAGTTTTTTCTACTCACTCTATAATGTTCGCGTATGTGCATTCGGTAGAGCGCAGGTTGTGTGAATTGCTTGTTACATAATTTACACTTTCGTACGCCAACATCCTCATTCGACCACTTTTCTCCGTGAAGCTTCAAATGCGCGTCCAGTTGAGCCTGATAAAAATAATTTAATTAATTATTAATTTTTATTATTATTTAATTATTAATATGTAATCTGCGCATATAGTAATTAAATATAAATTATATATCTATATCTATATATATATATCTAATTATTTTCAAATATTTTTATAAAAATTATCTTAAATTATACATATGCGTACACATACAAATATTTTATAAAGTACAGTATCTCTTTTTTTTTGAACTTCTTTTAATTTCCTTGTAACTGTAATAATTTTGGGATTATTGAGATTAATATACCTTATAATACTGAGCGCTAATTCCAAGAGCGAGATGAAACACGCGCGTGCAGATGAAGAGAAGTGCGAAATTCAGGCAGTCTACAGCGAACGACATATCGAAAGACAGTACAGATTATGTCGTGTAACATAAAGTAATACGCGCCGGCGAGCAGTGAGTTCTTATATGGCAGTGCTTGGAGCAAAAAGTAGGACGAACACAAGGCATTGAACACAACGCAGTGACCCACCGCGAATTATCGTGACTATCGATCATTCGTTTCGAAGAAACGCTTTTTTCCTTTTAGACGATAAGGAACGAAGGAATACAAAATAATGAACACAAAATTTGATTTATCACAATGCCAATAGTAAATTGAATCATTCTACGCTCGCAAAATTTCGCTGATGAATTGTATCTTTCATTATCTTCTATCAATAAAGGAGCAAAATAAATTAGAGATCAAATAGAGCACTCGTTTTCGTTAATTGAATTGAGCGATTATAATTTCTTCCTTTTTTTCTATTATTCTCTTCTTCTCCTTTCTATCTTTTCTCTATCTTTCTTCACAGCAGATTTAATATATCTCAATGTAATGTAATAAAATTCTTTCTCCTCTTTTTCTATCTTTGCAGGACGAGTTCTTGGAGACGAGATCGTCGAGATTGCGCCGTCGTAGCCCCTTAATTCTCGAGCAATATCGCGCCTCCGAAGGAGGACATTGCACTTTTTCCAGCAGCCGTAGCGGCTTCTTCCCCGCACGCCGATTGATCTTCCCAAAGTTAGCCGCTCTTCCTCTCTGCCTCCTCTCTCTTCCGCCTGCAGGCCTCTGTACTCTTCTTCCTCTTCCGCTTGATCGTCCTACGCAAACCTCCCGGTTCTTCGTCCTCTCCTCTTCTTCGCGCGTTTCCCTCTTCGCTTTCCCTTTCTCGCGATGCTTCTGCCTCCGCGACGATAAGATTTCGGTCAACCAGAGAGAGACTCGTCACTCGCATCTCGGATTCTTCAGATGCTGCCGACAAACGCGGTGCGACGAGTCGGCGATCTGCATAAGTAAACTTGAGACGGCATAGCTCTCCGGCAAGTCTAAAAGATTTTACGAGATAAACCAAGATTTTAACACTGACTATTCCAGGAATAAAATGGAAAAAATAATGATGAAGTTTTTCTTTCAGTCTTGTCTGCAAATTTATATATCAAAAATATGAAGTTGAGAAAATGATTGTTTTGGTAAAAGTCCTATCGATTAATTAAATCAATTATAATTAAAAGATCGGAAAGGATAATTTACCTCTTCTTCTGATCCTCATATAGTTCTAGATTTTACGTATTTCAGCAACATTTATAAAGCTGTCAAAAAGGAAAATGAATTGGCAGAGTTTGCGGTAACGTTTCTTTGTGTCGAAGCACATCCAAAGAGAGCAGAAGATCTAATCACGTTGGATGTATAACGATCCAGGAAACGACCTCCGGCTTCGATACACCGCCCACCATCGAGGACAGTGCGAGAACAGCATCTTTTGTCGAATCACCAATCGCTCGAGGCAATATTTCTTCACACTTTCTGATTTTTTCTTTTTTCCACAAAATTTAGATCCTCGTTATACGCAAAACAGACTGTTCCGATTAAAATTAACTTCGAGGAACTCTGCTGGACGGCAAAAACGGACGGTTTCCTAGAAACTTCTTCTTTCGGCAGTCGGAAACGAGGACAAGCGAGGCAGTGCGAGTCATTATATGCTACAGCAAACAGACAATTGACCTGTCAAGTGTCAAGCGGACGCGTGTCGTCCGACAACAAACGCGAACGACTCGAGACTGCGAGAGCAAGAAGATCGATGTCGTTCTCAAGAGCTGAAGAGTTCCTGAAATACAATCTCGAGGGAAGCGTCATCAATTTTTCCCCGTATAAATCGCGTTTAAATTCTTTCGCTCTTGTAACTTAATCGTCAGATTTCACTGGTCGCCTCTTTTTGATCTTATGTCTTCTCCGATGCGTTCTTACACGAGGTCAGATTATTATTGCTTGCGTGGATAAACACGCGTCTCCGTAAAAGATCCAGCTGATGCAAATGAGTCTCTTCCGCGAAAAAAACCTGATCTATCTCGTAACATTATATACATCCACATACAATGTGGTTTCTCGTATTATTTTTATATCTTAATATAGCGATCGCTCAGGATGGGGCGACCTCGACGACGAGTATCCGGAAAGAATCGTATGTAATTTTTTCAGGATCACTGTTACTAATAATAGCGAGTTATCGGAACGGCGACTACATCCTCGCTCTTCCTCGGTAAAGTTCAATGGTTGGGTTCTTATCAACGGCAGTCGTGTTATCGGCGCTTTTATATTTCGCTTGGCGATTCTTCCCTCTCTACTGCGAATTCGTTTTACGTTCGTTATCCTTCACCTGAGCACGTGTTCACTGTAGACCACGATGCACCAGATCCGCTCCACCTACATAATAAACTCACGTCAATTATTTATGCTCGACTTTTCTTCTTCTCTATACATTTCGTTTCACATCGTGTTACACACATCATGAAGAAACCTTATCTGTATAATTTCTTTCATAAATCTCGGTCTTCGAAGGTGGCCGAACAGAGTTCCTCGAAGACCTTTCAAATCCGACGACAGAGAAAATATACAGATCCGTGGAGAAGTAGGCGTAAAAGAAGCCCGTCTGTTCCGAGAAAAAAAATTCTTTTCAACGACGATTTAAAGACAAAGTACCACACAGCAAAACTATAAAATGTAGAATTTATAGTATTAATTATTTAAATAATCCTGTAAAGAGGAATAATTTAATATGTGCCTTGTGCACAATTGTTTATTTCCAACAAAAAATTTATTTTCGTTGGAATGTACGCAGGAACATCTGCATGTGGCTCTTAAGGCCTTCCTTAGTTGTATTTATTAAGGAATAATTTATTTTGATATATTTGTGTGTGTAAACTGCTTGTTATCTTGATTTCTTCATTTCTTTAGCGATGAAATATAATATAGGCACTGGCAATTTTTGAAGACGTGACCATAATTAAATTAATTAAACGCATCACGTTTCTTGATCAATCATGGGACATAGGAGAAAAATCAAAATGACCATGAGTACTTTGACGAGCAAATGAGTATGAATATTCGCGGTGTTCTTTGACTTTGAAGAAACTGTACATTTCGTCGAAGGAATACGAGATGACAAGCGCGAGTACGTGCACACTTCGCGAGGATTCGCCGCTCACTGACGAAGCGACTGCAAGTGTCGCTTACGTCGTCACCGAAATACTCGTCATACTCATCGTCATCATAATCGACTCTTTCTCTCGAGAGTTGCCATACTTTTAGATTCGCCCGAGAAATGCAGCAGATGAGAATCAAGTTTGTATTATTCTTAATTGTTATTTTATTATTTCTGTATCTTCTTCAATCTTCATTCTTGAAACCATCCTCTTCAACGACGTGCAAAATTATTCTTGCATCTATCTTTTATCTCACATTTTTATATTTTTTCTTCACAAATAAATATTTAAATCTTTATAAAAATTATCTTCACAATTTTTGCCTGAAATTGAAATCAAATTCGAGCACATATGATTTGGTATCTCAACATCTACGACTATGATCTTCTTGATACAGATTTTCTCTTCTTCAATTTCATATTTCATCATCATATTGTCTTCTTTAATTTTCATTCTTAAAATCATACTCTTCAACAATGTGTAAAACTATTTTTGCATCTACCTTTTATCTCACATTTTATATTTGTTCTTCAAATAAATTTTTTAATCTTTATAAAGATTACTTTCACAATTTTTGGCTAAAATTGAAATCAAGTTCAAGCATGTATGATTTCGTATTTCAACATCTGCGACTATGATCTTCATACAGATTTTCTGTCTTCTTCAATCATGTATCCGTCTATTTAAATACGATCGAATGACGGGACGATGCAACGTATCTTTTCTAGAGTCTGTTTCATATTTCAACGTTATATGAGTGCGTGTAGGCGTATGGCGCGTGTCAAACGCAACAGCAATCGGCGAGGGATCTGTGTGAGATCATACGATTCGGTTGCGTAATTCGTTGCGCGCCACATTAATATAGTCGTCGTTGCTGCTAACTTCCCCATGCTTTATTAATTCACATCACGCTGCGTCGATTCCGATTGGTTCTCGGTGTCTCCATAAGGCTCGAAAAATCATCTCGGAATCGCAACGCTACGTCAAAAACATCTTCAGCGTTCTGAAAAACGTACACTCTTTCTCCAATGAATAACAAGTGCGTGATCAAAAACAAGCGCTATCTCGAATATGCATGACTCATTAATTTCATTTCCATTGAATTATTACTAATTAATATAGATACGTCCGTAAATATGTAGTAAAGATAAAGCGGGTCTGAATAAATTGTCATTGCTACTCGCCAAGTATTGCAAGGCCGATTATTGCTGGTATACTTTGACGACGCTATGAGATAATGTCCTCTCTTAGTCTTCGAGAGGAATTATTAAATCATCTCCTCCATTTATCCGACTGCAGTCATGAGGACATAACGAGACGAGAGAATCGCCGGTTCCTAACTTCTTCTCTATGATCTCTTGATTTTGGTCAGTGGGCAGCGAATAGATAAGTCGTTGCGGGTCGCCAAGATCGACCTTTGATTGAACGAAGTAAAATCAAGATTCGTCTTAGATCGAGCTATATTCACTGCATTAGCATAATTAAATTTATTTATATATGTAATCTCTCTTATTCATTATATAATAATAAATACAGAGTCTATTGATTATTTAACGTGAGCTAAATTATTGTACAACGATGGCAAATGTATGCTAAACAATATTTTTTTATAAACATTTATGGTAAATAAGTAATTAAAATTTGCATGCATCAAGCGAGGTTTACGAGCGCGCGATTCACTCGGGCACGGAGATCAATTGCGAAACGAATATGAGGTAAAACAGCCTTTAGCCTTTAATTCCAGGTGGAAATAAATACTGTATATTTACAATGGTGAATGTTATCCATGAAGTGGTGTCTGTGCGAACATCACAAAAACGTCGGCAAAATATCGATAAGACGATCTTATGTAGCGCGATAACATTTGTATGCATATAAAGATTATTTTTAAAAAATGTCAGATAATATTTCAAAAACTAGTCTGGAAATAGCATATAAAGTGAAAGTCTATGAAGCTTTTGATGTCATTTATAAAGATTAAACACAAAGACATTAAATCTCTAAAAATGTATTATTTTCAATGTAGAAAAAGAATGTATTATTTTGAATGAAGAAGAAAATCACTTGTACATCGAAATAAATAAAATCAATGGAATAAATATTTTCAGACTCACCTTTGTTGAAAAAGCGTCTTCGCATTCTGTACAGAAGAGGTTCTCCTCCTTCTCGTGTAGCAACATATGAGATTTGAGACTCGCCATTCTGGCGTATTTCCTACCACATTCAGGACATTTCGGGTCACCGATATTATGCGTTGCCATATGAAGCGTGAAATTTATCTGCAATGATGCCATTGTATGGAGTTACTAGACTGAATCCGACCATATGTATTGTATTGAAGAGATTAAAATAAAAGAAGCAACTTTCACTACAGTTAATCTACTTCTATAAAATATTAGTTGATAATCGATTTTATTATTTATGTTTTAGTGATTTGTCAACTGCCTCTTCTTCTTGTTACAGTGTATTTTTCTTATCACATTACAGTATATATTAATTAAAATTTAAATATAGTTCTGATATTTTTTTTCATTAATAAAAAGATGGCAAAAAAACTTACTGGAATATTAAAAGATGCTGGGCATTTTGGACATCTATGTGGTTTTTCTTCGGCATGATTTTCCATATGTTTGCGGTATAATGCATGCTTAGTAAATTCTTGCCCACATATATCACACTTCAAAGATTGTGTATTCTGCAACAGAGATATTAATATATTACCAGGTTAAAAAGTTTCAACTATGTAAAAAAAATCAAGATTATTCCATTAAATTCCCACAAAATGTAAATATTCAATTTATTTTATATAGTTATACAGTGCAAACACACATTTTATAATTAAAATAATAAAAGTATTTTTAATGTTAATAATATTATAAAATTACCTCAGTCTTTTTTGGTCTGCCTGGAGACTTTTTATGTACAGATGTAGATACAGACATAGGCTTTTTTTAACATGATTGTCAATTGTTGCCTGTTCTTTTGTCTGTCTTCTACAATTTTCTTCTTTATTTAATATATTGCTATCTTCTCTAACAGACAACAAGGGTTCTGTAATTGCACACTCATTTATATTCTGTATTATTTTTAATTGTTCTGTAACCGCAGATCTATTCTGTTGTATTGGAAGTAGATTTGCTTGTTGCATCACAGCATTTCCTGATGAACTTTCGAAATTTAATTGAAAAATAGTCTAGAACAGAAAGGTTTATTATGTATAACTATTATATGAATAAAAGAACTTTTTATAATAATAATGTCTTTTTATAATGTTTAAAATGCTTTAAATATACATACAGGATGCAAAATAAAGTTTCCATCCACAGTCTTTATCAATGCTGAAGATACTATGTTATTTTGTGGCATTAATGTAATAGGGGTTGCCATGATTTCCAATGTGCCATCCTCATGCTCTGAAAAAAATATATCTTCAATAATCTTTAAACAAAATATGCATCTCATTCTTGTTACACTTTGTTTACTTATTTATTTTACAATTTTAACAAATTCTATATATATTATTAATGAAACTTCTGTGTGTCTAACTAAAATCTTTAATTACTATACAAAGAGAGATATAAAATATATCTCTTACAATAAACTTTACATATATATAATTTTGTATCTTTATTAATTATTTACTGCTTTAATTATTTATTGCTTTAGTATGTTAAATTGTTTCATTATCTTACCACCCACTGCAAAAAGCGTGTGACCATCATCCGCAGTCATAAAACCAATCGGTACTGTATTGCTAGAGTCAGTGAATTCCATAATTACATTCTGTTCTGTCAACATGTTTGCAGACATACTTTTGACTCAATGATGACAATCTTTACACAATAAACAAGACTGCTTTTGCAAACTCGCGCTTGTCCACGTAATCTACAAATTAAATATAACATGTTGTTACACTCCTTCTGGTGGCTCTTGTAAGACAGCTATTACTTAAATTAACAAAATTAAATATCAATCTCTAGGAATCTAACCTAATCATGGACCATCTTGTAGGTCTTCGAACGACATTAAAATGACATTATCTTTATACTTTCGATTGCGCACATAAAACGCCGCCGATGAGGCTCTTTCATTCGCGATACATTTGTCTCGCAGATATTTTTCTTTTCATTTACCACACGTAAATGTCACCATATGCTGTTCTTCCGTCACCGTTCTTCCTATTCTTTCTCGCTTTTTCAAAGTCGCATAGGTCCCTGTTGATTCACGCTCGTTACGAATACGACACATATTCCCGTTTTTCGACCGTTTCTCTGTTGTAACTAGCCGCTCCTGTCAAATTAACGCGTATCAACATATGCAAATTTCTCAATCGGCGTTCGTCATCCGTACTTGATGTTTACGAAGTAGCGGAGAATGACAGTAAAGACCTCTGTCGGTCGACGTTGGAATTACGTTTCGAAATGTCATATTACCTGTCAAAGGTATATTGCAAATCGATTTATATCGAATCGACGTATCGATTCGATATATCGATGCAAGTTATATCTATAAAACGCAGTTGTTTATCCATAGAAAATTTTTAAGATTAGCTAGGCGCAGTTTATTTAATTGTAATAAATATCGTATTAAGTTTAATTTATTAATAAATCGATTAATTTATTGGAAAAACATGCCGGGTCCTGTTGAACACCGAGCTGTCACACCACTGATACAATTGATTAGAGATATAGGCCGCGGTGTAAGTAATGATATTTACTACAATTATGTAATCTTTGTATTTTAATATTTTTATTTGCCAAGGTTTGTTATTTAATTTTATTAATTTTACAAAAGGTTTTTGAACAAAATAAATCCTTTATTGAAACAAATAATTAGTTACTTTAAAATTAGTTGTTGTGTTAAGAGGTTATATATTTTCAAAAAATGTTGGTTTTAATTTGGAGAAATTAAATAACAAATTGTTTTAAAGAAATATATTTTACTTCTTTATTGGCCAATTAGTTTTTTCTTGTTTTCAATATATTCGCATGTTTTCTTGATGCAAAAGCAGTTTTACAGCAATTTTACTTTACATTTGCACAAGTTTAGATTTTTGCAATAAACATATGTTATATATTACAAGTTAAAATAAATTAATTTATCTTAGATGGGATAGCTTGACAATATATTTCTGAGATTGTTTATGTTTGTCACAGAGAAAAGTCGTGCTAGCAAGTAGATTTGCTGACGAACAAGCAGCACGCACTCAACCTCCGCCACATATACCAGGAGGTCCATATCATAAGACTTCTGAGATTTATTATTACACTCGAGATGGGAGACGAGAAGTTGAACCACCACTATTGATTAGTGGATCAAAACAAATTGGCACGGAGTAAGTATAATTTACCAAATTAAATTTATCTAAAAGAATCAAAATTAATGGTACATAATCGCATAAATATTCAGCAGAATTATTTTGAAAGAACAATTCAAAAGAGATAGAAGAGAAAATTTTTCTACTCATACATTTTTTAAATACTTTTTTTAGGGATGAATTTCCTGCTAAAGAGAAATATCTTTCTCCAGGGACTGCTTACAAATGGGATTAATTTCATAAAATTAACTTTAGAGATTTGTTCTACAGGACATTATAATGCAAATTACATTGATGTAATATAATGATAGATTTGTTCTGATATAATTATTGTACATAGAAAATAAAGTTACTTATTGTAGAATTTGTTCACTATATTCATCTAAAAATAATTATAAATAAAATTAGACATCAGAAAAAAACAAACTGAAATAAAGATATACATACATATACATATATTTTTTATAGTATTTTGCACAAAATACGTTGGTTAGATTTAACACTTGTTAATAGCCGAGGATTGTAATACGTCACAAACTAAAATGTTTTAGAAGTCAAAAAATTTAAGTAATTTAAAATTTTTAATCACAATGCATAAATTAATAACAAACAGAGGAATGTTCTCGTATACATATAGATATGCTGCGAAAAACAGACATGTTTATGTGTATATATATCAATACAATATCTTTTTCGTAGGTAAATATAATACATTATTACATACATATACAGAGTGAAATAATTTTCACAAAATACATGCAGGACCTAATAAAATAATATTGACATCTATATAAATTTGTACAGCCTCGCAGAATTAATGATTACACTGCAATATCTAACACGGTATGTTAAATTCTTGGATTCTAATCAGATAACAACAGCGCAAAACGCTAGCCAACTAATTACAGGGGTTACAAGGAGAAACATGAGGGGAAAAAGAGAGATAAATTCTCTCCGACAACAGTTTAATAGGGAATCTGATTTTGATAATATTGTATCATGTCGTAAGTTTTCGTACGGAAATTGAGGTAGCTGTTACGTATTACATTAATCATGAAGATCGCCGCGTCTCGATCAGTAGCAGTCGGTACAAATCGACTGCGTAGAAGCTTGATAGTTTGTCCACGGAAGCAAGGTAATCCTGTGTCGAGCATAAGGGAGACGAGAGAGATGATGGCTTCCTGGTAGGGTCTAGAAGATGAACAACATTAAGCAGGATATATTTACATACATTTCTTGCTACAACTAAACGCGCTTACCTGACCGCGAGAAAAGCTTGCACGCACAACTCCATGAACCAACGGAATGGCGCAGCTTCCATTTTACCACCCATCACAAGGACCATCTCATCGGTGAGCTTGATGTCGGGTTCGAAGCCCAGATTACCGCCAGGTGAGCTCTCGAACATGAAGCCAAAGTCGATGTGTATGATGTGACCTTGAGTGTCTATCATAATATTACCATTATGACGATCCTTTATCTGCAGGAGATACGTAATCACGCTGTACGCCGCCATCGACTTGACAAAGTTCCGACGAACATTTTGGAATTCTTTGGTCGTCTCGTCTCCGTGTTGCGTGATAAAGTATTGATACATATCGCTGTCTGTCGTACGCCCAAGCTGGTCCCTCGATGTTGCATTTGGCACGCATTCAATCACACCGCACTGATAACAGAGGAGCATAATTATAAATAAAAGATTTATTAAAAAATACACTGATCACAATAAAAAATTAATTTCTATTTTACCCCGGGAGCTGTGGCCACCACTCTATAGGGAAATAAGAAGAGATTCAATCCGACCTTCTGGAATATGTTCTTAAAGATGCTAATTACTTGCAGAGCCAGCATATCTTGCCTGACATCGTCGCCAACCTTGAAAATAGCGGCTTGCCACGTCTGATCTTCTGATTCTTTCTTGCTCTCGACTTTCCCGTTAGTCGAGACTGCTAGAGCGATGTTCTCGAGCTCATTGATGCCGTATCTCTGTACTTTGAAGCGCGCTAAGAACGGCGCCTTAGCAGCACTGTAATTGTAAGAAAATTATGTAACACTTTGTAATAAAATCATCTAAGTCGTTGTCTCGCGATTATCTTTCTAAATCTTACCTCTGCATAGGAGTACCACTTTGATAATCAATATCGATGACCATCGCTTCGGGATTCGATGGTAGATAGCAACCGGGTTGTACTTTCACTCTCGCTAAGGCTTCTAGACATGCGGCTTTGCGTTCCGGTCCCTTAGGATACGGCCGGATTTCGCCCGAGATATTGGTAATCTTATCGAAAAAGTCAAACTCCCTCTCGTAAAATTGTTTCGCCGGACCAGACAATGCGTTCAGGATATTCTTCGACAACAAATCTAATATGTCGTACAGCACAGGATCCCTTACTTGCTTCTCCTCGTCCATGTATACATTAGTGTACATATTCCATATCAGCTGATGCGCCACTACCTAAAACGCGTTATAACAAAACGATTACATGCAAATTTCTTAGTCGCGATTCAACTTAATTTTAATTGCCAATCTTATTACCTGCGATCGTTTAGCGATCTTTTTGATAAATTCAATCACGTAACCCATTGCGTCGTGACGGACGGCTTGCACTAGTTGAGGTATATAGAAAAGCACAGCATCAGCAGGATAACTATCCAACACATGCACCGCGTATTGCGCCGAGATAGGATGATGCGGAAATTGTCGCGAGAAGTATGCCAGTGCTTGAATTGGAGACACTCTTGCCCAGGTTAACATATAAACTAACTGAAATAATAAAATTAGATCATATCATAAATGCAAATAAATAGAAGAATAATATCCTATGTATAAATATACAAATATATAACATTATATATATATATATATATATATTATATATATATATATATATTTAATTTATAATATTAATACTAATAATAATATAAAATATTAATTTTTAATAATATAATATATTATATTATTATAAGAGTAATATAATATATTAATATACTACAAATTATATATAAAAAATAGTGATCCATTAAAAATAAAAATTATTACATAGTATAATATATTGAAGATATCTTACTTCAGGTACATCGTTGAGCAGTGTGTCTGTCGTGACAAGATACTGCAATGCATCTGATAGATGCATAACCAATACAGGTTTAAGGCGCACCAAGCCGCAGATCTCCTTGATAATGACTTCATGATTTTTCAATCGCACTGGTAGGAATGTTGCCAAGACGGGACTGATCTCCCACGCAAGCCGCGTATATTCGCGCCAACGGTCGTTCATTCCCTTGGCTCGCCAGTCCGCGATACTCCCTTCTCCTTGCAGTGCGAGTTCCGGTCTTCCGCCAGGATTACGCCAAACCTATGATATTTTGATGTTTATTTTCACATGAAACAGCGATAAATCACAATATATCTTGAAAGATTTGTCGAGCATTCTTACTAGTAACATCTCGATTTCAACCGCTAACAGTTCGAGAATTAAGTTTCTCTTCTTGATATAATCTTTCACGAGAACATTGGCATTGATAACTCGCTTGCTGCGATTGCTGCGTTTGCCTAACGTATTGCTACTGGTCGACATCGGCATGGTGTTCATCCACACATTGCTGGACGATTTCGAAAAGTCATTTGGCGTAGGAGCAAGCGTGGCGGCTAATGAACCGATCGTCTCGCTCGGAACAATTACCGCGGTTGTACAGGTTTGAGAAGTTACGATTTCAAACTCGTTATCAGCTCCCGTCATCATCAAGTACTTCTTATCGCTATGCATCACCTATAGAAAACGAATAAAGCAGAGGACAAATTTCAATATTGAAGAAATAAAAGATTGTACAAATTTTCACAAATCAGATCAATCCGCTTTAATCTGCGTTTTAATTTATAGACGTTTGCTGCAAATTCTTACCTGCCAAAAACGCATTAAAGTAACTATGTCCTCGCTAAGCTGGTCAATCTCTTGAGTCGGTAATTGGCGTTCCCGACAGAAATAATCCAGGCAATTGGAATAGACACGTTCACGCAAGACATTTTTGCTCAAAGTTCTGCGAGAATAAATCCATTATTCTTTATCTTATTAATTATGTATTGATATACACAGTATACACGTTATTCATTCCATTATGCTTACCTCGGTAAAACGTCGCCCTGCAACAGCACTAAACCGCACGAGAGGAGCTTGAAGCGCACGCCGACCGCGGCGACGTGTCGATTGATACCAGGTTCCTCGCCGGATGCACCAACAGTCATGGGTAACGAACGATGCAACAATAAGGCGATCATGTCGACCGTTTCCTGACAGCAATACTTGGCCGTTTCGACGAGCTCTACTATGAAGGTCACCCAGATATCGTGCGGTTTCACATGCGGCGGATTGGGTCCGAGCTGGCAACCCTCATAAACTGCGAGCGGACTGACCTCTTCTTCGTTTGGTGCGAAGAGACCCATCCTCTTGTCGACAGTGTACTGCCACGCGAGTAGCATCTCTTGCAAGAAACGCAATTTTAGATCCGGCCGTACAGTCAAAATCCATTGCCAGCACTCGACCGCTGTCGTCATAGCTGCGGTCGTGAACAGTTCTATCTGTGAGCACGCGACAATGTGCAGCAATCTTCTATGTATCCCTAAAAGTGCGAATAATGAAAGTAAAGTTCAACAGAATGTACTGTTTAAAATTATAAAGTTGATTGCTGTCTAAATTTACCGGGCATGGATATTAAGAGAGCAGTGGCACGCCAGAGAGCCCCGCGATGAGCGGTATCGTCGCGATCCTGAGAAGCGCGACGAACGGCTTCGATCAATCTATCGATGACTTTATCTCTGCACTCTTCTAGAGTCACCTCTGCAGTTGACGACTCGGTGCGCGCTAGAGCGAGCATACCCGCTACTTCACCGGCATGCCAGGATCTCGTAGACATCATCGATAGCAACCATGAACTCGCGCCTTTCGGAGCACGTGGCCTTTTATCCAATGAATTCGTCTGCAAAAATATAACTTTATTAGTATAAAATTAATAGCGAGTTATCATTTACATAATGCGCATATAATACAATTAAACATCAGTACATACGTTTGCCGGGACTACGGTGGGAATTGCGGTATCCACGAATTCGAGGACAGAGTCGATAGCCAGAGATAAACCAGAATGATGTCGCATAATAGAAGACGGTATCTGATTGATGTACTCTTGTAGATGTGATCTGGTAGCTTGCGGCGCCCATTTCATAGCCTCCTGCACTATGCCTTTACATCTTGCAGTAAAATCTTTCACAATTATCTGCAATAATTCATGTATTATTCAAATCTGCTTTATTTTAACAAGTAGTATAACATGTATATTACATAAGACATCATACCTCTCTTGCTTCAATAGTATTCATAAGCTCAATACTATACGGTGTGCCAGGTATTCTCAAACTAGGAGTTTCTTCATTTGGATCAAGTTGTAACGAGTATGATAAAATCTGCAATAATATATTCGTGTAATAAAAAGAAGCTTAATGAAACATATAGATAGAATACACAACGCGCGATAAGAGTACCTGTAATATGTCCAACATACTCCAGAGAACTTTGCAATTCCACAACAGATGCGGAAAAGCATCCACTAATGCGCTGAGATACTTGTCCGCAACTCTCCTAATTTGTTTGTGCACATGATTGAAACGTACTAACAGAAACTGCGCGTGATTTTCGAGTTCCTTCTCGCGTTGCTCGTCCTTCGGTTTACGCTGCATCACATCTTTAAATTTCGCGAAGACAGAATCCGCCACACAACATATACATTGCCACATACCGCTCTTATCCTTTTGCAAATCAGTATCACACAGATACTCCATTATCGGTTGCAAACTGGGTTCAGGACTGTTTGCCACCCGCAAGGTCTCTGACCAATAAACGGATAACAAGTATGTGCACTGTGCAAACTGCAGCTTAGTGACATACGCTGATATGTCATTTGTACTAAAAGAAAATCACAAGAAATTTTGTAGTAGATTTTAAATAATAAGATATATAATTAAATTCTAAAATATAAGAAATATATATCTAAACTAAAATTATACATATATACACATATATATATAATATAAAGACTTTAATTTCTTTAAATAATAAAATGCATCTCATTTTCTTATAATTGAAACAAGGAAATGTTATGTATTCGCAGCATTTCTCTTTACAATATGATATAATTGAAAAGATTGATCAAAGATCGAAAATAAGAAAGATAAATCATACCGGGTGCTTATTTTCAATACTTGACTCCGCAACTCCTGCAGTTCGTTCAATGAGACACTGTCATTGCGTACAGCCGACGTATATTGTAATTCTCGCATTTCGAGACGGGCGCTAGTCTGAGAAATAAGATAGGGCGACTTGACCGCAATCTCTTTGACACCCTCGTACCATTCAGGTGGCCACAATCTCGACGGATAATCCGCTGCGAAGCCCATTATAACGCAATACAACCAAAAATCTTTGAAGAGTTTCAGAAGACGTTTCTGCGGATGTCTGATCGGCGGTAGACGTCGCATCAATATCGCGATCACGGGTATGAGTACTCCTAAATTTCCGGCGCTGCTAGCTGCTTTCTGCATCACATGTTTTTTTATTACATTTAAAATATTATTTTCTTCATATATCTTATTAAGAATAAAGCAATCTTACCGTCGCAATGATACTATTCGGCATCTTGTCGCTGGCACGTTTACCTTCCAGTCCCAACTGCACGAAAAGTTCAAGAAGATGCAGCAGTAAGTCGTCCAACTCAGACTCGCCTTGCAGGTTCGCCGCTATATTCGCCAGAGCGTTCGTAACCGCCTTGGAAACGTGACAATACTGCTTACGATCATCATTCGCCGCATAAGTTGCCGTACTTGATCCCAACGACATGGAGAACATTTGCATTATCCCTTCGTAAATCTGCGTATTAAACAAGTATTCTCAATAATGATCATACAAAATTTTTTGCTCGAAGTGATTCTAAAAACTAATTAAAGTTGTCACTGACCTTTGGCTCGCATTTAGCGATGATCATGCAACCCAGTTGATCCACTATGAGGAAATCAAGATCGCTGGGAGTGCGGCAGAAGAGTTGTTGGAAAAATGGAAATATGGTGCGCATCGTCTTCGGGGTATCCTTTAACGCCACTGCCACATGGCCCAACATAATCACAATGTTCTTCGAGACTACTTCGTTCTTCAATTTCTCGTCGTTTTCACTAAAAAAAATACATGGAGTGGATATTGCAATTTTATTTACATATACTCGTAGAAAAAAATATAGATAATGTCGAGTAGCCGTACCCATCGCTTATGTCTGCAGTATACAATCTATTTGAGACGCTGGCTACGAGCGCCGGCACGCAATCCGGATTCACGGAGTGCGCAGCTTCCAGGGCGATGCAGAGATTCCCGATTGCCGCATCACGAAGTTTCTCGAATGCCGTATGTACCGATGACGTCGTCGTCTGCTTTGTGTCAGTTATTTCCTTCCCTTGAACTGCCCAAAAATATAACGTGAATTTGTGCTATATTTATTACAAATAATTTTATACTACATTGACAAAAATAAAATATGCAATATGAGATGAGAAACCAAACACAAGGAGACTCCTTGGTCGATCATCCAAAAGATGATACGAGAGTTTGACTTCAACGTCCGGAAGCTTAGTAAAGTAGAAAAAAAAGACATAATGTTAGGAAGAAAAAAGGATTTAGATATGCAATAAGAGATACAATTTACCTAGCACTTTAAATTGATGCTCCTTCATGGAATATTCGCTATGTTGTCGATATAACTTCAGAAGAATCGGCGATGGCGCAATGAGAAAGTCTCGTAGATAGTATATCGACGTGCTGGCTATATTGGGAAACTTTTGCGCCAATTTTCCCAGTCCCTCCAGACAAACCATTAACAACGGCATGTGTGCTAACACAAGTTTGGGTCCATGATTAGAATTAATCTTTTCCACGAGTCGTCCGCACAAACTATCCGCGCCTAAAAATCAAAATATATTGTATATTATATACAAATTACAGTATAAATATATAAATAAAATTTTCTCAGCATCGCATATCACAAAGTTATCGATATTAATTATTTATACATGATGCATTAAAAAAAACATATTGTAAAAAGGAACAATCGACGGATTATCGTGCTATTAAGCGGAGATGTATGTATTTGTTAGTAATTACACTAAAATAGCGGACATGTTAATGAGGAAGTAACACACACGGGTAAATCAATATACCCTTGCCGATCAGCATTGAACTGATATCTGCGAACAGCGCGGACAAATCATATTCGCCGGATACTGGAAAAATAACGTGAAAGAATCTTAAGAAACCTTTTATATCGAATTATGTGTTACATGATCGATACAGACATTGACTTCTCCTCGCACTGTCCAAGCGCTTACAGTTACGTAGCACAATCATGACTCTTCCAATGTATATATTATTATTCTCTTATGAGTGCGCAATCTGTCTAGTCTTAGTGAGAAAATGTTTTCGCGCGATCTCTATTTTGTTATCGACAAACGTGAAGTATACCTGTCTCGTCGCCGATCGCCCAGACCAACAGATCCACGCAAGCGGAGTTGGCCATCACGTTGACCTTGAAGCGATTCACGGTACGGAAATTCGTGTCAATGTCCTCGCGTTCGCTCGCATCATGCTGTCGTGATTGCAGCTCCGTTTGGCCCGAGAGAAATAAACCCTTAACGAATTCCTGTACATCCCTCGTGAACGGGGCCGGTAAATCCCGCTGATTCTGCAGGAGCTCCCGCAACAGAGCCACCATCACTAGATTCATCGTCTCGCTGAATGTGCGATATGGGAAAATTTGCACTTGGCCAGAACTGTAAACCTAAAACGATATTATAATTACAATTTTTATAATTACATTCACAAAAATAATAGTTAATGTAACTAACTCACTTGTTGTGCCTCTTCATCTAAAAACGTCAGGATCTCTTTCGTGAGTAATTTTTTAGCTAGAGCCAACACACTCTGCAAATGCACTACAGTGAATTGCATTCCGGCTCTTCTCTCAGGACTCTCGTTGCATCGCATCTGCGGGAACTGATTGAAGCTCGATCCGTAACGACTGAAGAAATATGTTGTCGGGTCGTACGGCACCGACAAGAAGGACTGCAACGACGGTCTCTTACCGCATTGATAATCGTGACCGTCGTAGCCCGGCAACGCTATGTTGTCGATACACGAATTAAAGTTACCACTCAGAGATCGCGGGATAATCGGTCTAAAGTTTGAGAAGCTATACTGTTTCTTGTCGGACATCAAGCGACTCTCGGAACTGCTTGCCGGCGAGGGTGTCTCCCGACGTGGAAAGATGCGACAGAGCAACGGTGGATCCGTGCACGCAAAGCGACCCATCGATCGTGCGAGACCAATCAACACTGGCACCAGACATTTGCATAATGATACTGAAATGTAATAAAAAAGAAACATTACTTTTTAATTGAAGTTTCTGAATTCTTATCAAATAATAGATATATATATATAAATAACATATGGTTTAAGACAAAAATTCAATGTTAGTGACATTATAATGAAAGTAGACTTACAATTATGACTTTTATTATTTCCTTTATTAGTTTGTTAATTTAAACTACTCATTTTTTAATATTTCAGAAAGAATTGTCGTTTGTATCTTATTTAGAATAATTGCAACTTGTCAGAAACAATTATACTAGGTTCTAATACATCTGTTGATACCCACTCTTTGCTTGCAAGCCCCGATTACTATTTTGATCCTTGTATCCTCGTATCAGATTGGTAAGAACCGCAAGGATCTCAACCTGCGTCGAAATGATTTCTTCTCGTACTGGTTCACATCTTGCTGCCACATCACTCAATAATGTGTTCAAACAAAAACTGAAACGTTCCGCGACCGGAACTCTCTCGGCGAGCGAACATTTTATCTCATCTCGCCATACTGCTTTTGGAAGACCACGCAATAGTCTGAGAAGATATGGTAAAATTCGATCCCGGTGTTGCAATCCAGATTCCAAAAAATAAATCCCCAGTGCAATAGTTGCATCCTGACCCCTCTGATCCAAGCGGAACACACCTTGACCAGAATCTTGCGGACATAGCTTGTACAATTTAGCTACCTGCAATTCGACATAAGAATAAATTAACTTTACAAAAATATATTATATTCTTTATAAAAAATGTACCAATTAGACCATCGTTGCAGTTGTATTATGATACTTGACTTTTGAGAAAAAAAAACAATGAGCCAAACTCTTCTTTTGGATAAAATCTTATAAACTACATTATTGCGTATTAAAATATTTAATCCGTATAATCTATAATTTTACAAATTATAATTATTATAATTTTCTTTTATTGTGTAATATTTTGAAAATAATTGCATGTCCATTAATTATATATATATATAGTCTTATAATTTTCTTTATTTATACATAATAATCTTTTGAATATTTATATCTTATATTTTATTATAAAAACATGTTATTAATATGTTTTTTAAGATGTCTTTCAAATGATTATATAAGTTGCACAACTACAACATTTTTTAACGCGTAAGACAACGATTAATTATCATACGTCACAAATAACTATAATAATCCTACAAGTGTGTATTTTGGATTATGTCATAACACGATATGTCAAGATATCAGCTGACATTTCCTGCGGCTAACCCTGATATGTCAAATCAACTGAAACGTAAAATGATAGCTATTCGTGAAATCATCGAAAAATTAACGTTTAATCAAAGAATTTTCTCTGTAAAAACTTTGCTCACCTTTTCCCATGATGTAGGTTTGATAGCGGCTAAACATCTCGCCAATTGTTGCACGGCGTTCGAGAAAAATAACTTCTCGTCCGCCATCATTTTGCAGCCGACCGATCATTAGCACTGACTACGTATCAGCTGAATAGAATTCAGGTTGCATCCCACTCCACAAGAATTGTCGTCAACGTCATCTGCTAGATTACGCTCACGAATCATGAGAGGAAATACAAAAACTAAATAAATTTGCATAATTGAATAATAACTAAGCTAGAAATCCTTGAATTACGTGTTTAATATACAGATATCTTCTACAATATTCTTTTTTTTGAATTCATGATCACGATTGATTTTACACTGTGTATATACTTAACTATTGTATCTTCATGGATAGATCTTAATAGAGAGAATAACTATCCTCTTTCTTCTCTATCTATTCTTATATTCAAACAAAATATTTATTCAAATATATTAATATATTAATGGGATGATTTGGATAATATATTAATGGAAAATTGTTTTATTATTTTTTATTTCAATTAAAATAATATAGTTTTAATAAATAATAAAACAATATTTAATTATATTTACACAAGTTTTGTTCCATAATTTTTCACCCATGATAGATAGTATTCTAATTTTTTTAAGTACAAAAGTATATTTTTTTTCGAGAGATTAATGTCACTCTCACATCTATGTGGAAACCTCTTTGTGAATTCCTGATTGCTCTTTGTACTTTTATGCATTGAAATTTCTTTCTTGGCTGCTGTTAGTAATCTATGAAGTTCCGATAGTGATACGGATATATAAAGGGTTTTCATTTCAGGACCTGGTCCCTGCAAGATCGAAGCGCCTGCTTCTCTTAGTGCTGCCAAACACTCTTCATTTTGTGGTAACCAGTCAACCTAAGCATTCATTAATAATACATTATTATATAAATTAACGATACAATGCACATAAAAGTTACTCACACTTTTGACATTTCTTATAACAGATTCAATTGCTGAATCTACGTCTTTGAAAACTTCATTGTTTTTTATATTTGCACATACAATCAGAAAAACATTTGCAGCATCTTCGGCGCAATTTAGATAATCTCCAATATAATAGAGAGCTGTATATGCATAAGCATATATCACATTTGTCACATTAAAATATACATAAGGAGATGCTTTCTGAAGAAAAGTAATTCATTTAAATTGATTTTATCTATTCTGAATATGCAAATCATTATTAATAAATTTTGTCTGGTACCTGCAATTCACTAAATAATGGTACATCTATTAAACTAGGATATTTTAAATTCTTATAATCATCCATAGTATCCTTTTCAATGGGTTGAATTAATTCTTTTTCAACACGATGAGTCCACCATGGTATCCATTTGGGCAACAATTTTTCTGCTTCTCCATTCTTTAATAACGCTTCAAATTCTTGTTTTTCTGCATCTGACAAGGCTGACCATAATTCATTTGGATCTTCAAAATTAACATTCTCCAATCTGCTTTCTAAATCGAGAAGCTGAAACATACATTTGAGAATAAAGCAATTTATTAAATTATACAATAAATTATTCAAAAATTATTAGTTTAATTAACTCTCTCATACCTCTTGCTCATCATCTGAATCCAGTGGACAGTTCTCGTCATCAATACTGCTCTCATCAAAATCTTTTAAAACATCATCTTCAATATCTGCTTCATGTACTCTTTTAAGAATTTCTATCATCTTCTGCCTAACAGCTGGATCATTTTCCTGAGATTTTAACTCGTCCTCGACGCACTGCTTGTAAAAACTCTCTGAACAATCTGTGTGCGCATCTGATTTATAACATTCGGTCCCACAATAACCTATGTTGCATCTTGGACAGGTATACAAACGTGTACGTTTGTTACATCTAATATTAAAAAAAGCATACGTTAGTAAAAATTTAAATGTTAGATTTATAACATAATTGATTTTTGCAAAGGCAGCATTTAATTTTACTGTAACTGCAATTATAAATATCACTTTTTTAACACTGTAATCTGTACAAGTTTTACTCACAATTCACAAATATTAGCAGCTGAACTTGGACCAGGAGATTCCATCATTTTCCTATTATTACAGTAAATTTGTATTATTATTTAGAATTCTATTATTACAGTAAAAGAATAAAATATTTTGACGATTTGTTTATTGTTTGTATCTGACAGAGTCTCTCTCTACTTTACCGATGCTACTTTGTAGTTCGATACGTAGTACCTTTTTATCACACAAGCAAGTGTGGCGCGTCTGTCGCTGTTAAATTGCCAATCGTCCGGCGTTTTTATTATTAATTATACAAGCAAGATATAAAATTAAAATAAAAAATACGAGATAAATTTGCTTTTTTCTTTAACAATTATAGATCTCATTAACGAAACGCAATCATGTGTCACATTCCGTGTACAAGATTCATTAGCATAATTTCGCGATTATTTTATATAATTTTCCTTTTTCTCTTTATCGTGCGATTTACAATTTAAGTACAATGTATATACGTACGCAAAATACTACGCAGTATCTACACGGTAAGAAAAAAATGCTGCGTTATCTCTATCCTGTCTAGCCTGTCGAGTTAGCGCGTAATCCGATCATTTATTGACAGTACTTTGACAGTCAGCTGATCCACGTGCGAGTTTCCATTGGCGCTCTCGAGCGAGCTGCAATAAAAGCAAACCGAAGGTAGCGCGATGAGTCATTCCGAACCCAACAGCCGTCGGTCTCTCATTCAGCACTTTGTTCCGAAATTGTCTCTCTTCTTTTCTCTTTTCTTTTAATACTGTAATTTTGTGAAGAAAAAACTTTCATCGATAAAAGAGGTTATCGCTGATACTGACGCGTCGCATAGCAGATACGCGTAATCAATATCTTAATCTCTTATTTCTGATCTAAAACTCGTCTCGTTCACTCGAGGTCGCGGACTTGTTTTGCGTGAAAGACGCAATAAAAACAGGTTTTCACGTACATATACAGATTATCTTTTATTCGAGTACGTATATATCTACAAATCGTGACATAACTCGTCGCAAATCACTGTGTGATTATATACAATCGCGCCGGCAATAATTATAGCTTTCGAGGCCTGTGTGTCACATCTGGGACACGATCATCGGCATCCGGAGATCAGCTATATTCTTCGCTTATCCTCTTTCGAGAGAAGTGCCAAAAGTTTATTTAGTCTGCTCCCGACAGCGTATTCGAGAATAGGTGAACAATCCAGAAGCTTTAGACATGGGTGTCGAACACAAGGTATGTTTTTACTGTAATTCGTATCTTTTTATACACTGTATGTGCTATTTCTTTCTCTTTTTCTGAATTTTTTTGCATAAAATTGAAAATTTGCGTGAACGCGACGATATCTGCAGTGTGATAAAGTTGGAATTTAATTGCTTTAGCGATTAAAAAAAGGCTTTGTAGCCTTGAAGTTTTTTCTTTGTTATATCTCCACTCGATATTCCTGAAATACATCATTATTTATATATATTATTTACACGCAATTTGTGTATGCGTGTGTATATACATATACACGCGATTGCGTCGTAACTATAATGACAGTAAGCTAAATGAATTTTGCTGCATTATGTTTCGATCCATTCTTATCAGTTTTTTCTTCTCGGATATATTGCACAATATTGTATTAAAGGCGCTCATTGACGTGAAGTCTACTTTTATGTTTATATTTTTGTGTAATTTTTTTGTTTTCGCATATGCAACATACATACATACACACCGTAATGTGTTTGAAGATTTTACATAAAAATAGAGTCTGCTTTTATGTCCATTTATAAGTTGGAAATTCTTGATAAACAAATAAGTATCGGTGCGTCACTCGTGATAATTAATCATATTTCCTGGGAAAAATTTATCAGTAAAGAACATACATATATATATATATATATATATATATATATATATAATGTATGTAAATTAAGCGTAATATATATACTTTTGCAATTTTTGTATATTTACATATTTGATAGACAATTTTAATTAGAATCCTATTTTTTCTTCCATTCTGTATTGAAAATATGGGTATCTTTTATATTCAAAATTCAAATGTCTTCGTATTATTCGGTATTATTGTAATTTATCCAATTTTATTTGAGATTCACTGGTCAGTACTTATTATGACCAGGCGGATGACGTCTGACGCATGCGTTTTTTTCTGTAAACAGATGAGAATATTACGTATATACATATTATACTTGTGACAATAGTGTTTAACCACTGTTTTTTTCGCATTTATAATTATTATGACTCCGCGAACTCATCTTTAGTTGAACAGAAATAATTTTGAGAATCATTACATCTCATATTACATCTCTTACTCGTTATTTTTGCCGCATTTCGTCATATCATATCAGGAGAGATCGTGATTGAAATGATTTATCAATAGCTGGTGAGAGAAAAATTATATTTTAACTATATCTCAAGAAAAAGAAAAGATATTAAGTATACAATGTCTCAGAATTATTGCTAGTTTTATCTTTTATGATAGAGGTCGGATAAGAATCCCGAGATGAGGGAAACTGCTGCGAGAATTTGTCGAGATTACTTGCACGGCGTTTGGAAGCATGTTACAGCACAGAATATTATCCTAAAACGTATCAGGTTTGTGAGATTTTTATATGAAGAATTGTATGTAAAGTATTTTACACTTTATATAATTCAATCGTATAGATAAATTAATTGAGCGTAATGAGAAAATGACAAAGTTTCTATTATTACTTTCAGTGGTGGTCTTAGTAACTGGTTATACAATATTGAACTCCCTGAAGGAACAGTCCCAATTAGAGGGGAACCTCGTCAAGTTTTGCTACGTTTATATGGACAAATACATGGAGAGAGAGCCTTGGAGGGACTCATCACAGAATCTGTCATTTTCACTTTACTCTCTGAGAGAAGACTCGGTCCCAAGCTACATGGAGTATTTCCTGGTGGTCGCATAGAGGAGTACATACCCGCTCGACCTTTACTCACTAAAGAATTGGCAGATTCTACTTTGAGTTTACTGATCGCAGAGAAAATGGGACAAATACATACAATGCAGATACCAATTAGCAAAGAGCCTAAATGGATATGGGAAACAATGAATAATTGGCTTAATACAGCAACAGATATTCTCGAAAATAATGAAGATATTGATATTCAGCAATTAGAGAATATCAGTGCAATAAAATATATGAATTTAGAGCATGAAATCAATTGGCTCAAGTAAGTAGAAAAATGTTTTAAAAGTTTATAAAGAAAATATTATATATGTATTAAATATAAGATTTGAATTTTTTAAAAAATGCCTGAATGATTCAATTTACGAATATATATTTATCAGGGCACTTGTGATGCAGCAAAAATATCCGGTTACATTCTGCCATAACGATATGCAGGAAGGCAATATACTTCTTCGTCAGAATACGCGAAGGCCGGAGTTAGTACTCATTGACTTCGAATATTGTTCCTACAACTATCGAGGATTTGATATCGCTAATCACTTTGCTGAGTGGCAATACGACTATACAGCATCGGAATATCCTTTCTTTCACGAACGTTCATCTGCTGGTCCTACAAACGAACAAAAGGTAAGTTTGAAATGAGAAAAATATTAGGCGATGATCTAATCTGGGTAAGACATCCTAATTATCTGTTTAATATGTTTCATCGAACGTTATCATATCATAAATTTTTTTTCTAAAATTAAACCCTTGAGAAGATATATTGTTCACAATAGATAGGTATATTTAGTACAAAGGCATAAAATTATATTCATAAGGGAAGTTTGTAGTTAACAAAGAAGTTCGTGAGCTTCGCACGATAGCAATTTTTATCGAATTAATTCATCTTTCTAATAATCCGGGAAGAAATTAGAAAAAAATTTTCTAGTACTTTTATTTTCTTTTCATATTTATCAAACATTTACATTCAAATCATACAAGAAAGAAATGTAAATTTGATTTAAGAAAACAATATGCATTTTATACATCATAGAAATATAAATTATTGTCAGTATTTTGTAATTTAAACTTACATGATATAGTCTTCGGCTGGAAATGTCACATATTATTCGGTACTGTGCCAGGACCCACAGTAGATAGGGTGTTAGCTTGGCGTGTGCTGCGTGTGTATATATTAGTTTCGCAGGACCGCAGTCCGTCAAGACAAAGCTGAAAATCTGCAATCAGAGAAAAAAATGGCCAGCAATCTGAATGACAATGTCTATGCGATGGATCCAGACTTATGGGTGCTCTACTTTGTGGAACCAGGGTACCACCATCTTGGCAACACCAATCCGCTCGTCTACATTTTATAGTACCTGTACACTCTCTCCTCACTCTAATCAATTCATAATCTGCGTACCCTTGTACGAATGTACTGTCTTGGTAGCGGTCAAAGTGCATTAATTTAGCATTGGAGCACTTTAACCGATGTAATTCTGTACGCATGATTAATATGTACCGGATTAATAGCCTGACTTGATAGATTTTGTGAAAACAATTGACATTATAATTGTGTCGATTTGTCATAAAATATTATTAGGGATTTACAATCGCGCGTGCGTTAAATAAATAGGAAATATTTATTTTTTAATTACACAGAGATATGGATAGGAATAAGTAATTTGATAATCAAATATGATATTTTTGAAATAATAATTCTTTTTTTTAGATTGATATAAAAATTTACGAAAAATAAAAAGAACTTCATGCAGGACTTCATATTTCATTTTTAAATATACATTTTCAATATTATGTTAACTCATGTATCATAAATTAGTTTTTTTTGTATTTTCTTCTTCAAATGTCTGTTACTTTGTCAATAATATGCAAAATCTGTGTATGTTCAGTTAGTTCATATTGCTACAATATTTTTATTTTTATACATTGTATAAACTACTTTTTTGAGACAATCACTACTGAATATTTTTTATACAAACAAATCTATTACAGATTATTTTAACAATTATTAAATAAATTGAAAAATACAAGAGTAGGGTAACTCTTTATCTTTCTTCTTCAATACATGATTTTATAAGCTAATTTTTCTCGACAGCTCAACTTCATAAGAGCCTACCTCAAAACACTGGGAAAAGAAGGATCTCTGGAGGAACAACGTGTCATGATGGAAGTGAGGATATTCTCGTTAGCTAGTCATTTATTCTGGGGTCTGTGGAGCATCGTAAACGCCAAAATTTCACAAATTCCATTTGGATATTGGGTATGTTCAAAGTAAAAAATTTTATCTTATTTTTTTTGGACTAATTTTAATTAAATAATAGCGATCTATTAAACATAATCTGTATATTTCAGGATTATGCTGCCTCCAGATTGAAGAGTTATATGTATCTGAAAGAGAAAATCCTTGCCTCTGGTCCACCGACTTTGGATGGTAGCTTGAAAAGAAAATCCTGAGATTGAAAAGGAAGAAGATGCAGTTACGATCTATTTATAACACTTTGCTATATAAATAGGTAACTTAATTCGTTTCATCAATTCCAACTGATGACATTGATACAACTCTAACACAAGCAACGAGTAACTCTTTTGACAGAGTATACTAAATTATTATTTCATTCGAAATGAAATAATGTACTTTGCTTTCGTAAACGTGTAAGTGTATTGTTTGGACAATACACGATGTGAACGAAACAGATCAAGAGTAAACGGAAAGTCAACCATATGTGATATAGAATAAGCATGTACTTAAATGTTTCGTTTAGTATTTTTAATTGCATCTGTCTCCAATTTTAATGTGCTTCTATCAAAAGTAAGAAACAAAGTACTTAATCATTTGTATTTATAACATTCTTTTAGAGTGAGAAAATTTTATTTTATATGAAATATTTTATTGAAAATTACAAGGCTGAGTGTACAAAATCATATGCTCAATCAAATTGTGAGTTTTGTTTTTATATATTTATTGAAAGCCATATCTCTTAATCTGTTTTTTTCTGTCCATGTGAATGTATTCTATGTATTTGATTTTATTTTTGTTACATGTACAACGTATAAATTATATTTGTAAATAGAACTAGAGAACTATTCGCTACAATATGCATTTTTACTTGAAATTATATAACTTATGTATTATAATTAAGTACAAGTATTTAATCTTGTATGAAGGACAGCATTCAACATTCACAATTATTAATGTTATATCATTATAAAACTGCACCAAAAACTGTATAAAAAATGTATTTTCACGAATTTTTAAATAAAATGTTTAGCTTTTTTTCTATTTTGAATTGTTTTTATACCTTTAATTTTCCTATTAAGTTATGATTACTTATAAATTTTTTATCGTTTTAAATAGAAGGAAGAAAATTACATAATACAGAAGACTGCATATAAATACATATATATGAATTAATTTTTCATATTTATTGACGCCATTAAAAAACTGATTTTATAATTGTAAATGTATGAATTTCAGCGTTTCACTGCGATACAATAAACTAATATTAGTCGAAAAATGATTAATGCAAAAAATCTTTCAAAGAGTGAGGATTTCAGAGGCCCTAGACTCCAAAAGTTTCTCCATCGAGCTAACATCCTTGCACCATCCATCGAGACGTTGCACCATTCCGGCTATCTGACTGCGATCTAAAACGCGAGGCTGCACCCAAGTCATGTTGACAGTACCTGCTACCTGATCTATGGCACCTCGAACGAGACCCTGAGCGAGAGCTTTCATCACTAACAATTCAACCTCACCGAGAGGCAGGCGCGTCTCCTGCGAGATCTCCGCAAATGTCAGCTGTCTGTGTAAACATTATCGTAAAATGTCCATTTAACAAAAAATGGTTAAATGAATATTTAATTTAATGTTTAAAGCTTTAAAGCTTTTGCGTAACATTGCGTACAACAAAGATAATAATGAATTTACGCACCGATTGTTGGCTTGCCGCTTGAAGGTCATTTCCATGAGACACAGCAGAGAGATCTTTTGTCTCAATTTTAATTCCTGCGCGGCTAGATCGGCCACTTTGCTCCATTGCGGTTTCAATCTCTCCAACGCGACGATATCACCGGCGTTGAAGGCCTGTAGCAAATCAACGAGCCAGTTGTTGGGTGTGCCCTTTAACGATTCTAAGACTGGATGCGCCAGCAGTTCCCCAAGGTTATAAACTCCTTCGCCTAAGAGCGCTGCTAATCCAAGGAAGAAGGCATGTTGTTCTTGTTCTTGTCTGCTTAAGCTGCTCAATTCAATGCAACCTAGATATCTTAATGATAAAAAAGGATAATTAATTTGATTATAGAGATTGTATAATTCTCAATAAGCTAATACAAATTATACATATAAGCATACCTCAATGCCGTACGATAATATTCTGCATGTTTGCCTTGTAATCTATATAGCCTGCTGGCTAAAAGGTAAAAACGTCCGTGAACTGTTGTAACTCCATCAGCATTATCTAGCATAGCTTCTACTTCTTCTATAATCTTTTTTGCTTGTTCCTGGTTATTCAGTTTATCCAATAAGATCTGTCCCTTAAGAACCTTACAGAGAGCAACAGCTTCATTGTTACTCTGGACTTTGGTTTCAGTTTTCTCCAAGAATTTAATTGCCTCCTGTTTGTCTTGAAATTGTTGGATCACATGTGCCAATATTTCCACCAATGACAATGGATTTATTCTTTACAAAAATATAATAAAATCTTAATAACATGAAAAAATAAAGAAAATGTAAAATAATACAGTAAAGTATAAGAAAAAATGTATACCATACAAATAGTTACATATTTATTTAAATTCGCAATAGAATGCAATTAAAAATACTCACTTATTTTCAAAGGTAGATAGGAAGTTAACATACAGTTGCACAAGATTATCTCCCTGTTGAGAGTCGGATTCTTCACAAACGTCTCCAATTTCAGCGTCAGCTGATGCCAAAGCCTGCAAGTCACCGAGATCGACACATCCATCTGTTATATTTTTCGTCGTAAAACCTTATTATACGAAATAATATATATTCGTCTTACCTCTTGCTGTACAGCTCCTCGAGCTGAGCCCATTCCGCAGCCAGTTCCTTATCGGAAACATTTTGTTTTTGGTTGAGATACGTATTCACATCCTTCACCGCCACGGACGCCGCCATGTCTGATGACATGAGTGAACGATAAGTTTATGGTTATGATCTCAGTTTCTCACAGCTCCAGGAACTTAGCCGATCAACTTCGACTTTAAAAAATTTTTTTTTTAATAGTTTGTTGGCCTAATTACAACGTTTGTTAGCTCTTAATTTTTTTTTAAATTAAAAAAGAAAAATTAGTGTTAAATTAGCTGGAAAAAATCTCATTAAAAAAAAAAGGTCTAATCGATGCGTAATCGTTTACTAATGATTGTTGGTCTGATTTTAGTGTTATTGGTTCATTATTTGTCTTAAAAACAAAAAATTATCTTTCACATTAAAGCATATGCATCTATAATAGACCAATCATAATTGAATGTAAAATAGTAATCGAATATGATTAGTTCATTTCTTACAACTTAAGGCTTATTTCCATAAAAGGCTTAATCATCTATAAATCTTAAGGCCGGGTCTACAATCAGTCGATTATTCCTCTCATTCTTGACTGTGATTGGTGAATTTCTTGAAGCTTATGCTAGTTCAGCTGAAAAAACAAACCTAATATCATGTACATTCTAATACTAATAGAAAATTGCGTACTTTTTTTTTAAACATCGCGTGAAATATTTTATGCATTATTTAAAAAATGCATTTATCTAATTTGTAGAGAAATGCAAAACATTATGCATTTTTCTTACATTACAAATTGATAAGTTGAATATAAAGTGCAGATTATATTTTGATGCTACTTTTATTCAATTCGCTCAATTTTTAAGAAAACTTACTGCAATATTTAATGTAATTAAATGTCATTCATAAAAGATACAATATAAGATATTAGCATTTATTTTTGACATTATATAAGCGATCAAAAGTATATAATCGCACTAATATTTAAATAAAATATAACATATAATTTTATACAATGCAGAGCAATCTGAAATTTGTGTCGAAACTATGAGTGAACATTTTACCGTGCACAGACGATTACATTCAATAACGTTGACTGTTCCATCTTACAATTATTTACTTAGTAACTAATAACATTGGTTTAATATATAACAGTGGTTTAATATTCTCCTAATATATTATACATTACATATATAATACACATTTGTGATGCATTGTGTATTTTTAACTGTACACTATTTGTTTATAAGAAGATTTAAATATCTCCTTTTTCTAAAAAGTATAATTTTATTATTTCTCATTAGATGAGAAAATTAAACAAATGATGATTACATTGATAATTCAGAAAATGAGTATATTTTCTTTTATTTCTTATACTAATCCTACCAGCCAATCCAACAAATAATTTTATTAGCTATCAACAACTCGTTATACTTCTATGAAAATGACTAACGTCATGATAACTGTACATTTTCTTCGACAAAAATTGGTCTTTAATTAGTATTATTGTTTATTATAAAGACACTTTACGATGGAGAAAGAGCAGCAACTCCAGGCAATACTTTACCTTCTAGAAGTTCCAAACTTGCACCACCACCGGTGCTCACATGACTTACTTTATCTTCTGTTTTCCACTTGGCTGCGCACGTCGCTGTGTCTCCACCTCCAATGATAGTAATTGTTCCTCGTGTTGTAGCCTCAACGACATTGTCCATCAAGCTCTTTGTACCTTTGCTGAAGTTCTCAAACTCAAATACTCCTGCTGGACCATTCCATACTATAACTTTTGCTCTCTTGATCGGTTCTATAACAAAATAATACAATCAATGATACATATTATCTGTTAAATATTTATGTTATATTTACAATATTGAACATAATTTATTATATGCATGTTCTCAAATATATATTGAATATGTGAACTGTAACAACAAATTGATATAAATGGGAAAAAAAATTACCTGCAAACAAATCCCTCGATTTTGGGCCAACATCTAAACCCATCCATCCATCAGGTATACCAGTCTCTATGTCTGCAGCTCCTACTGTTGCATTCTCCGCAAATTTATCAGCGGTTACAAAATCTACTGGTAAATGAATTTGAACATTGTTCTTTTTTGCTTTGTCTAATAACTCATTGACAATTTTTGCACCCTCTTCATCGAACAGTGAGTTTCCAATCTATAATTACAAACATATAAATATATTTAGTTGCAAGCATTACTATAGTGCTTATAATTTTAATTAAAAATGTTACATACTTTCATATCTTTAGATACTTTTAAAAATGTGTAGGCCATACCACCACCAATGATCATTTCGTTTACTTTGTCTAGCAAATTGTTAATTAGCTGGATCTTATCAGCAATTTTAGCTCCTCCAAGTATCGCCAAAAACGGTTTTTCTGGATTATCTAAAGCCTTTGCAAAATATTCAAGTTCCTTTTTCAACAGAAAACCACTTGCTCTCGTGTCAAATCCATCTCCCATCATAGAACTATGAGCACGATGAGCAGTTCCAAAAGCATCATTTATATATACATCTCCTAGTTTTCTTAAAGATGCTCTGAACTCTGTAATCTTATCTTTATCAGCTTTAACCTAAAATAAATCAATTTTTTTAATTCCTGAGCTCTATACTTTTGTCTCATTCAAAAATTATTATAAAATTAAACTGAAAGATTCAAATTCATGAAAACAATTAGACGTACCTTACTTCCATCGGGACCTACTCCTTTGCCTTCCTCTTCAATGTGATATCTCAAGTTTTCTAATAAAATGATAGTACCAAGTGTTGGATTGGCACAAGCAGCTTCTACCTCAGAACCAACACAGTCGTTTAAAAATAAAATGTCTCTGCCTAGTAGAGTCTTTAGTTCCTCAGCTACAGGTTTCAGTGTATACTTCTCGTCTCTCTTTCCATCAGGTCGACCTAAATGAGACATTAGAACAATCGACTTGGCCTTTTTGTCGATGGCATATTTTATAGTATCTAATGCAGCAACGATTCTCTGATTGTTTGTTATCTTTCCTTCTTTCAGTGGAACATTGAAGTCAACTCTGGAAAATCATTACATTATATTATATTATATGAATATTGCTTTTAGTTTTTCGCCATTCTTTTCTGAAGCTTAATTTTTTCCTCACACAAAATACGTACCGTATAAGTACCCTTTTATCTGTTAAATCAACTTTGTCGATGCTGAGCTTGTTGAGCGCCATGACGATGCTTCTCCTTGTAGTTCTACTTGTCACAATATTTCTGAAGGGAAGACGAATATTGTCAGGTGTGACGAGATACGTTAAGGGCTTATTAATGGAATGAGAAACGTCACGTAATTGATTTCTGTTGAATAAATTCAACTGCGTAAAGGAGTTGAAATCACGACGAGAACGAATCTGCGTTCCAAAGTCAAAGCAAGGTCGTCGAGCGTGGCGACCCCCCGTAATTCTTCGTAATAAACGACATATTCGATCTGACCGAATCGAAATCATAACGTTTTGATATAAAATTACCGCAAATTGTTATTTAATTGACATACACGTGTTTGGAAATCTTTGTCACTCTTGTGTTATATTCTTATTTCTGTACCAAAAAAAAGATCAAATAAAATATTGCAGTAAATTTCTATTACATATATTTTATAAATTATATTATGTCACAAACAAATTTTATTGTCAATTAGTGATCGTCACTTTGAATATATTCTATTTTTCAAAAAATTATTTTTTCTAAAACCCACAGATTTTAAATAATCGCGTTTTGAAATTATTAACCAGTCACGTAAGAGATACACAAAAATTATGATGCGACTAAAAAAGAACAAACTCAGAATCTCATGAAAATCGATCTTACTTCCGCTACAAATGGCGCGAAATCGCGCCAAATTTCTAAAGGTTATGTTCATTGTATTATGTTAGTGATAATTAATGATTACTTAATTCGATTAGTAATCGTCGGTGATGAATGACACGAGTGTTGAAAAAGTTGAATTTGATGATACATTCATTACACAAGTGATTAAAAAGAATTCAGAAAAAGTTTGACAGAATGGAAAGCAATAATTTAAGCCGAAACGATGAAACTGACAATGACGGTATTCATATTTAAGTATTTTCCTATATTTAGAATATATTAATAATATTCTGTTTATAAAATAATTTATAGATTTAATAAAAATTAAATTTGTACATTTTTACTTAAGATAATTTAAAAATATTGAATTCTCATGTCTATATATCCTTTAAGCTACACATGGATATATATATATTATAATGATGTTTCTATACTCAATAAAAATTTATAAGTGGCATGTATATATGCTGTTTCAGCAAAAGATAGTTGTGCGAATCTGAAGAAGTCAATTCCACTTATAAATGAATTATTCCATGTACATTGTAAAATTGGGAAAGGTACATTTAGCTCCGTATATTTGGCTACTCTAAAGTCTTCTAATAGTCCTGTACATAAAAAGTATGCATTGAAACACTTAATTCCCACTTGTCATCCTGATAGAATCGAACGTGAATTACAATGTTTGCAACAGATGGGGTACGCTGAGCAAATTTTAGTCTGAGATAAATTATATCATTGTTTTATATTAATTAATATTGACAAATATAATTTATTTCAGAGGCAAAGATCATATTGTTGGGGTAGAATTATGTTTAAGAAATCAAGGTTCAATAGTATTTGTAATGCCATATATGAGACATGATAAATTTTCAGTAAGTTTGTAATTTGCACTTAAGTTTGTAAAATCTTAATTAGTTTAACAAGATTAAAAATACAATAATTCTAATTAGGAATATGTCAAAGATATGACTGTAGAAGAACTGAAGGATTATATGAGAGCTCTATTAAGTGCTGTACGAAGAGTTCATCAGTTTAATATTATACACCGAGATGTGAAACCCAGTAATTTTCTTTATGACCGTACCAATAAAAAGTAAATTTATACCAGAAAAAAATTTTTAATAATTAAAAAAATTACAATCATGTATAATTAAACATTTTTGTTTTTTTCTTATAGATATTTATTGGTAGATTTTGGTTTGGCACAGCAATGCAGTGAATACAATGCAGAGAATTTGGAAACAATGATAGGAATAAATGAAAGAAAGACTGAAATACAGAGCATGAAACGAAAGAGATCTGAAGTAATATTTTATACAAATGCAATATATCTAACAATATTCTGATGTTTTTTTATTCCTTGTTTTATTTCTTGTTTTAATTTGTTTTAGAACTTAAGCTTCCAGTCTAATTCAAACATTACAAGGAACAACGTGGATAGCAAATGTTACTGTTTTGGAAAACCTAAAGTGTGCGTGTTATGTTTAACAAAACCATCACAAACAGCGCCTCGTGCAGGCACACCTGGGTTTCGTGCTCCTGAAGTTTTACTGAAATACCCATCACAAACTTTAGGTATTAAGAAATAATGATTTGATGGGGGCCATAAAATGTTTTGATATTGCATGTAAATAAAAAATTATTTCAGCAATTGATATTTGGGCTTGTGGTGTGATGATGCTATGTATACTTAGTGGTACACAAGTGTTTTTTCGTTCGCCCGACGACTGCACAGCTTTAGCCGAAATAACAACGATATTTGGATCTCATAAAGTACAAAAATGTGCACAAAAATTAGGTATGTTTTATTATGATCGTTAAATAATTTATTCAAATTGATTTTTATTTAATTAAAAATTATATTTTGTAAATTGCATTTATTTTTATTTTTATTTTATTTGAATCAGGTAAAAAAGTTATTTTTAGTGAAAATTTACCAGGCATTGATATTATGTCTCTGTGCCTAAAGTTACGAAAAAGAAACAAAAGCATGATGCATGATAGAGAGAATAGTACATGCAAGGTATGATACTTTTTTTAATATTTTAAATAATTTTTATTTATTGAAATAATATAAAGAGAAATAGTGTACTATAAGAGATGTATAATCAGTTGCAATTATAAAATTTTTGGTTTTTGTATACTAAAAAGCATTTAAAGTATTGCGAGCAGTAAAATAGTCATTAATATGATTTAATCTTGTTTTATTTCAAAATTGTTAAAGATAATTGCTTTTAGGGAAAATATTGCTTGCTATATTTAGTTCTTTGCCCTTTACTTCAGTCATATATAATATTGTATTTCTATTTTGTATTATTTCAAAATTTCTAAATTTTTTAAAATAATTCTATAATTCTTTAAGGTATTGCCAAATAGTCAGTATCCTATGGAAGCATATCATCTCTTGAGAAAACTATTAGATTTAGATTATAAAACACGTATCACTGCTGATCAGGCATTATCTCATCCATTTCTAAGTTCATGACATATACCTGATTCTTTTATAAAGCATGTGTCTCTAAAGAAACTTAAAATTAAAGACAGGCCTAATATTTTTATGCATGAGATATATATATAAAGATAGATTATGGCTGCTTTCCATTTACATTAAAAAATCAGATAAATCTCACTTTTGACTTCCTTCAACATCCATGTTAAGTGAGATTTATCAGTTTTATATAAATAGAAAAAATAGGATTTCTTTCAAATCTGTTGTACTGTTACACTTACTTCAAATTATTGTATATATCCTATAGATGTATTAGTAGTATTCATGCTTCTTTTATGTATACTAGTATTTGATCTTTACTGTTCTCCTTAAGTTGCATTAACATTCCTAAAATAATAACATATATACATTTATTTTCAAATATTATAATATAATTTTATCTTTTAAATCTTTAGCTAAATTATAGAAGTCAAAACAGCTTGTTAAATTGTATATATAATTCATTTAATTAGGTATTAATTGTTATCAATAAGTTATTGTTATAATTGTCTACTTTTTGCTTTATCTAAACTTCAAAGTTTTCTTCTGGAAGAAAAAATATAACTCAATTTCACAAAATCAAGTCGAATAATTTATTATATTATGTTATCATTCGATGTACTCTCACAATCACAAGCTACGAATAATACGAAACAATCTCGACAGTATTCGAATGTTTGAATAAAGAATAAAAAATAAGAAAATATGAGGAAAATGTTCGAGGCTTTTTCCCTCACTAGATTTAATTATTCAAATGAAAAATGACGTACATATTTAATTTAATTTCCTCTTACATATATGTATGAATGGTAGATAAATTATATTACACAGATTGTGTAAATTTATCTCGGTTTATCGAATAATCTAACCAAACTTTTCAACTTTCGTTATTGCGAGAAATCATTGCTCAGTCGCGCATGATTTTTTCTTAAATTTATAAATATGTATATATGTCATTAAAATACATACACACATGTAAACGATACACTGACATTCAATGACCGATGCTGACCGAAGATTATCGAAGCTGGCCGAAGCGTCGACTACACACGAATGTGACTTGTGCTTCGGTGTGTGTTGCCGCATATCATTTCAATTTTTATTCTCTTTTAAGGTACTCAAAGATTATTCTTTGATGATTTTTATCTTGCCCTTCGAATGATCATTAATCTAATTTTAATAATTTTATCCAATTTTTTAATGCTACTTTTTATGTCAATAAGTTAAATAGTATTGCATGTTTAAGGAAGCACACATTCGTGTTAAAAATTTAATTACAGCCAAAGTATTACATATTTATTACGTGATAAATCACGTTATTATAGTGTACACGAAAAAAAGGAAAACTAAATTAAGGCTTAGTGTATATCTAACCTTCAAGATCGATCGACTTCAAAGGCGTTCACTTACGTTTACATTGAGGATCAAACTTTGTGTTTGTTAACCTCGTAAAATTTTATTGGCGAAATAATCTATTATACATGCAAATTCAACTGGGAATCATTGTTTCAGTATGGCAACAATAACTCGAACTGTCAAACGTCATTCGCCGAAGTTCGATACCGGAGTGATGTAGATCTACTCGTTCGCCGATGACATAGGATGAGATCGCGTCGTGTGCCGTAATAATAATGCGCCTCAGATTCGTCAGGGCAGTCCTGGTGCTCGCGTTGTTGGGTAATATCATCGTCTGGCACAGGATATGGCGGCTGTTCGCGGCGCAAAACACCTTGGGCCTATTGACGCCGAGTGTCGGGACGAACGAACCCCCGCAGAAGCTTCACCGACGCTTGGCTCGCCTAGTCACTATTGTCATCAGGCAGTTCGAGAATTTTGAGAACGATGTGGCGTCCATGGTGGAGTCAGTTTTGAATTCCTTCCCGGAGATACCCGTCCTGATAGTATGCGATGAAGTGCCATATCCACCATTGGAGTTGGACTTCGCCAATGAGAGTATGAAGAATGTTAAGCTGATCAGTTTACGACCAGAATTCAATAAGTCCTTCGATGAGAGGAATCCTCTCTTCTATATACGCACCAAGTTTGTTCTGTTTATGCCAGATGCGACAAGATTGTCGACTAAGCAAGTTATACAGGTAAATATACATTTGTTACGATGCTCACAAAGAAATATTTTAAGGGAGAGGATGTAAGTCATTATTATTTCATTTGATGTATATTTTGCAGGAGACTGTCTCGCAAGTGTCAAATTTAGGAGTAGTTATTGTACCAGTGGGGAAGGTTGCCTTGCATTGTCTCGAGTTAGATTTAAGAGTGAAAGAATGGAGTTTGAGGATAACACGGATTACAGGGACAGAATGTGATAGTGTAACGGGCAAGCATGTAACTGTGCTTGAAGCAAAAATTTTAAGGAGACTGTCGGATCCATTTCTATTACCCTTGATGGATGCTTTATACATTCAGATGGCAGCCATTGGTGCTAAGGTTTGCAATCCATTTTCACTAATTTATTATTTTCCTTCATTTTTTATGACAATTCATTGATTCATTTCTATATGACACTCATTATGTTATCATTTATATCTAAATTGAATTTATACAATTCAAGTTAAAATGCAGACATTTTTATTTGCAATATATTTTATGATTATTTTGTGAATATTTTGTCTTTTATCTTGTGCTCTTGTCAGTGATTATTAATATATGAATTTGTGTTTAAAAACTATTTTATTTATATGGTAAGTATGTTTTATATATTGTGTATTTCTTTTATATATTTTAAAATATTTTCTTTCTACTAAGGAAAAATTTTATTTTTAGTTTAAGTGTTTACTGTGTTTAAACAAGTGCTTACCATACAATACGTATTATTAGATACACATATTGAAAAACTATCAATTCAACGAGGGAAAGCCATTATATAGAAACCAACAAGCCCAATCTAAGGTGCAGCAGTTGTATCGCACGCGAGAGCGATTGATGTTTGAGAAACTAGGAATAAAGAAGGTCACAAGGACTTCTGGTTCCATAGAGTGGTATGGTTGCTCACGGGAAACCGCAAGGTGCTTCGGTTCCGTGATAAACGGCGTGCCATCGTATCTCTATTTGCGTCGATACACACCCCCTTGTTGCCTGGCTGGATTGAGGAAAGTCGCCCATCATGTTATCGACAAACTGGAGGAAGTTGGTATACGATTTTGGTTGGAAGGTCAGTCGTTGCTTGGAGGAATGAGACACGGTGATATTTTACCGTGGGATCATGAAGTACAAATCGGACTGAACCGTGACGATCTGACGAGATCGCCGTGGCTAGTCAGGGCCAGGAGTAAACCGGTTGTCGACGACGACGGTTTTATTTGGGAGAAGGCGACGGAGGGCGAGTTCTTCAAGGTACAGTACTCCAGGGTTAATCGTTTACACGTGAACCTGCTGCCATTCTACGCGCGCAATGGATCCATGATGAAGGACGCGTGGTTTCTGAAGAACCGGGACTTTCCGGAGCACTTTCTCCATCCGATGTCGAGCATCGAGTTCGCCGGTAGACAAGTGCCATGTCCAAATAACATTAGGGACTTTTTAGAGCTTAAATATTTTAAAGGTGTGATAGAGAATCCAGAATTACCTGGTAAATTTGTTTTCGATTAATTCGTTTTCGAATAATTGCGCGAATTATTCGCGGTAGTGTATGGCAATATTTTTTGCTTCATTTTATCAAGAAACTGGTACTTATTGCGGCTAAGTCGCATTTATTGTTACTATCGAATTGATAATTATATCAATTATGCATGTATCTAATGATACTAGAATTATCTACGCATGAAGAAATGTTAAGATCTGAATAAAAATTGCAACTCGACATTCTTGCAATGTCTTCCTTTTAAGGAAATGACTCGTAAACACATTTCTATTTGCCTTATTCGGACCCTACTTTAGTAAGGAATAATGACAAATAATTGTTATCAAATGTTATCTCTACAGCTTTAAATAATTCAGCTTAGAATAGTGAAATTCACAAACTTTCTCCTTGCATGAATTGATACCTGTTAATATTGTGCCAAATAAACTTAGTATTTTTAATTAGATCTTATCGACATATATAGATGTTGATACATTTTTCAATATACTTCCATTATAATGAATACTAACTTTTAACTAGCTTTACTATTAATTCATTAGTAGATGATGCTATATAATTCATACTAGAGAGAAAGGAGAGAGAGATTTATAAATATTTAACAATTTTAAAAACAAATTAAAAATTTCATATTTTAAAAAATATTTTATTTGATAGGAAGGCATTTTTTAATATAATATATCTTGAACAGTTCTATAAAATCAGAAATATTTCGTAAATATTTATATAGTATATTCGATTGTTCCAGTTCTGCTCAATCAAAAGTCGTAATTTTAGGAGGAAATACGGGAAAGTTTTCAAGAATAAAAAAATTATGTGTTGTATTACGTTGTGTAAATAACATAATATTTTATTTGGATTATTTAATTCAAATAAATTTATTTAATTTTATTTTATTAAGCAGTGGCTGCTGGAAATTGTTCTATTATATTATAAAGATATTTTTATGTTATAAGTTTAAGTACATAAACTACTTTGTAGAACTATTTGACATCTATTGCATAATTAGTGCCAATTTATTTGTAAAAATATAGATATGTATATGTATATCTGTCTGTTATAGCAAATATTAATAAAGCACTGTTGTTTACAAAAAATTGTAATTTGTTTATATTTCTGTTTGACGTATTAGTTTTAGGTGACCGTTCTTACATCTTTAGGTGGGGTCAATACTGGAGGTTCTCGTACAAAACTGAGCAACTTTTCCAATTTCATTGATTCCAAATCTGTTTGCGACAAGTGTAGTTGCTTCTTTGTTGGTTTGACTTTTATCCGCAAATTTGGGGATAATTTAAGTGTATTTACAGTACCTCTGTGTAAAAATTATATATATATTAAATATAAATAAACTATAAATTATACGGAATACATATATATATATTTTAAATAAAAATAAATTAATTTAATAGATTTAATAGTATTAATTTAAATAGATAGTATGCAAAAGTTGGAAACTATTACTTACTTATCGTCGCCAACTATTATAAACGGCAACGCGTTATTAAAAGCTAATCGGGTCAATCTGCTCTTTCGTTTACTGACAATCTGCTGACTGCAGATCGGTCTGTACTTGTTAACATTTAAATCAAACACCGTAACTTTGCCATCGTTTGATACACAAGCGAGCACTGTTGAACTATATGGTGCCCATTGAACATCTCCAATTGGAACACCCAAGTCAAACATGAACAACGGTTCTCTATATACACATACACACACATATATATATAAATATGTATCAATTATATGTAAATCGAAAATTTAACTTACGGTCTTTCATCTTCCCAGATTTTGATTCGCCAATCGCCCGAGCAGCTGGCAAAGATGCTGGAATTGAACTTGTTGAAGACTATCCGATATACCGGCATAGTGTGTGCCTCGTGATACGTCCTCATGTAAATACTGCTGTACGCCGTATTGCACTTGTATATGGTACCTTCCTCGGTGCCTACCAGGAAAACATTCTGATCGGCGGGATGAAATGCAATGCACGTTCCGCAACCTGAATTCCAATGGCCATATAAATCGTCACATTCAACGAGATCATCTGCCTTTTATTATTTGTCTGGCATTTACCTTTGAGCGTAATCATTGTGCCATCCGGACCTGGTATAGGCGGCCGGTCTAGGAACAACGTCATAACGGTAGTGAGACCGAGATCGTTCTGGTTTAATACCCAGTGATTTATTTTGCCGTCGATACTGACGCTGAAGAAGGCGAGGTTTCCTTCTTCTGTATCAGGAGCCCAACGAATCTATATACAGTTAGTATATCTTTTTTTAATTGAAAGTTTTCACACAAATATTTCTCAATTGTGTATTAAAATCTTGCTAGAATGGAGCCAAAAGATTCAACAGACCTCCCATACTAACCCTCCATGCTTTTGCACAACATCACTGCTCTTGTATTGTGGTGTCGACAATGGTAACATTATATTATAAACTGCTACCGCTCCATCCATGGTACCTTAATGTTATTAATTAATGTTAGCATGCATATAGTAATACAGTATTACAAAAATCTTTGTAGAAACTTGCAAATTGAAAATTATATTTTATTCAAATATCTTTTTGATAAAAGATTTTCAGTAATATCATTATACTATTTAATTATATTGATATTATTGTATGTAATACAATAATATTAATACAATTATATATAATTAATATGTATATACATGATATTATTGTGTACACACCGATAACTAAAAGATATGGATGTTGAGCATTGAAGTCTAAACACATCACGGGAGATTCTGTTGGACAGATCCATTCTGGATACGATGGATTCTTTAAACTGAATAGGCACACTGTGCCATTTGTTATCGAACTGTTAAACGACACTGGAATATACAAGTTTTCATTTACAGTCTATTAATATTGCGAGGAAAACGCGAATATGTCTTCTACTAACGTGTTCCAAAAGCGACTGCAAAGAGATCATAATATCTGCTGTTGAAGCACATGTCCGTGATATCGTGTTTCTTAGTCTTTTCATAAGAAAATTTCCACAGAGGTAATAAGGAGCCTTCGCCGTCTTTAAATTCATCACTTGGATCATCCCAATATCTATAATCTAAATAACAATAGAAGAGAAAAATATATACTTGAGATACTATATAAAATTTCATTGAAGAAAGGTTCGAAAAAGAGTCTACCTTGAGATATGTCATCAAAAATGTTTTGATTCACCATTCGTTCCAGTGTCTTGGCTGCTTGTAGCATTCTATTTGTCATTGCTGAAGATTCCACTTGAACTTTTTTCTTCACGTCTTCTTTCTTTGCTTGCGCCAATGGCGCTTTTTTCTCTTTTTCTTTCTCACGTTGTTGTTGAGCATAGTCTTCCTGTCAATAAGAATGAGAATATGGTATTTCTGTTTTAGATGAATGTAGCTTTAAATTATTTTCTTCATTAATTATGCATTTATTTATACAATAGATAAGAAGTAGCATAATATAAAAGTATACTATATATGTGTTCCATCAAATATAAAGTAATTTATCTCTAATCAGAACAGAGAATATTTGTACCTGATACTCGTCAAAGATAGTCCATTGAAAGACACTAGCGTTGAAGGTTGTAGTAGGTGGAGGTATAGTTTGTGTGCTGATATCCTGTAGAAGATTTGATTTTATTCTGTACATATTATTTCCAATACTTGCTTTGCTTTCATCAACAGGGTTTGTAATATCTATATTGCTGTTTTGTACAAGTAGGAGATTTAATATATACATACCCTCATAGGATTATCATATGTTAACGCTGCCCTTTCACAGAAATTGAATTGATTAGGTATTTTCTTAGGTTTTGCTTTTTCTACTTCATCTTCCTCAGGTTCTAGTTCAACTTCTTGTTCGCGTTCAGCTTCGGCTAGCGCTTCCACCGTTTTATCCACTTCTTCTGCTGTTCTTGTGGAATATGTAATATATATATATATATATATATATATATATATATATATATATTTATATTTATATTTAAAAATACGTGAGAATCACATAATTTATTAAATCTTTGTACACAGTTATCAATGATATCTCTTCTATGCCTACCTTCTTCCTCATCTTCATATTCTGCTTCTTCTTCAGCTTCATCATGCTTCAATTTCCCGTCTGCTGTCTCCTCATCAGCTATAATGATGAAGTTATTTTATTTAGTACATTAATTATAACGTATCAGTAAATAAAGAGTCTTACCAATAATTCCTCCTGCCAATTGTATTTTGGCTTCTTCAGAGTCTTTGTGTAATATAGTGCCAGTTATATTCAGTAGAGTTACTAAATGCGGAGGAGGAGGTAATCTTATAAATTCACGTAATTTCCATGACCATTCAACTAAGGAGTCTGGTACCCTGGTATTGTGTATAGTTAATACTTTGGCGAATTCCTCTTGTAATTCCTAGATCATATATAGATATAGAACCATTTATAATAATATTTAAAAGAGACAAAGAAATCAAACGTACTGCTTCTGTTAATTGCAATTGATCATCTGGTCTCAGCATAAGCCTTGTTCGTATCCAGTCCATATCACCAGCACCCAAGTCCTGTCGTGATATGTGAGTTTTTGCTAAACTTAGATGCTGCAAAATTATCAAGTATGATTTTATATATATATATATATATATATATATATGTATATATATTTAGAAGCAATAATTACTGAATATAGCGTAAGATTATATATATATATATATATATAATTATTCCAATAGGATGAGATTTATTTTTTTTACTATTCATAATGAAAAAAGATATGTACTTCTTTACTTATTTCCGATACTTTGGAGGCCATCTTTTTTGGTATTGTTGGTGCCATTGTTCCTTTATGTTGTGAAATTATGTCAATGCAATAGTTTAGCAAGAGTGATCGAGTCAGCTGAAACTAAATCATGCTTTTATATACTGTTATTAATGATATATTATATTCTCTTTTTGACATTTGTGCAGTATGACTCACTATTTAGCAATAAGAGAAAGAAAACTCAATTCTGCAATGTGCACGATGCTTTGATGATCAAATCTACTTTACAAGCTCAACAATATTATCTTTTAATAATTTGTAAAAATATAGTATGATAGTGTATAAAGGGTATAATAGATAAAAACTGCAAATATCCTTTATCTATGTATCATTCAATACTGAGAAGTCTGTTACGGTTTCCTAGGATACGCTTAACTTTGATAGCAATATCAGTCTGTATTGGCTTGATCAGCTTGATGTAATATTTCTACATCTTAATTTATGTTTATTTAATAATCTTTATTTTATTAAAAGTATAAATAAATTTAGTTATTGTACAATTTATTTAATATTTTTGTTCTATTACATAATAGTAGATATATATGTGAAAATCAAATGTGATTTATAAAAGTTGTCAAGATATAATATATTTGAAGCTTGCATAATTTTTTTCGGACATGATATTTAGATCATTATTATTGCTTTTGTCTTATATCAGAGATACAAGGTTATACATATCTCTTGTGGATATTTGGCAAAGAGAAAATCAATAATGGACTGTACCATTATAATGTGAGCATTCCAACAAGTTGCAGGGCAGTTATTGTATAAAATTGTGCAAATATCATTAGCTGAAATGCATAAAACACATCGTTTTATTCAGTTCTTATAACAACAAACGATATGTATTATTAGATTTTGTAAATTGCAAAGTAATACATATGAAATTCTGTGTGATGAGTGCTGACACATTGACACAACCTCTTTATTGATATTAAATATCAAGATTTATTGAAATTACAATAGTGTTATTAATTGCAATTCATGTCAACATATTGTGCTATATTAACTTTTATCTTCATGTTACAGTCTTAGCCTTTTCATACTTGACCAGTGAAAAGATAAAATAAATAATACTAATGTTTTTTTCTATTTTAGATGAATTAAGAAGCCAAATTTCTTTATGAATGCCTAGAAGTATGGAAGATAGCGGTATTGATAGTGATCCTAAAGCTGTTAACCATGTGGAAGATGAAAGACTCTTTTTGGTAAATGTTTATTTTGATAAATACATTGATTGATGTTTGCAATTAGTCTTACAATATATGAGATTATAATATATAAGATTATAATATTTATACATAAAATGAGAATACATGTAAAACAAAATTTATTTAACGGTGTAAAAATATTCTTTAATCTCTTTTGTAGGGCAGCGATAGCAGTTGCAGCAGTAACCACACACAAGCTTCACAGCGAAATACAACTAAACAGTTACAAAAGAAACTTGGTACGAAAACAATCTTCTAGTTCTGCATATTTTTATATTTCTACATATGTAAAAGTGCTTGTATTGATTAATATAATTTATATAATTGTTTTGTAATAATAAATACTTATGTAAGTTATGTTTTTCTGTTTATTTTGCAGAAACACGTATTGAACAGGCAAAGCGAATTAAATGCAACTCAGTTTATATAAAGCTTCCAAAATATGACAATGAAAATACAAGTAGTACCAGTTCTGGATTGATATCGATCCAAAGATTGCCTATACCACATAAGAATAAGGAGCACCTTCCTTTAGTCGAATACTGGCATAGTGAAAGCGAAAGGTATTAAACAATTATGTCCACAAATAATTGTCAGATGACAATACATTATTATATTTAAAAACTAATTCTTTATTACATATGTTCTTTTATTAATAAAATATAATATAATTTAATTGTTATGTAAGTTTATATATTAGTTTATTTATTTTATATATTAGTTTATTTATTAGTTTGATTATTATATAGTTCGATTATTATTATATGTATATAATAATATAATATTTTATATAATATTATAACATTATATAATAATATAAAAGAACATGTTTTATATAAACATGAGAAGAATATATAATAGAAATTAATGCTTTTTTATTTAATAATTATAGTGAGGATGAAATGACTCTTTTCCCTTCAAAATCTAAGGATTCCTCAAAACATAAACAAGATCTCACAGATACATTTAGCATCGGAGAGTTAAGTGATGAAAGTGAGGACTCATTGAATCTGGATCCAGCGCAACCACCGCATCCGTTTATGCGAACTTATGTATCTAGCGGATGTTTTTCTTGTCATTGTCGTATACTGTAATAGAAGTCTGATTATTTTTTCAAACGATGAATATGATTGATTATTAATTAAATATGAATCATATGTCGTGGAAAAAGAAAAGAAGGTATAATTTATATTGTTTTTTATAAAGTTACATTTTTTCCAAATTTATTTTATGTTACAAAATTAATTTATTTTGTGTGTTAGGTCGAATTATAAGTTATTTACAGGAAGACGTTTCAATTATTAAAGTTATTTTATTAAACTGCTCCATTTACGAAGCTTCCCATCATCGTTATTTTAACATTCGAGTATCAAGCACAATTGTGAAGTGATATTCAAGCAAAAGGATTAACCGGTTCAATGAATGCAACGATTTATTGGAAACAACGCTTTCTTCTTCGTGATCAAAGCAATTATTGCTAAGGATATTATTCAAATAGCGTTTCTCAACATTCACTAGCCATCGGTAACATTTGCAATACCCATTTTGCGTGAGATCGCAGATATTCGTTGGACTTTATGCGGCATATTGCTTAAGAGTTTTTATATTGAAGAAAAAAAATTAATGAAGGTAACAATTTAATCTATTCTTTATTTCCATTCTAATTAAAATGATATATAAAATTATTTTGTGTAAGGAATTATTTCTATATTTAGCGCTGTTTTTATTATTAGATAAATGACTTTTTATTTATTAAAAATGATAAAATTATTATATTTATAATTATATCTTTTTTTTTTAAATAATATAAGAATTCTTTTGCAATATTGTATTTTGCAATTATTGTATTTTTATTTACTATGAATAAATACATATCAAATATTTTTTGATATATATTCGTTTGTACAGTAAATCTAATTATATGTAATATTTATGTTTTAGATAGTATAATATATTACAAAACTATTAATATAGTTGAAAATGGTATCCGTTTGATGATTTTGAGGAGCTGCGTGAGAGATAATTTTTCTTTTTATAAGAATTTGCTCTCTTCGATTACTAATGTCGCATTATGAAAGAATACAAAAAGGATTGACGCTTGAGTTTGAAAGATTGCCAACAATATGTAAAACATGAAATTACAAGTTTGCTGTACGTTACACTTTTAGTAAATTGCGTGAGAGGGACTTGCATATCGAACGAGCGCAATACAGGAAGACGTTCCGCGCACGACGGCGAAAAAAAAATAACTATAATTAAGCGCTATAATTGAACACGAACAGGTATTTTTTTAAATTGATATTTTTCTACGATTCTGAGGATGATGGTCTTTGGCAATATTGTTGCTAAATATCGATGTGGCCTTGCGGAATTGCATTTTCAAGCTACAGGAAATTACAAGTTCGATGAAGATCTCCGAATAATTGAAGACTTCCTCTGCTGTAAAATGCGCGCAGGGATCACTTACGGATTAAGTAATTCTTGGTAAAGGTTATTACTTTATTTCTTATTCGAAACAATATCTCTTTTTACATATAATTTAGTTTATAAGTATTAGTTATCACATGTTTACTTAAATATGTAATTTTTTTTATTAATACGCACAGAAAATGTCTTTATATTTTTTTGAAATTAAATTTTAAATACGAACGTATGTAAAAGGATTTTAAAAAAATGTTACATGTTACTTGGTTTGCATACTAATATTGGAATATAGACCAGCTTTGACTCCGGGTGACCTTAAAAAATGTAGCATTCTAAACTCGCCGTTGCATAAATCATAGTTTTTTGCATATATATGTATAAAAACAGGAAAGGCGAATGAAACAATGCCATGCACGCTTAAGAGAACTTTTCTACGCACGCACAATGTGTGCCAGATCGTAACAGTGAGATATTACGTGCAGAGAATATCAAAGGATACTGCTATAAAATGCACTCTATTACAGAATCCCGAGACGGTCTTCTTTTAACCCCTGAATTCTTGATTGCGCTATAAAATTGCATATGCATTTTTTCAATCATAGAAGCAATTTTTTTCTCGGTCAGATATGTTAAAATATCAGCATGGAATTTGTTTAATCGTTTGCCAGAAGATGTAACATTTTTTTCCTTTATTTAGAGAATTATAATTATATAATTTCAAGTATATAATTTATATAATTATATAATTTTATCAAAATATAATGTAAGAGAGAAAGGAAGAGAGGAAAAGACATTCTCTATTTTTAGATATTTTAGATTTGACCACACATGATGCATTTCCCATGATTCCCCCCTTAAAAGGCTCGTTTTGATATTAAATGCGAAACACGAAAATATCTGTCGCGGAGATAGCGCTCTAATTAATGACTCGTGTATCTGAAATTTATTCCACCTCTTCCGCGGTATTCCGGCAAACTCGATTTTTAATTAAGCCTCCACCCGTCGCGGGAATAAATATTTGTTGCGTTAAATTTTCATATCTTCGCATGCTGTGCAGCATACGACGCATGATGCATCGCGTATGAATATTTAGATGCATCTCGATGCGCCCGCGTATATTTCGTGTGTTGTATCTATAGAATGGTTCAGGTGTATTCTAGTCCTTTCCCTTCTGAATATAAAATTAATTTATCCTTTGCGACATCCTTAACAATCGCAGTAAAACGGTTTTTCATATGCAATCTTAAATTAAAATTAATTAAATAAGATGTAATATATTTGATCATTTCGCATTTAAGATTAAGAAACGAGATTTTAGTAGTTTTTATTTCAAGTTTTAGTACTGTATACTTATAACTGAGCAACTATCAATCTTCTATATTATTAATCATGTGTTATTATAATCTTAATGTTTTTTAGTCGGAAGAGGAGAAGACGTGAATCTGGAACATTAACATGTAACATTACGGAGAAATTGCATCGTCGACGTCGTCGGGTATGGTCATAAATTGAGCAAGACTTATGGCGTATTTTGTAACCAATTTGATGCAATAAATTTCCGGACAAGAGGGCGGAGTAACCGATAATAATATGTGAGCACCGTTAATGTCCTTTCATTTATTTATGGAAGACGACTCGACGACGGAAATGCAAAGCTTCCTTCGACGATTGAGTTTCCACCGGATGACGATCATTAATGGTTCGTTTCATGTATCACGATAAGAGATAGAGAAGCGCGAAGAGACCTATTTTGTAATTTCGATATTTATTTATTAGTTAAATGATTTCTTATGTACGATCACGTTAATTAACAACATTCTGATGATAGATATTCTGTTGCAGGATTTTATCTCCGAATCGACAGGCGAATCTGTAATGGTGAAAGTAATGCGGTGACGACAATCGATGAAAGTGCCAAATCCTTATGTCGAGATAACTGTCCCTGAATCTAATTAGAAAACCAGCAAAACCGGTTTTCATGAGAATTCATTTGATATTGTATTCGGAAAAAGAAAGAAGCCAGAGCGTAGAATCAAGTACATAGAAAGTCTGGACAAATTGTGTTCGTGAAACTAAAACAAGATGCAGAATAGATTTTTAATCTAAAATTGGATCAATTTCAGGTAATTGAGAGTTTTTTTTGCGAGCCGCTCGAATTTAAGTTCGAGTTGACATAAGAATACTCGGATAAAGAACTCGCGACTCGTAATTTACGAGTGTTCGCATATTCCTGAGCCATGCAGGGAGTCTCTCGCTCGTGTACGTTTAGATATTACAGCAGATTCTCGCGCGCGATATCTCGAATATGTACGAGCCCCACGTCGTCACAGATCAGCCGGCGAAGCAGAAGAAGACGCGTAACACAGACGATGTTGTTTTCTTCGGACTGGCATGGCGCGAAACATATTTACGAGTATTCGACGATCGTGCGATGTACCTCTTTTTGAGAGACTTTGCATAAACTATTACATTAAGAGATCGCCATTCTAACGGTAAGCTATCGGATCAACGTCGTTGATTTCCGATAGCGGTATTAGCTTGTTAAAGATATTGAAATTAAAATGTGGCTGCGCTACATTTTAATTTCAATATCTTTACAAATCATTTTATTCTTATTAAATAAGACAAGAATAAAAAATTTACATTATATTTATATATGCATTTATTTATAAATAAAATATTTTTTGGATAAAAAATATTATTTGGATAGTAAGATAAATTAAAACAGAAAGATAAAATAAAAAACACATAAATAGATAGCTGTATATAATGATCGCTTTCTGCATCGATATAAATTAAAAATAAAAGAATTCTAATGCGCTGATGTGTGTTAAATATTGTAAAAAAATTCAAAAAATTGATAAAAGATAAGTACTTTTCTAATTAATCAAATGAGATATTTTTCAAAAATTAATAAAAGATAATAAATAATTTTTTAATTAGTTAAACATGGAAAATTGTATTCATTTGATTAAAAGTTAATAAATTATTATCAATTAAGTTTTTACGAGAACAATATATAGTATGTACTTGTTACATATACATATAATATTATTTATCAGTTTGTGAAATATGAACATTCATATTATTGTCATGATCAAAGCTTAATTATTATACATATATAAACATGAGAAAGAAATGTTTTCTGATTCAAATTAATTTGGAAGGAAATGCATATATTATATATAATAATTTTATATATGCATGTATATAAATACATTTCTTTTATTTTTTATACATCATTCTTTTCTATATTATATTCGTATCTTTTTTTTAATATTATAATAGTTTATAATAATATAAAAACAATTTATTTTAAGGCGAGAAAAACAGAATTTTATTTAGAACTTTTTATATAAGGTCAAAGTTTATATATATCAATTAATATTATATAAATTAGAACGTCAATCATGATGAAAAATATGTTTTTGCATAACGGCATAATCCGCGCTGCGGATTCGCCATAATTCGAAATCGAGACAAATATATCGCACGACCGTTGATCGACCCGCGATCCCAGGTGCATCGACCGCGTGTTTCTTCCTCGGGATGAAAAACCGCAGACCACTTGTCCGTTCGCGGTCGACGGAGAGGACGAAGGTGGAGAGAACGAGAAGGAAAGAGGAAGAAAAGGGAAGCTGATAGGGACGACGAGATATACCGGTCCGTTCATTACGTTTACGACGCGTGTCGGACATTTTTCAGGTTGGTACAGTTCGCGGTATACTCTTCCTTTCGAAGGGGGAAAAAGAGGGGTATTTTATTATTATAACATTATAAAGACATTTATTCGTCTCATTTATTCTCAATTATCTCATCTTAGAGCAGAACAATTAATTATCTCTAAATATTAGGTATGAAAATATATGTAAAAATTAGTAACGAAGTGAAATTAGCAGCATCTCGCATTTTTCTGGAGCAATCGCCACGCTTCAAGTCGATATATATCGATCGAGGTGACGCGCGATCGATCGATCTGTAACTACTTCATTACGCTTGTTGTCTAACTCGCTTCGAGAAGTACGGTTCGCCGCTCGCGTATTCCAAACCCATCGTACTTCCTGTACCAACTTCTTTCCCCTGAACGACCCGGATTTAATTAAATACAGGCAAGTACGTGTTTGCGAGTCTTCCGCGCCGAGGGAGACGATGACTCAAGGTTGCTGCATCTTGCACCTCGCGAATTCCGTACCTACGACGCGAAAGGTAAACTCTCACGCTTTTAATATCGATTCAAGCTCAGAATTAATTTCCAAATCTTAATTATTCGATTTATCTAATGAGATATGACAGATCTACGATCAAAATGCGAGCTATCGCTTTATCATTATTTATATATATCAATATTATTAAATATATCAATATTATTAAATATATAATTAAATATATATTACATAAAAGGCATTACGAAAATATTCAAAGGCTCTAAAGACCATTTGATATACACAAGCATATTTTGATAGATCTGAAAATATTTATGAGATTTGAATATAAAAATAATATACAACGCGCTGGAACGATATAAGTAGACGCATGCGCGAGTGAGAGAGAGAGCATGGGTGGTGAAAAGCGAGTGTTTCCATGAATGAAACGATCGAGGTTAGGGGGGACTCGCGGGGGAGGGAGACGGCATAGTGAGCGCGCGGCTCACGTGACAGAGTGAAGTGCGCGCGCGTTCGTTTCGGCGAGCGCCCGAAAGATGGCGCGGCTCGATCGCGCGACGGCGGCTAGCTTCAAACACCTGACGGCGGCGTAGCAGTGCAGCATGGACTAGTGCGGTGGGCGCACACTTCTTTCAAAACAGTAGCACGCGCTACCGGCTGACAGCTACGGTAATCTCCCCTCCCTTCTTCCCTCGTCCTTCTCCTGCCCTCGTGTCTTCGATCGTGTTGTCGTGTGCTCCGCGCGAATCCGAAGAAACAAAAAAAATAGTGCGGTTATTAATAAGTGACGTTCGTCGCGATTCTTCATCCGAGCAGCGGCTAAGTTCACATGGAGCACCGACGCCGAACGACGTCGACGTTCGCGCCGTTTCGAAGTCGTCGACATTTCGAGGTCGTCGCAGTTTCGTTTTCGTCTTTCGGTCGAGAGATTCTCGGATAAAAAGTATCGCGCGCGAAAAGTGAATTCGATAACACCGGATTCAGTGAATCGAGGAAAATGTGATCGCGACACGACGCGCGGTGACCGCGGTGCGACGACCCCGGGCTCGGGAGTGCGGAAAAGTGTTCGAAAAGTGTGTTTATTGAAAAATGACTTTCATCGGCCGGACATCGGTGAGGACAGTGTTCCTGACGTCGTTGCTGCTGACTTCCGCGGTGCTGCTGGTGCTGGCGCGCGCCGAGGATGTCGCGACCTTGGAGTACAACCTGGAATCGCTTCCGGTGTCCAGTGAGCAGCGGTCGCGTTCTGCTAAAGGTTGGTTTTGTTTTTTTCATTCGCTCTCGATCTATATATCGATCATCATCGAAATTTTTTATCAACCCTCGATTTTCTATGAGAAAATAATATTTTAATTTAATTATCTAATGTAATATAAAAATATAATATTATGATGAATATTATAATATAAAATAAAAAAAGATTGAGAAATGAGAAGAGTAAAAATGCGAGAAAAGATAATTTATTTTTTAATTCTTTATATTTTAATTGATTTTTAATTTTACGAGCATTTATGTATTCATAATTTTTTAATTACTCTCTCTAATGTAATAATTTAATATATAGTAATATTAGAAAAAAAGATTCAGTTAAATTTAATATCTACATTAATTAAAACATTAATAAATTATATAAAAATGTATTTATGATATTGGATATATCAAATTATATGCAAGAAATAGTAAGAAGAGAACAAAACATTAAAAATTCAAACTGTGCAAAGTGTTATTAAGTATACAATAATAAAACAATTAAATATTAAATTACTGGTAATTACGCTTATATAGAAGAATTATTTTTTTTATTATTCTTACATCAGTAATGAAAATATAATTATAATTATCACTTTTAGTTACTTTTAGTAAATATATTATATTTCATACTACATGCTTTATAACAAAAAATGCATCTACCTATATAAAAATATAATAATATAGAAGGGTGAGATAAAGAGAGAAGAGCACATCTAAGACATTTCATCGTCATTGCATCCTTATCTATCGACTTTTCTCTCTTTCATTCTCGCATGAGGATTTTTGCACTCTCTGGCGATTATTGCAATGACGGTGAATGCCTGAACTTTGTTGCTCGTCTCGGCTTTGCCGATGAAGAACGACCTTTGCACTCGCTTGCTTCTGTGAAAGTACGCTCGCTCATCTTCCATCGCGGTAAAATACTCCATAGAATTCTCTGTAAATCAGAAAGATTGCGAAATTTATCAAATATTTCCAAAAGAACGAGTCTATTTATTTCCATTAAAAATAATTACATTTACATAAAAAATTACTGATATTTACGATGATGTATCTTAATGTATATATAGAATTTATTTTCGCAAAATAGATCGAGAGCTTGTTATATTGATGTTCTGCTTAATGTTATTATATTGTTATTGTGTACAATTTAATTATGTGATAATATGTAGTAGGATATACCCATTTGCATTATAAATGTCGCTTATTTATATATATTTTCATACATGATCTTTCACACAAATTTATTAACGAATGCACATTTATACATTCTTTACTTTTAATCTATTATTCGAATTAAATATTAGTCAAATGATTTCACTTGATGGATACTTTTCAAACGCTACCTATGATTCGTTGCGCGTTTGCGATGCGTGTACAGTGTCGTAATTAAATTCAGTCCGATAATAGAGTCGGGCCGGTTTCTCAGGACGTTTAAAAATGCGTTCATTGTTGAGCCGCATCTGTCGTCCCGATCTTAAATCGATTAATTTGCATGCACTTAGAAAGGCGGAAGCACGTCGTCGCGCACGTGCGAATGTCTCGGTGAGACTTGACGAACCCTTTCACCCCGAGGTCCCCTTTGCGAGTACAAATTATTCGCGCGATCGCACTTTCTATTGGCAGCCGAACGCGATAAGTGCAATAGAGATAAATTTTGCTCTACATCGGACTTTTTTTCGCGATGATTGCATTTCGCGTTAGATCATCGTCAATGACTCGTTAGCACGCTTGAACGCGCCGCGGCGTAAGAAAAATATTGAGACTGTTGCTTTGCTTGAAATTAATAGATTGTGATTCTCTGAAACGATAAATGGCGGTTTAGATGTTTTCGCACACATTACAACTTTTCAGGCGCAATTGATATTTATTAAAGAGAAAGCAGCTGATTGTGAGAAAGAGCATCTGCTTCATAATTCATTGAATTCAATGCATAACGATGCATTAATATAATATCTGACTAATCTCTACACGACTATGTTTCATAATGATAATATATTCATTATTTTGAAATATATGATCACACACATGGAGATATTTTCGCATAACAGATTGTTTGATAAATTTATAGAATCTTTTTTTTTTTAATAAAGATAATGTTTCACATTTTGTTCATATACAGAAAGAATTTTCTCTTAGAATTTACTCTAAAAATCACTGTAATCGTGGGACAATATATGGTACTGGAAGAATTTTATAAGACATAAGAGTTTCTTTGATTAATATTTACCACAATAAAAGATATTAATATATATCTACTACAATAAGATATAAAATATGTTTGATTAATAATAATTTTACTATGTACGTAGTAGTAAAATTACTATGTACATAGTAAAATTAATTATGTACATATTAATATTTTTTATTGTGATAAATATTAATTAGAGAAATTAAAAAAATTTTTCCAATATTATATTGTCTCACGATCATCATGATTTTCAGGGTAAATTCTAAGAGAAAATTGTATCCGTGTACACACATGTACACTCGCAAATATTTTGCGTTATTTTTACAAGAATATTCTCATGCAATTTTTTGCATTAATTTATTAGATCTCGATTGTTAATCTTTATACATATATTCGAGTTATTTTGTTAAAAATTGAAATAACTAAAATAGAAAGAAAACTTGGTATTCCCGAAAGATCGCCGAGATCGAATAACTTTCCGCGATTCAATCGTTCTTCAACGTGCAACAATGCGTACTGCAACGAATGCGTATATGCATGTGCTGGAGGGATGCGCGCGGAAAACGTTTCTGGCATCGGGCACCGTGTAAAATTCCTCTTCCAATCTTGATGCGAATAATATGTACGTGTCGAGGCTGCTGCGAAAAGGAGGGATCTCGTGCGAACGTGGCCTACGGATAACTGTTCGCCAGCCGCGGGCGTTTATTTAATGACCGCGGAGTTTACGATTCCTTAGTGTTATTTACAACTCGTAAGAGGTAATTCCTAATAAATCACGCAATACTAATTATGTGCAACCCGGAACCATAAGATATCCGATGCGTTCGCGAAATTTATTCGATTTTGTTCCGTTATCACTCTTTTCTTTGCGCCACCTATAAATTCGTATCGATGTCAAAATTCTCTAACTTTCGAGAAATGTTAGTGTATTATTTTGTATTGTAATTACTTTTTTTATTAATGACAATATCTTTCTACTTTCACAAGTGAAGAAATACTGCTCCGATAATATTTTCTGCAAATATTTTGCACATCACGTGCTCTACCACTTTTTCTTGAACATTCTTTAATATAAATTATGAGATGTTGCATCTCACAAGTTTAACTTATTTTGGAGTGATAAAAAGATTTTTATAATTTTATAAATTAATTTCATATTTTTTTAAAATTCTAACTCTCATTTATTTATATTTAAAAGAATGATTAGCTTTATTTAATTAGCATTAAAGAAATAATAATTTGACTAAACACTACGCTATCAAATTTCACTGATAATTAGTAAAATGTTGATTATTTTAAAATATGTGCATAATGATGGGAATATTTTAGTAATTGTTTAATAAATTTAGAATATTTTTAATGAATAATTTGTGAACTCTATACACACACACACACTTACTTTAATAAATAAATTAATTTAATTAAATGAAGCTAATAAATTTTTTGAATAAATTGAAGCTAATAATTTTTTAAATGATGATTTAGTAAAAGTCAGAATTTGTAAATAAAAGTTAATAAGAATTAAGTTAATTTATAGAATAAAAATCTCTTCTATTTATAATAATTTAAAATCATATATAATACATTTCATATTTTATATTTATTTAATCTTTGATTATATTTAATTTATTTAATCTTTGATTATATTTAATTTATTTAATCTTTGATCGTATATATTTAATCTTTGATCGTTATTTCTTGTGTGTACTTTGGAATCCTTTTAATCCCAAGAATAATTTTATAAAATCTATAAAGATCGGTTTTAATTAATAACGCGTATGAAGAGATGATAAATGTGAGAATTTAATTTAACTCAAATAGAAAGCGCGTTATATTTCGAACTGCAAGTGCAACTCATGGTTTTCTTTCGGCTTTCGATAACAGGATTTATATTATGAGATATAGTAAACCTTATCAGAGGACTACCGACACAGCATTCACTCGCGTAGTTTGCCAGGATCGCTGCGAAGAATAGATTGCAATAGAATGCAATTTTCTAAGAAGATTCAGAATACTCGGCGTACATGCAACGTTAGATAACCGTGGGAGATTTAATTAAGATAAAATTACTCTCGGCAGCTTATTCGATCCATCCTATAATCGTGAAATCACGTACCAATTTGTAGTATTTTTATTTACCTTTTACGATTCCGCAATAAGCCATTATAAAAAAATGTTATATATATATGAGAGAATATCAGTGAAAGCAAACTTATCCATGATATTGATTGATTAAATTAAAAGGATAAATTTTATCCACAATTTATTAAATTCTGGACAAAAATAATTTTTAGAAATAATAAATTTTAGAAGTAAAATAAATTTTGGTTAAAAATGAGATTTTTAAATTTAATAAGTAAACACTTAATATAAGTGTAAGTCGAAGGTATAGTGAAGTATACATACAATTAAAGCTTCGTATTAAATATAATCTGAAACGAAAAAGTTGATTTTAGATTTGTTCAAATATACAATTTGGTAAATATTTTTTGAACCCACTTTCACCGCAATTTGCAGTGCAAACATTGCAAAATCGTATTACGCTCAGAGATATAACGCTTACTTTTCTTCCAAGACCGTGTCAGCGCTGCCTCTTTCGTATATAATTTGCGCAATGTTTACTACCGACGCTCAGTATTCGCGCAACGTTTTTCAAGGACGTACGTTTCGAGGAGGAACCGCGACGAAAATTCGCGAATTGATTTACGTCAAGTGAATCTCTCCGGAGAAAGTTAAAGACTGATAATCTTTTCGCACGTGGTGCAAAATGTACTTGAAATTCCGACGGCGATGCTGGTCCTCTCTTCCTCTCC